CGAGGCTCAAGCTTTATCAAGAAATTTTTGTTACTCTCAGTTACAGTGTCGCCTAAAATTAATTAAGAATAATATTAGACTCAAAATAAAAAAATGTAAGGATAATGAAGCTCGGGAAAAATAGGTATTCTTGCAAAAAAGTGTGCACATAATGATTGAGGTATACATGAGATGAGAAACCATTACAGACTCATGTAGTTGCTATAACTATCAGTTGTTCTGTACTTCTGTGCATCAAGCACTGTAGAGTCAGAATAGAGAATGCATATATATATTTATATATATTCATATATCAGAAGCACAACCTATGTCACAGTTTCGAAAAGTAAACTAACTATTGCTCCAAATGTATAAGAGTTACTTTTGCAGGCACTGGCCTGTACTCATTAAGTGATATTTTCAAAGTGGTGTCCTTCACATTTCACGCTCTGTTAACATTTTTAATTGTGTCAATTATCATATACAAAAAGCATCTCCGCCCTTCTTTGTTCTTAGATCTAGAATATCGAGACCAAGGAGGGAGAATCGTTGCCAAAAGGGGAGACTTGACAAAGATTTAACGGGTCATTCAAAACAAAAACATGCAATTTAGTTTGTAGTCTTTCAGTTCTATCTGCACATATAAAAACTACTTGTATCTGGTTGCTCAAGGCGACGAGAAAGGCTAAATGCAGTAGGTTCATCTTAAACAAACAGAAGATATATAAGTATGCAAAGACTTGTCACAAAAATCAAATCTTGGCAGTGAGTAGTCTTCAGTAGCAAGATTTTGCTAGTCTCAAAAGAAGAAAGATATAGCGCCCAACCCGAGAGGCATAGATAACATGTCCAGGCCGGTGAATGAAAAAGCCTCTATGTCAACATAAATGCCCAATTTCTACAACAAAGTAGCTATATTAGCAAATAAGCTAGACCTAATGTGGCAAACTTAACAATGAGTTATATATTGCCAAACAAAAATGTTTAATTGGTTGGAAACACAACAAAAGCACCTGCAAGATGCCCGAGATTGAAATAACTAATAACTGCAGTCTTCGAGGTTGCTGCGATTTTAATAATTTAACACATGCAAAAGATAAAGCTTCAGTTCAAGGAAATGTAAAAGTGCCTCAAGCCAGTTATTTTTGGCCTATCTTAAAAAAACAACAGAAAGCAAGGTCAAGGGAAACAAAAAAAACATTGACGGGGAGTTTATTTGATGCTCTCGAAGTCATTGCAGAAAACACCTGGCTAGAATATGAATCCAAGATTCCAAATAATAGTTCTCGAACTTCAGCGTCTAAAAATCTATATCTCTCGAAATCTAATAAACCAAAGGCGAAATGAGTCCAAAAGTTACTAGTAGCAGTTTATTCACTGTGGCCTACCTCAAACCAGTGTGTCTCTAATGATCATTACTGTGGTGCAAGATACCTTGACAGGTTGACGCAGAGCATGAGAAAGAGAACGAGTTGCAGTCTCATGAGAATTTTGAGCGTGTGACGACTGTTTTGCACCTGCATAAACCTCACAATTAGAAAAAAACATGGAAGGTAGGCTTATTGCTGCGTTGACCAAAAAATTAACATAACAATAGCGACTGGCTTTAGACTTTCCAGGAATATTTTCCAGTACACGTAACCGAAAAGGAATTCAACTGCTCTAGAAAGGCTATGTGTAATGATTTGCTATGAAAACCAAAAACGTCTTTTAGCACGATACATAGAAGAAAATAAAAAACCATTGCTGTTTTGTCATTTTACATTATTATCAAGGCTAATAATGTTCAATGCAAGTCGAGAACCAAATCTGAGATTCATTACAAAGAATGTAACCACCCACAAAAGAGGACATTTGTATTACAAATAAACCAAATCAAGGCCTACACGTCACGTTTAGTACAGAAATAAAAATGGGCAATACGGTGATTAAAGGAAGCTTAAGAAATGATAGGTTTTTTGTGCATATTTCAAAACAATTTAAACATAAAACAGATGATGAGGGTCGACAGTCCGGACTGGACACCAAAAAGGTTTATAATAGAGATCTTGTCCTGGCATCTCTGTTCGGGCCTTTCACGAGAAGACTTTACGTTGAATGTTTTTCAAACACACCATTTCATCACCGCCATAACAAAACGTCCCCTCTTCGCATCAAAGTGGGAAGATCACATGAAACCAAACACTACAATCAAATTGCACTCTAATCAGATTCATTTGCTGCCCTGGGTCATCCAGAGACAAAGCAAATCCTATTCTATATAGCGGATTAAATTGATTTTCGTTTTGAATCTGATTAACGGTTTGTTATAAGGAATAAACGGACAAACAGAAGAGACTAACCAAGATTTTCAAAAAAGTACAAGTTCGATATCTAAATTTTCCGAATGCTTCTTTTCCGAATATATTTAAGAATCACTCATAGCTATTTCTCGTCATGTCGGAAATCAGGACCCTTCAAAATCTTTTGCCACAAGACAAATCTAAGTCATTTCAAGCAATTTTCTTTGCATTCAATTTGAAAGCGAAAATCTCATGTCAAATTACTCAACGATATTTTATCACAATTTCACTAATTCCAACATTTACCCCATGAAATTCCAGGTAGCTCATTTTCTAGGTCTTTAATGAAACTTGGGATATCGTCTGAAACATATTACAACATAAGCTACATTACAAAAAATCACCATAAACATTTGAATTTTAAATTGCCAATCTCTGCCACCAGTTATTGAATGCGAGAAATCTTAATCTGTTGGCCTCTGTATTTTGCTAAAATATCTGTTTTTTCAAGGCTGGGTGAGGTCATAATACGTTTTACTATTGTCTGTTTTTGACAAGATTCAAAAAAGAGATTTAAGTAGCGGAAAAGTTCCAGAAAGCAAAATGAATGAAGTAGATACAAACATTAGCCTAAACACGAACAAGGCCAAAAAACAAAGAGACATTAATAAAACCTTTGCTCTACCATGTCCTGTGAGGACGTAGGCGATAACGTTTTTCCATAACTTTCTATCCCTTGTTTTTTGGGCACATCTGCCATCCATTTGCTTACACTTCTCAAATAGGTCATCCGCTGTCTGCCCCTGATCCGTTTTCCTTCGATTCTTCCTGTTAATGTCAAGTTTTCTAGACCTTCCTTTCGCATTATGTGCCCAAAGAACTCCAGCTGTCTTTTCCTGGTTGTTTTTATTAAGTTTCTTTCTCTCTCTGCTCTTCTTAATACTTCCTCATTTGTAACGTGACCTGTCCAAGATATTTTAAACATTCGCCTTAGGAACCATATTTCTTCGGCTTCCAGTCTTCCTTCTGTCTGCTTTGAAATTGTCCAACACTCACTGCCGTATGTAAGGATGGGGTATACATAGCAATCCAGCACTCTTAGCTTAGTCTCCATAGACATCCTTCTGTCTTTCAGTACCTTTCCCATTTTCTGAAAGGTATATTTTGCCATTCCTTTTTTTAATTTCCGAATTATTCGTTTCCGAATCATTTTTCATCATTCGTTATAATACTTCCTAGGTAGTTAAATTTGTCAGCCTGTCTGATCCTATTTTCTTCTATCTCTAACGTAAACTTTGGCTTTAGTGTCTTTTTGCTTATTACCATACATTCTGTCCTATTGCAATTTATCGTCAAACCATTCTTTCCACTCTTTTTAACTACTTTTTCAAATAGTTCCTGTAACTTCTCTGCGGACTCAGAAATAAGCACTGTGTCATCCGCAAAACGCAAGTTGTTCATGTTATGGCCTCCGATGACAAACCCTTGCATGCCTTCTAATAAGAATACTGGAAACATAATTTCAAAGATTGATACATGAAATTCAATCATGTTTAATACGTGACAGGGTTCAAATTTTTGGCTCCCCTGAGCTTTGGTTTTTTGGCATGGATAGTCCGGTTGTGGAGTTTGTGCTCATTGTTGAAACGATCGAGTCCTGGGAATATGGTGGTGTCCAGTCTTTTCTCCTATCGACCAACGCGTTCACAGGCCTTTTTAAAAATGGTTCAGCACATGACCTCGGGGCAATTAGCTGCTTACAGGAGTTGCTTAGTGGTGTGGTAGAATACGCATATTGGCTTACATGAATTATAACACATACTCTCACAAAATTGATGTTTTTGTACAACGGCCTAGACTTTACAACCCTCATATCTGCAATACTCGAGTGTGCATCACAATGTGTTTTTAATAAGAACAAAGCAACAACCGTGGAAGTGTGTATTGGCCTCGAGTGTAAAAATTTCATGTTGGTATATTTTTATCCACACACATTGCAAGACGACCTGAAATTGTATTGTTAAGAGCATGATTTTGCAACCCTACCCACAAAATGCAAACTTTCTATTTCTTTTCTTAACGCATTGGTTAATGGCCAAATTACCTTCTTCCGCTAGTTGGCAGAAAAAAAGTCATTGGTTCTTCTTCTCAACCCCCTAAAACGGTTGGGCTTTTAATTTATTGCCGTTCGTGTACCAGCAGCCCAAAAATAAGTTGCCCAAATGATGAAAGAGAACCACCTTCAGTCTTGTGATTGAAACTGATCAATTATTCTTAGGACCATGCATCTTACTTTTTTGCTAGAGTTTCTAGCACAAATATTGAGGGAAATTTATTCAGTCTTATATACTTCCAGATAGGAGTCAACGTCTGCCTTTGGGGATCAAAAGTTATTTAAACCGGGTCTTGATATCATGAGTCAACACCTGAAAAAACCTGGTCCAGGATCTTGGGTCGATTCAAGAGCACAAAATGGGAGTGCGTAGTAATGGAACCTAATTAACGTTAATAAAACCCCTCGTTAATTAAAATGAGGTTTACCGTGATACCTAAAAACTTAACATGCATTCTCTGTTAAATAAAGATAGGTGATGGCATAGACAAAGAACCGAAAATACCCCCAAAATAACCCAAAATACCCATTTAGTACTCGCGATTACCGCCGCAGTGCGATCCCATTCTAATAGCAGCGCGATCCCATTCTAATAGCACGAGAAGACATATAATGATTGGTCTAACCTGTTTTGACGTGTGTCATTAAGTAGTGTTCAAGACCATCCCAACCACCGCCAATTCTTACCAATACATGATCATTCAGCATCTAAAACATGGACAAAATAATGATCAACGTTTTCCTCTTAAAAGGGCCTCTCCAGCCAAATTTTGCACTTGCATTTTATTGGCTAATCTAAAGGAGTTGAATCTGCTGATTACGAACTCGTTATTTGTTTTTCGATATTTTTTACAGTTTGTGAGTAATAAGCTCTTGCATTTCGATACTTGAATTGAATTAACCGATAAAATTTTTTCGGTTTGGTGACACTGTGACGCAATTTTGACGTCACTGTGCATTTCGTTAGTCTCGCCTCAAACCGAATCGAACGACGGCGATTAGCAAATTGAACACTGCAGGTGATGGTACCCTTCATCTGTAACCAGTTCTGTTCCACCGGCTTTTAGTTTGAGCATTTCAGACACCAAATCTGAAGCCTTTAGTTGTTCATCGCTTCTGGAGAACAACTGAAGTGTCAATTTCGATTAATTATACGCGAGGGAAGAGCTGGAACAGGAAGCCATAGCTTTGTGGGCCTACACAGGTGATCAAAACAAAGTCTTGATACAGCATGGACACATTCTGACCCGCAGACAATATTTTTCGATCCTATTTTAGATGCAGTTATCAACGCGTGACCATGACTCTTTCACGTTTCGGTTGAAGATATACGAAATTCATGGCGAATGAGAGCCGCACATTGTGACGTCAGAATGTCACAAAACTGATTCGGCTTTTGTCGTTTTTCTCTCGGAAAGATGCAACTTTAAAGCCTTATAACTTCTGAACTAATTGGAATTTTGCAAAAACAACGACTTTGCCATAATACATGCACAGATGCTAACTCTTTTATCAATAAAAAAAAAATTTTTTGGCTGGAAAGGCCCTTTAATCTATAATAAAAAATCATCTTGCTGGTGGCAATGGGTTGCCATTGCTAGTCTTCATTAAGAGCCAACACCATATTTTTCAACGTGGAGTCCTGATCGAAAAAGGGGTGTTTATGGAAGAAGATAAGAAAGATACATATTGATATGAACAAATAAAAATATGCCAATAATAGTGCAAAATTTGCTTTTATAAAGCTGGAGAAACGACCAATAAACGATTATCAATACTCCGAATTCACATAAAGCTAAGAACTAAGAGTATACTAGGAATTCATATACATCATAACAGAATCTTACACATCTGTTAAACATTCAGACGACAATAAATACGGTAAAAAGATTGACAAAAATTCAGAATTCACATAGTGAGAGTGGGCAGAAAAACAAAGCCATTTGTAATTCCAATTAATGAAAATATTTACTCGAAAAACTCAGAATTTACTTGAGCTGATCTCGGTATTGGGCAGATTCAATGCTATAAATCAATAAACTCTATGCAATGGCATTAGCAACTAGACATCATTGCTACGGGTTGCAGCGATTACATGTGTTTTATCCACGTTATGTTCTGCTCTTTTCAAGGGTAGAAAATCCAATGGCAATTCTAATGTCCACTAAAACTGAGCCAGATGGTATGACAAGCTAACTGTCTTGTTTTTAGTTGGCGTTTTTGAAGAAAAAAATTAAAGATACCCTCATTTCAATTCAGTAAACTTTGGACACTGTTAATCACAGAAAATACAATTGTAAAAAGCTTACCCGTACAAACATGACTCTACCAAGAATAATGTACTTTCCTTCTTTCAGCCTTAATATTTTACCAACGGAATATTCTTGAATTAAGTTGAAAACCTAAACATAAAACAAAATCATGCATGAAAAAAACAAATATTCGAAATTGTACGGCATTGCCAACAGAATGCGAAAAATTGATGAAAAGAGAAAAGAAGAGAGGACCACGAAAGAAGAAAAAGAAGGAAAATTAAATAAAAAATGGGAAGAAGAATGAAAAGAAGAGAAGAGGAAACCAAATGAATAAGACAAGGAAAGCGGTGAATAAAACAAGGAGGGATACTAGAAGAGAAAATGGAAAAAATTAAAAGGAAAAGCGAGTTAAAAAAGGGTAACAAAGAAGGGTAACAAAGAAGGGTAAGAAAATGAAGAATAAGAAAACGGACGAAAAGAAGAAATAGAAGGAATTGAAATAAGAAATGAGAGAAATGAGAAAATGATGAGGAGTAAAGACAAAGGTATGCATCGAAGAAAAGAAGGCAAATAAAAAAGAGGAAGGAAGTAGGTCAGGGCAGGGGTAGGTCAAGGCAAGGGCGGAAACAGTACGGACAAAAAGCAGAACATGCAAAGACAGATGTAAAAGAAATGTGACGAGGAGAAAAGAAAAGAGACGGAAGAAGAGATTTACAGGGAATGTGACAGAAATGTTATAATACAAAATGTCATAATAATAGACAAAAGAACAAATGGAAATGGACTCAAATGTTATAATACATCATTGTTAAAAAGAATAGCTTACTCTTATTTAAAGAAACCTGCTCAAAAGGTATGGAAACTATTCTTTTTTAAGATAGATAAATATTTCTGGAAATAGATAATGGAAGGACCGACTGCTCATTCCGACTGATTATGTGCTCTGTTTTACGTTATGTCGCGTTTTTGTGATTCTATAAAGTAACTCGTTAGCAATTGATATTTTTAAGAAACCTAGTTTTCATCCTGAGCTTAGTTTCTTATAAAAACTCATTTACATGCAAAGATCTTTAAGATACAAAGAAAACATAACCAGTTATATCGAATTATTTTTCTTAAGATGGCGAAAGGAACATATGTTTATCAGATCCTGCCAGCATATTTCAGAGCAACCCTTAGCGTTCTTTTTCGTGTCTTCTTTTACTTCACATTCCTTTTTTATTATGCATTTTATCAATTATTCAAGTCTCTTCTTTTTAACTAAATCGAACTTTACAGTCGTCACAACTAAGCCAATCATCATTTTATATTTCTTCTTCAATCACACTCTTTTTCAACCGCATAAAGCAGGTAGCAAGTCGCATCACTTTCGCTTATCAACAGTTCAATGGGAGACGAATGAGTTAAACAGAGGCATAACAGCGACAGAGAGATGAGACAGACGAAAGACAGTTTATCAAACGGTGTAAATCAGGAAATTGGTTCTTTTGAAATTTTGTAAACAATAAAAGAATGGTCATTTGAGTTTTGTATCCAGCAAGATTTCACAATTGACAAAATGTTTACAAACGACTCTACCGCACACATTTATGTATTCAAATGTCCGAAAACAAACCAGAGAGCAAAGCACAAAGCAAAGATCATGAAAAAAATCAATAGATCTTTGTTATGTTTGGCCTAAGACTAACATTTGTAAATTACATTTCAGAAAGTTGACATATCAGCTGATTTCATCCCAGGTATCAGGAAAGAAAGAAAAAATATTTGAGATTCTTTTGAAATCATTTGACCAGTAGACAGTGCAATGTTTGTGTATTAATTTCAATTAACTTTATGCAAACTAAAGATTCTTACTAACATCAATATACTTCACCATGACCTCTTGTTTAATGTAAGAGATTAAACCCTCAAAATAACTTGTTTCACTAGAGATCTCTTGGAGAGCAACCAGCATTTCTTAAGACGATAGAAAGTGCTGGAAAGAGGATTGTTACAGCGATCAAAGTTAGTTGCTTTTTATTTAACCTCCAGAGAACATGACCTTAAATACTGTGAAAATGGCACTGATGGAATTTGCCTGCAGATGTGATAACTTAGCTAAAAATATCCCTCCTTGATGAACAATTCTCCAGAGTTTTACCCGGAATCGCCAAACTTCGAAACAAGATACCAAATGCTCAAACAGATATTTTACCTATAGTCTGAATCTTTGCGGGTTTTATAGCAAGTTTAAAAGTGGAGGGGTTCAACAAAACTGGAAAAACTTTACATTATATGAGAACATGCAAAATACAACACTCTTCAGATAAAAACTTTTCATTGGAAAAAGGGGGAAACTACTGCTGGAAAAATGGGAGTTAGTGCCCCTAGGCCCTTTCCAGTTCCTATGCTGCTATTTGTGAACTATTATTGATCAAAATAGGCCAATTAAATGCCATTCCTTGCAGAAAAACAATGAAGGGTTTGACCATTAACAACACTGAAGGAGGCACATTAAAATTGTAAACTATACATTGCACCAATTTGATCTGCAATATAATATTGGCTTGCATGCTGGTGCACCTGTCCATCTTAAATAACTAGAAGATTAGAATGGGCAGCTATTAATTTGCTAATCAATTTTAAAAAAATTGTGCATATACATGTATGAAATATGTATCTAAATTCCATTAAACACTACTGTAGTGAAACACGTCACTGTGTTAACCATTTGGGAACGATCCCTAGCAGGGCTTAAGAATATGTCATTGAGACCCTTCAATAACACAATAAGCTCATCCCATGCATTACATGGCTCCTGCACAGGTCAGAGTTAAGTAAGACAAAATACTCATTAATGCTTTTTAAAGAAAAGGTTTTAAACATGACCAAAACCCATACCTTTCTATCCAAGTCTGACTGTGGTTTCATTACACTGTCTGTCTGATCATTCCCATTGTCTGTATTAGCAATGAGCTCGGGTACTGAGTTTGGTATAAATTCTTTTTCGTCCGACATTGGCTGAACAATATCCTTTGGCTTATCATTCATTTTTCCATGGTTGTCAGATATAATTTTGTTTTCTCCTAAGCCATCAGTCCCTGTCTCACTGTTAATTCTAGCAGATTTATCATTCCTATTATGCAAGTTAATATCATTTTCTGTATCTACACCTGAATCAGTTGAGTTTTGCCTTTCATAACCATTTTTCTTCTCCTCCTCCTCAATTTCTTTTTCCAATAAAATAAGCTTAGGAGGTTTAACTCCATACTTCAAAGACCGCCTTGCAACTTCCATTAAACAAATTACAACCTCTCTGGCACCTTCACGTAACTCTTCAGTTTGTACAACATCATTAGATTCAAATAAAATAACTTCAGGCACATGATGTTTTCTACACCAAGACAAAAACTCAGTTACATTCTCTCTTGCTCTGAACTGACCAATTTGGCCTCTAGTTTTACTCCTTGGATGAAACTTGATGTCATACTTAGGAATTTCAATTCCATGCTTTTTACCATATCCATCAGCATGCTGCTGGATTAACTTTGCTAATTTACATAAAAGTACACCATCCTCCAGGGCAAAGAAAAAGAACTCGGGAGCAATGATTTCTTCTGGAAATAATTCAGCCAACCATTCAGATTCATCCTCTATCATAGCAAATAATAATTCGTTTTCTTTTTCCCATCTTCTGACAGAACTCCAACTGCGAGATTTCAATCTGGAAAAAAATATTGGCTGCAAGATCAATCTGGAAAAAAATACTGGCATACAAGAAACCCAAATAAATCATATTGCAAACCGATTTAATAAAAATATATCTAGCCACTGCTAAACCATATTATACATTTGAGATTCAAGTGATAAATTTTTTTATTCTTCCACTTCTATTCTCTCTACTTTCCTTTAAATTAGGCAAACACTGAAAAATCTTCATAGCTTAACAAATTAAAAAGATAATTGACCAATGAAAAAAAATTTTCAAAATATTGTTGTAGAGCATGAGAAAAAACTAGTCATTGTAATAAACATATCTATTTCATGACATCAGATCTTGGAATAGAGACAATTGTAGGCAGATCCAAATGACGCATTTGCTTTAGCATAGCATCTGTTGGAGAACATTTACTCTATTAAAATTCATGTTCCCCATTTTGTTATGAAATGGTTGAACCTATGGGTATCAAAAGGGTGTGTCGTTAGATAAGGTACCAGTTTGCAAAAAGAGTAAGGTACCTATGACTATCAGATGGACCCACCTCTGTAATTAAAAATTTCAAGTGACCCCCTGGGCATTTAGGAAAAAAATTGACATGTTGGGGTCATCATGGGTCAAAAAAATTTAATGCATCTTTGTGAATTGTTTGTTTTAAAGCCAACTCAAAAACAAGAAATAAAAATTGAACAGCCCTATTCTGCTATAAAAAAAGGGTTTGGAAAATTTAAAATTAATTATGATGTAAGAATTAGTATCTTGTTGGTCTTGTTCCCTGTACTTATGACAGATAGTGTTTCCGTCTCCACGTTTCTTCATTCAATCTGTACTTTACTTTATGTATGAAGCTTAAGCTTTTCTTGGTCAACAAAACTGATAGTTTGCTAGAGATTTCAATTTAGATGGCAAATAACCATTTGAGAATCTTTGATTATATCAATCCTTGTATGTTCTGGCTTTTAGGCTGATCAGTTTCCATGGTTTTTGCTCATCTCAGTGATTTTAAATTTTCTATTTCCTTGGGTACAGATCAAAATTAAAGCTTAAGGCAAAGGTAAACGACAAAAGAGGTCTTGGAAAATATTTGCTGCCTAATACGTGTTAAAAGGTCATATGTATTATTCATGACCTAATCCGATGGGTGTTGTATTCTGGAAATTCTAGACAATGTAAAATACCTGCAACTTGTTAACACCTGATCTTGCCTGAGTGCAAGTGTAAAGGCACAATAATAAAGGTTATGAACAACATAATGTACATTGGCTAAATGAATATTGGTTGTATCCGATGTACATTGGCTAAATAAAGACAAATTCGACTTTCAAATACTACTGTTGATTTTTCTTCTCGCATGTTTCGCCGACCTCCGCTAGAACGTGGCAAATAAAACGCTTCCTACAAAGTACTGATTTGAGCATTGAGTATCACAGATCAGTACAAATGGACTCTGATTTCTACTTTCTATTGCCATAGGTTATGTGGTTGACCATTTACTAAAACGCGCCAAATTTCGTCAGACCATGCAACACAAACGAAGATTGATTATTTGCTTTTTAAGACGTTATGAATTTTTATGAGAAAGAGTTTATCGTTTTTCGATCTTTACCTTTTTAATCCACTGTTTCGATTTTCATCTGGTTCAGGTGGAGCTCTTGGTCTGTTGTCAACTGTTGAAACAACTTCCCTTCGCCTCCTTGGGGAAACTGATCCAAATGTCTTTGATATAAATGGTCCATCTGTGTTCATACTGAAACATGTTTAATAGTACATTGCATTATAACATATCAAGTTCTCGGATTTCATACATTAAATTTCAATGACACCGTGTTATGTGAACCCTGAGTACCTTCATCTCTTTCTTCCACCAATTTTTATTAACATTTTCGCCGTCCTTAGGCCGTTAAAGGCAAGTGTTGCCTCGCAACGACTGCTGAGCAAGCGAAGAATCCTTCCAATGTTTACACTTTATACGGCGCCTGGCAAGAAAACACGCAAACAACTCAAGCAGGATTCACAAATCTTGAAGAAAACATTTAAAACCCCGCATGACCAAAGTTGTTTACGAATATCTTAACCTATGAAATCACACACCATGTACCTGGCCATATTTATGCAAATAACTTCCGCTCATTCCCTTCCTCTTTCTCGTAATCCGCACGATATCTGAATTGATCGTGGTGTCAGTTTCCTTAATAGATACCTTTTTCTCCAAAAAAAGTACGAAATGAATAGGTTCTCTAAGCATTGAATATTGCTTTATGAATCGAAACCAAATGGCAATGTTAAAAACCCACTCTTGACATTGTTGATTGTTGATACGTGCGCAATTAACTTATCAAAAGACATTAAAAATGAAATAAATTGCAGTGGGCAGGAAAATTGAACAGAGGTGTTCACAGTCAAAACGCTGGAAAAAGGGATTGACAGATTTCATGATTCCGTTTGATTCCTTTAATTTCATTTCATCATATTGCATTCAGTCTGTTCTCTAAATGTATAGAAAGAGGGCCGTATAGAGGAAATAAGTGCCCCCGAAGGTCCTCTCTCGTCTCATAATAAAAATACTACCCTCTCTGATTCAACGCCTTTCGGTGCTAAATTCTTACTCTAGCATTGAAAGTTTATCTTATTCAAATATTCATGTTTTCTTGCACTATGCTTCATAAAACATACCCAGATATCTAGAAGATGTATGTGAGGCATAATTCTGTCTGGAACATGCTATCTTGTCAATTTGCATAGGGAAATTGTCATATGCGTTTCGGTAACCTTATGCATTTCGGTTCGGGTACACAAATGCATGATATTTTTGGTTATGCAAAAACGTACCCAAGCACTTAAACATTAGGGTACCAAAACGAATAGTAGAATTTAGCATGCAAAACGGTCCGGGTACACAAATGTTACGATTCACATTGTTCAGAATGTAAATAGCAATCGAACTATTTTTAAATAGGGGTTGCTAATAAGAAGCGGTGCTATGATTTCTGATAAAAGTACAACATTAATGGTGACTCCAAACTTTGCGAGATTGAAAAGTGTGAAATTCTTATCTCTGAAAACCTTTAGTTCATTTTTTATTCATAACAAGTAAAAACATCGCACAATGATGAAATCATACGATCTGAAACACACTGCGTTTCACAATGTTGCACTTTTGCATAGGGTACCAAAACGCATATTACACCGGCATGACGCTTCCAGCCTAAAAAAGGTACAGAACAAATCTTGCTCGAAAAGCTCGCTCGAACATATGTAAGAAGATAACCAGTAGAAAGCCATGACATACCTAGTGGTTAAACTTGCGTACATTCACAAGCAAATGAAGCAGCTGGTCATATAAATGCATTCACAATTATTGACAAAAGTTTAACTCCGTTTAGCTGAAATTAGCAACACCCAACCATGGGCAGATGTACCTTCAATTTTGTTTTTTAGCCCAACTTGGACACACAATGCGAATAATAAAAACAAAAACTTTTTTATTTTGTAGTAAGTAATGTCTCAAAATATTTTTTCTAAAGAGTTTGAGACTCACTGAAGTTTCTCATTTGAAAAACTGTTTAAAGTGTATTTAAGAATTTATTTCTAGAATTTAGGGGCGTATGTAGCGAGGAGTGCAGGGAGTATTATGCTGTAATATACATTTAGTCTAAATAGCGTTGTTTTGTTATCATATTATCATATTCAGTTTAGTGTAGATACTAGCTCCCCTACGAAGACCGCTACGCGGGCTTGCCAGTGACCCTACGGTAGGGTACATAGATTAGCCTCGGAAAAGACAAGAATTTTCTTAAAACCCCCAGTGACTGATAGTAAAATTAGCCTTGGAGTGATTGCCTAAGAGACGGATGTTAACTTTCAACCTCGCTTACGTGTATCTTGTTGTTTAATTGGATTAATCGATGGTTTTTCGGTTGGAGTTGGGAGTGGGGTGCTGATGGTTTTTAGAGAGAGGAATTGCGATCGAGGAGTTGGAGTTGTCAAGGACGTTTTCAAGTCGTTTTAAAGTTGTCAAGATCGTTCGTTGTCAAGAATGGAATTAATTGTAATAATAACTTGTAAATAGTATACATATACGTATATATCGTGTTTATTTCATTGTGGATTTTGCTACCATACACCGACCAGCCTTAAAAAGTACAACAATTATACCCACTTAAACCTTTATAAGTTGGTCGGGAACTCGTCAAAAAGTCCTTGATTGGTCTATAAAATTGCCAATTGGTAGTTAAATAGCACCTAAATTTTTCTTCATCTATATCTTCATCTATATATTTTTCCATTTTCTTTATATAAAAGGCTTTGTTACATTCCTTTTCTGGCAGCAAGTCCTTCGCTAATTTTTTTTAAATGAGTTATATGCCTACGTATTCAATTTCCATTCCACCAGTCCATGTTTTACACTATTGTTAAATACATGACATCATCACAGTCATTTAGGAAATTTAATAGTAAGGAGGTACTTTATGGTGACCAACGTAACCTCTTCTAAGCTCAGCCCACGTGGTATTCGATGAAGTTTAGGTAGTAGAACTTTACTTCAACGAAAATATAAAACATTTCCTTTTTCTAAAATACGTGACTCAAATACCATTTATATCTTGCTTGAAATGAGAATAATTTCAGAATCAACTTTCATTATAGAGTTGGTATCAGTTGAATCTACTGCCTCCCGTAAGTATGAAATCCCCAAAAAAGATTTGTAGGAAACATTTGGTCAAGTTCTAAAGAGGAAAGTGACGTAAATCCTCGAATAAGCCCCCTCGCTCACCAAAAAGCAAAAAGCGACTTTTGTGATGATAAAAAATTATAATGTTAAAATTTGTAATGTTCTTTGTTAGGTTGGCTAGAAAAGTTACAGAATGTCGTTTTTATGTCGACCTTTAATGAAAGTACTTAACATTGAAATAAGCCCCCCTCGAATAAGCCATCACCCGAAAATTCATTTTTGCAAATAAGTCCCCGGGGGCTTATTCGAGGATTTACGGTATATTTACAAATGGCTTGACTGCTTGAGTTAAATAGCCTATGGTCAGATTACTACCCAAAACAAGATTTCTTAAAAGATTTGTTAATACTTTCTATTGAATATTATTCTGTTTTTTGAATTCATTTCAAGAAGCCCATGGATTTAAATCATGGAAATTCTGATATAACAATTATTTAAGGCATCTTAAAGAATTTCAGGTTTAGAATCTTATAATCAATGATAAGTTTCCAAGACTTTTGTATTTCTTTTCGTCAATAATTGATTAATTGATTTTTTGGCTATGAAAAATTGGCATTCATTATCCATATAATGTTATAGAACTTTGAGTATTTTTCTTTAAGAATTATTGATAACTTGATTATTGCCTCAAATGTTATTAACTATTGAAGCTTTTTAAAATGCCAGATATTGATTTTGGGAAAGTTTTTGGAATTTTGAGATAGTTTTGTAAACAAAAAACATAGGTAGATTTCTTAGGCCATCTTGAATTCCAATTCAGTGTTAAAGAAAATGATATATTGCACATCTGTAGGACTTAGTTTGATGTTCGATTCATTTACTCTCACTCAGGGGCGGACTGGCTAATTTTTTTGGCCCGGCAAATTTTTATCAAACCGGCCCACAATAACAGCAAATAAAAAACTCCTCGGAAAATGCAAGTAAATTTTAGTCTGTAAGGGAAACAAGTTTTTAAATTCAGTAATTTAGTACAGGGATGAATGCTGGTTAACAGAATATGGTTAACAGAACATGTTAAATATGTCATTTGCTGACTAAAGAGTAAATAAACAAAAATTTTAACTCACTGGTTTGACTTTGTTTCTAAATACAGGATCTTATATGTTGGTAATGTGATCGTCCTGGATGTCATCTAACAGGTGTTTTTCTTAGAACATTAACATGAAGTACTCCAGGTTTGGCTGCAAAAAATTACTACGTAATCTGTTCTTTATATATTTGAAGTGGAAAAGCTTCTATCGCACTCAACTTGTGACAATTAATTTTCTAATCCTCCGGAAAACCACAATGATTTTCAGCAACCCAAAAATATCAATTTATCAATTTCTGACCCCAAAAATAAAACATGGGGACCCCTGTTGAAACTTTATCGTGTAGCACCATACCCCTGTTGGGCGGGGGGTCCATTTGACTTATGATAGTATAGGCCTAATAAACTTACCATAACTTATATGAGTTTATTGAAAAAAGCAAGACCCTGCTGTTTTTGTGTGACGTTTGTGGCTTTTGCTTGATAAAAAAAGCTTTGTATCGTAGCTGAATCCTTTTTTAAGTCCCGCAGCTTTTCCTCACGAAATTTCTGTGCACCACCTTTGGTTGGAGTCTTCTTGCTTTTCCCTTGTTCTACGTATGTCCTCTTCATTGCTTCACATCACAGAGCAAATCGCTTAGTGAACTCTAATTTTTGTACTTTTAAATTTATTGCATTTAGCAATAGCTTGTGCTTAGGCAAAAACATGACCAGCTTGAAGCAAAAGCTAAGTAAAAAGTCACCAGGGCAGGTTAAAATCTTATGTATCGCATTGAAACAGGGGTGTTACAGTACAATATATCGCCAAAAAAGGAAAAACCGTCAAGAGAAAATACAACAAGATGTCAATAACATGTTTCCTGAAAAAGTGTGTTTCGGCTGCGGTGACAATAATGAATTCATAATTTTGATGGTTTTGGAGTACTCGCGTGTATATTTATTCTTTCCCACAAAGTTTCTGAAAATTCAAGGCAAGCAGATCAACGCGTGGGTATACTTTTTTGCTTCGCATTCACTTTCTAAGCTGATTTATTTTTTTGGCACTTTTATCAGCCTGCCCTTAAACCGACCGGCCCTTCGGGCGATCGCCCGAATAGCCCGACCAGCCAGTCTGTCCCTGCTCACTCCAGGAAAATACAACATAACTGGCTAACTTCTGTTGTAGCTGTAAAGCATCTTTTGATTCACAGACTTATGTATTCATCATATACATGTTTAAATTTTTCACAAAGTAAAAAGTTGGATATGTAAGCATTCAGTATACGGTGTATAGCTACTAAAATTACTCGGAACACGCAATTTTGATTACAACTTACTTTTTATTTCGTGTCTTACTCCACTTTAACTTTTGCAAGCGCCGTTTTTGCTGTTTTGTGCAGAAGTAAGCTTTTTAGAGAACGTGTATAGCCCAAAGATCAAAATACCCAACAATTTTTCGGCACCCTTGAAGAAAAGAACTCAACAAGGTTGTTTTAGAAAAGGTTGCAGTGACTGGAAAAATATTCTTCTTTTATAAAGTTGCTTATTACCGGAGTAGTTTTTTCATTCGAATGTTAAACGGCAAATAGTTTGAGCATTGTCAGAACTTCTTGATGATCTTCTTGATAGAGTAAATGCAGTGTGTTGCCTATTGGTCTAATAAATCTTTCCTCTATAACCATTAAAAGTTATCTTCTAATGCAAATGTGAAATTTTATCAGAACTTAGCTTTATGTTGCATATTTCTTTGATATATACAAACAAAATGGATAGTAAAAATAATTACAATAGAAAAATTGAAGAATTCGTGAATAAATGGCCAAATGCTCTGTACGGGTTAATAAATGATACAATCAATTACAGTAAGCGATATCAATTCATGCTATCTTTTTTAACGTGCATTACCTATCCTACTCACTAGATACATATTTTATACGTTCCCAGGTATTTATTGCAAAAATACACTAATCAATTATGATTTGTGTTGAAACTGGATAAATCTCAAGAAATGTTGACTTTTGGCATGTATCATCACATTGCCCTTATATCTTTGATAGCCACTCCATTACATCTTCAAAGACTTAATAATTACCGAAAACATACGAGAGAACACTTTTATTCACACTTTTATTGGAGCAAGTTAAACTTGATCACTATGACGTTACTTGGGTTTTGCGAATTTTTATTATGCTTATAACAAGATCTAAAATATAAACAGCTCCCTTAATCATTCTTTCTGCTTTCCCCAAATTACTTTTTCAAGTCGGTTTCAGGAACTTTTTAATTCGATTCCAACAAAAAAGCTACACAACAAATACAAAAGGCATCTCCCTCTAACGAACAGTGATCATTTAAATGTGTGCAAGAGAAAATTCTAAGGTTATTGTTAAGATTATTGTTATAAAAAAACATCATTGCTTTTATTCCAGTGACTACAAGAGATCTGATTTGTCTACAACAGCCTAGTCAAGAAACGCTGAGTCAAAGTACACAAACTTAAATTGCATCAAATATTCAAGCAAGGCATCTCTCACATCAGCATTGTCCTTATTCAATATAATTCATTGGTTTTCGTTTAGGGTATCCTCTTTTGACATATAAAACGGGAACGGGACCCAAAATAAATAGTCTAAGAATAGGAATCCAGGATTTTAATTGACAGAAAGAGGAATCCAGGAGGTATTCAGCATTAGATTGGGAAATATGCCAATAAAGAAATATCCTACAAGCCAATAATATTCGTTTTACGCCCTGCAACATGGTCAGATTTTTTCAAATGCATTGCAATTGCCAAATGGAGGAAGATATTTTCTGCATAATTATTGGGATTTGTACTTCAGCTATGCATGAAATCGAGGAATATATGTATGTTATGTTCAATAACATAATATTAACTAATGTAAATATCTGTTAAATATCTGATGAAAAAATCTGCCAGTATAACAGGGTTTTTGAAAAATAACGATTAATGTGAATTTATGTAGGCAAAGGTCTCAAACTATATTTTCACAATGCTATTCAATTTCATAAAAATGATGTCATCAATCTTGTTCTGAATAATCTGCTGAGAATAAATTAATATTCACTATTCTATCTGGTATTCTTCTCTCTATGCTAATGATTTTCCTCACCTCTTGTTTGTTGGTAATTTGACCATCACTGTTCAACGAATGACATCTTGTAGACGTTTTTGACATCTTGGGTTTCTGTCACGTCCTTCTCAGGAGATATGGTGAATAAACAACGATTTTCTTGGCAAGCAAGAACGAAGTCATTTAAGAGGCAACAATCTTCGACCACTACTTTCTTGCATGATAAGATTGATTTTTTCTGTCAAGGTACATATCCAGGTGAATTTGAAAAGCAAATGATTATAGTCAACAAGAGCAAAATCACAAAACAATGCAAAAGGCAATAGTCAATCGTCATTGCAACAATCCTCCATTCGCTCTTAATCCTACTGTCATCATCTTCGCCTCGAAGTCTTTCAACAATAAAGTCCAACTTTTTTGCAATCGCTGCAAGTTCCCCACTCCGAGATGAAGATCTGTCATGACCGCTAAATCCATGCTTGCAATGTCGAGCGTCAGATTTCGTCTGGCTGTTTTTGTGTGGCATTGTGTTTCTTACCCATAGCTTTAAAAAAGGATTGACAAACGCTATCAAAATTTGTGTTTTTCTAGTCAGGTCATTTATAAGAAAAGTGTTTTAGCTTGTTTGTTGGCTTCGTGCCTTATAAGAAAATCTACGCATTACCATTTGTGCAGGAGGTTTTTATTTGTTTGCAAAATTGATTGATTTACTTGATCCACAACTGGGTATATATTTTTCATCGTGTTCTTTCGGACCCTTATTCTGACGTTTTATGCTCTAAGAAGTGTCAGACGAAAAACCTTTTCGCCAATATGTTGTAAAATGTTTGCTTTTATCAAAGCCATTTCCAAGTTCTGTACCGCCAAAAAACTGATTAACTATCTCTGCCAATGGTTAAGCTGCAATTTAAAGGCAATCTGTCACGACGTTGATTGATTATAAGAACAAAGGGTTTTTTTATTGTTTCCAGTCCCCTTTTAATTAATCGCATTGTAAAAAATATGGCGGAGCGCTGGAATCGTGTTTAGGCTATTGTTCCAGCTATTGTTCTCGTTAACCAATCCACAACGAGACAGATTGCCTTTAACCTGCCTCTATTAATACAAAATTGTTCATTCTATGCAACCGTTCAAAAAATGATACACGATAGAAAATTACCTGAAGATCTTTATTGTCTTCTTCCTTGGCCGAACCAGATCCCTCTGAGACACTGCTTCTTCTTTGAAACGGCAGCATTTGCACATATTCTTCATTATCGTTTTCCCCAGTCTCCTCTTGCTTCCTCACTTTGACTTTGTACGACAACCAATCTAAAACATACTTCCTCATCCACCATGGCATTGGCGGATCCTCAGGCTCTTTGTGATAAAGTCGCATGACGTAACAAAGTACAATAATCATAATCACCATTTCAACCATGGCAGCACTGAAGAATACACCAACAAGGGGAATCACCTCACTAGTAGCTGGAATAATATCAGCTACGACCAACATGAAGACTGTCATTGCAAGCAAAAGTGTAATCGCGAGAGATATCCGTTCACCTAGAAGAAAAAGGTTATCAAAGCTAAGCGAAAAGAAAATCTTCTCAACAAAGTTCGGGTGGAACAAATGTTAAGGTGACAATTTCACTTCATTCATCTTTATTGCTCAAAACAGAAACCTTGGACAACAGGTCTTCCACCAACACATCATTCTAGGTAATAATTAAAAAAAACGATGCACAAAGACATACTGATTCGCTGTAAGCATTTGATTACAAAACAGCGAGAGAATACGACTGCACTTTATAAGAACCAGTAAATTTAAGGTCAGGCTGACTGTTCTTTATATTTTCAAAAATCTGTGGCTGGATTGTTCATAATTTGCGATTTTTCCAGCTTTTTCGCTCAAGGGAGGTGTTCAGGGCCTCATTTTCCATCAAAGTGAGTCAGACAACCTTCATTTGCCGCCAACTTTGAATATTCATCTAAAAAGAACTCAAACATGGCTAAAATCCTCGTATATGAGATAAAACGTTGTTCAAAATTTCATTTTTCAGTTGCCCAGCCTCAGCTTGTTCATAATTTGTCATTTTCTAAGATTTGTTTCTAAAATTTTCGTATGAGACTTTCGCTTTCTGGGCTTTTTAGAAGTAATACGGGTATAGCACTGTTTTAGACTCAAGAATTACGATATTGTGAGAAATCTGGCGAGTTGATAAACTATTACTAAATCAAATAAAAATCAACCAACCGGACTCTGCAGGCAGTAGGAAGGACAACATCGTAAGCATCCCGATTATTGTCATTGGAAAAATCAAATTGCATAGATAGAACAGAGATCTTCTCCTCACTTCCACAGTGAATGTAACGTCCGGGTACTTCTCCGGACAGCACGAATACTCTTCTAAATTTCTGCGAGCAGGTATTCCATCGAGATGCCACTCGGCATTAGGTAGGTACTTTTCTGAAAGATATGAACGCATTACTAGTCAATATGGTATCAACATTATGAATAAGGAAGCATATAAGATTTTTGCTACAATAATCACTACAGCACGAAATTTATTTTCTGGTTCGGAGATCTAATGGTGACGTATTACCCGGTAAAGCATTGTATGACTTTGCGAACTAAAGCCGAATCTCCACTGACGCTAGTTTTGTAGCGTTCGCTGAAGCGCTCGTACAAAATTCTACTCATTTCAATCTCCACTGATTTCGATCAAATTTTTGCGCGCGCGAGAATCTTAGGGCACGCACATAAAGATTGGGGACGCAAATTACATGAAGACAGAAATCAGAAAGGTGAATACCAATAAAATCGGCATTTGAAAAATCATGTTTGCTTGTGGAAAAGAATTATTCCCTAATCTACCCAGTAAAGTACGTAACTGCAAGTCAGTTTCACTGCTACTAAGTTCCAGTTGCTGTGAGGATGTCATCTTGCAAAGGCCTATTGTGAAAATCACGCAGTTCCTTTGTCCTATCTAGTTCAACTAGTTCAACTATTCGTCAAGCGAATTTTTCGATGTGCGAACCCTTTTCTCATTAATTGCTCAAATTGAATCAATTTGTTTTCATTTACTTATTGCCAATTGGGTTTAAATTAATTTTACGGTCAATTATGATATCTCGATACCTCAGACAGAGTTTTAACCAAGTTCCCTGAAATATAATTACAGCTTGATTTTTATTTGTGATGTTTTGTTGCAATGTTATTCCCACTATTGCCGTTGTTAAAGAATTACGGATGGTAGTTGAAAAATTCTGCAAGTTCCGTAAGTTTTATATCTCAAAGTGACCAAGTGCTCGAAAGTTCTAAAACTTTTCTTGAATATATGGTTGGGCAGAAAATCAGAACATCATGAAAGTGTACCAAATTTACTCAAGTGCTAAATTGCAGTAGTTGGCTCGATAGTAATGTGACACGAGTATATTAATGCCTTGTGTGACTAAAAGGATTTTTATCACCACTGGTATAAACATGGCATTATATTCTTCTCTGAAGCACATAAAAGTGTGAAAAGTTTCTTAACATATAAGCCTGTACAGAGAGTGCCTGCAGTCCCAGTGCTTGCGAAAAATCAGGCAAATGATTGCTGAAAAAGATATAAGGAATTACACCAAACCTTAAATGCTGAGAGAAAAACAAACACATGTATGGGCTGGCCAAAATAAAAAGCCTACATACCACTCTAAAACGTTTAAAAATTGCCGTCAAATTTAATTGTGAGATTTTGTGTTCAACAATGAAAAAAAAGGAAATTAAAAAAACCTAAATAATATCAGTCAACCACAAAAAATAGATAAAAATAAAGAAAATTAAATAAAATTTAAGAAAAAAAATTAAATGAAATTGAATAAAATCAATCAGCAACGGAAATGAAATAAATGAAATTTGTAGCATCTTTATTGGTTCTTATTTGGCAGCTACATCCAAAAAGTGTTAGCAGTTTACTTTTCAAACTAGTCACTTAAATTTATTTGAATTGAAAAGGAAAAATTTTAAGTATCATAAAATGATAACAAGTATTAAAGTGTAATTCAGGACCAACTCACAAGATAAATTTAAAATTTTTGCATCCATAGTACCTGAATGGCTGAACGATTCAATTGCAACAAACAAAAAATTCACAGCTAGAATTAAATGTGCAAAAATTGAAGTTTCATTGGTTTTAGCAATGAGGATGAGAGCATCCATATAGTACAAACACCCAAATCTTGGTTTACTGAACCATTTTTTTTCTTGTATAGGCTCGTACACTGTGTGGCTGACTACCCCCTTCCCCTGCATGTGCACACTCAATACCTTTCGTCTGCTTATAAAATAACAGGCAAGGACAGTAAAGGCTGTCTGATCTTTCACGGAAGCTAACCTCCACCCTTCTTGAGTGTAAGTACTTTATGGATGTCCCCAATTTAGTATTATCGATCTTTACGTACTCAGATCAGCTGTATAATTCTCTGGGACCAAATTCAAGCGTTGTTCATCATATGTCCAGCTTCCAAACTTCATTTTACATCTTTGTTCATCGAATGGAAAGTATTTCACGTTGATTTCGCATTTACTCTTCAATATAACAGGTGCCAGCCATACTGTAGTACCATCGAAACTCAAAATTACACGCGTATTCAAGCGATCTAGATTACCACCAAAGCTTTTGTCTTCATCAGCACTAAATGAAAAGCCCAAAAAGTAGTTAATGTCTTGGGAAATCAAGTGACATAAGATATGAAGAAAGATAGACTCAGTCATAGGGTTTCCTATTCTAATTGCACCTTGAAAAAAGCATTGAGACATCCAGGCTTTATCTATTTTGAAAAAAAAAACAATTCTATTCCCGGCAATATTATATCAGTTCCTAGATGTCTCCTTCTGAAGCCAAATACCAGAGCAGAATTACAATTCAAAATATTTTCTAAGCAACACTTGTGTAAAACCATTATTTTTATTTTTTCTTTCCTTGCTAACAGTAAGTATTCATTTGCACAAAGAAAATTTTTTAACTTTCACAAGGATTGCTGAAGATTGAGGTGACAATGTCATTCTGAAAACGGGATCATGGCATTTGCAAAGTATATTTTTTTTAGTATAACCGCATTTAAAAGATCTTACTGGTAAAAAACCTCGACTTTTAAACGCACTATGCTTTATTTGCAGGTTTTAAATGAAACAAATATACTACCAATTTGCTCTTTCCCAAGAGTCTTATTAAAATGATATCAGGAGTGGCTGCGCCCCAACTAACAAACTTCCAGGGGACACGATCCCCAAGCTCCCATATAATTTTCGCCTATGTACTATACAATTACCAAATATATTTGTCAACATTTCTTTGCCTTTTATGAACTTTCTCAACACCCAGTCCCTGGTTTTCGATATCACCAAGCCTGACGAAAGACCTTTGCTCTTGGTGAGAACACTATGGTTTCATGTGATCTCAGTAATTGTTATTTACAAGTTGCTGTTGACGAGCTATGACTTCAAATTTAGTACAATAAACCAATGAAAGGGCCATCAACTTTGCTGATTCATGATCATAAGTGTCTATGTATGAACGTATGTAAAAGATTGTTAACTTATTACTTTTGTCATTATTGTTACCGAGTTCTGAAGCATGCAGTGATGCTACACGCTACATGCTTAAGAAAAAATCTGTTTAAAAGTTGCATTAGTCAAGCACAATTGCAGAATTTCTAGATAGGCGTTTTTCCGAGCAACGGTTACAGATATACTTTATTTCTAAGCAATTTCAATCCAATAATCTTTTAAATTAAAATATATTCTAAAGTAGTTTCCATAAGGATTTCAATCCTAGTATCACCATAAGCAGCTAGACTGATTAAATTTATGTCATATTTCATTTACTGCTACAAATATGGAATGCTTAAGAAAATATGACAATCCCATCAGTACATTCTGACAGAAGAACAAAATGGGTGATACTATAATGACAACCCCTGATAATAATCAATCCAATATGGATGAAAACATAGTATTTCAAAGACAGAGGGCTGTTACTGAAAATTCTAGGGATCAAAAAAGGGTTGAAAAGTGTTTTTAGCTGATCAGATTGATCTCCGCAGGTTAAAATAGAAAGAGCACAAGATACTTTTGTGTCTGACCAAATGTTATTTTCTCCTCAGATATCTATTGTCTGCTACACGTTTTCATTGGCTTTTTGCACTTTTCATCCTTATTAGGGACCATAGAACTGACATAAATGTTATAGTAATGAATACAATTGTTGACCGGTCGTGCTCGACAAAAGTGCTCGATATCGTACAGATAGCTTTGCATAACTTTAAACTGCCTTAAAGGACTGAACTTTGAACCCTCCTACGTACAAAAATTGTATAGTATGACAAGAGCTGACTTGCATTGTTATTCAAATGCGACTTATTTAAACTGCAGCAAGAGCAAATGCATGATAGAGACTTATTTGATAGAAACTGGTTTTATATGGAAGTACATATTATTTGATTATTGCTTTAAACATGGCTATAATATAAAATTTATCGAATTTCCGTTCAGCTACAGCTACAAGTATAATCTTTAGCAAGATTTTATAAATGAGATTTCATCTTTGCTGCTCTATATGTACAAGAAATTGGATCGTTACTCACTTGTTGTACAAAACTATATCAGGAAGCCAAATTTTTGATGGTCTGACATTCACACTGGTTATTCCATTATACAGCTTTGGATCCCAAGACAAAAATGGATTCTTCCATTTCTAAAAAATAGGAATCAGCTTTTTATGGGATAAAAAAGAATAAATGAGGTTGTTCAACAGAGAACGTCTAGGTCATCGTTAAGAGTATCTTATTTTATCTTTACTGTTTCTTTGAAAGTCCCTACAATTGAACACGTGCGAAGAAAAAGAAGATCCTTATCGTTTTTCGCTCAAGGAAGTTCAATTAAAAATCCAATCAATAAGAAACTGCGTGAAAAACACCAAGGCTCAGGCTGACCAAAAATTAAGAACAATTTTAGAAAAACGGCAAAGTCCCAGAAAAATTTTATGACGAAAAAGGAAAAACTGTATTAAAAAAGCTTTAATGTAAGCTCGACAAACCAGTGCTAATGAGATAATGTATAGAGAATTTTGATACGACTCAGTTTCATGGTAATGTGCCTAATCCAAAAGATTGTGGGGTTTTAATCCAAAATAATGCCTACTTTTTATCAACTGTGATCAGTTACATAAGCGATGTTGTTTTTCGCTGTAAAAACAGAATATCCATGAATTTTTGGGACAAAAGAACACTGAGTCCCAGTAAAATTTATAAAGTTTTCACAAAAACTTAAAACAAATTCAGGGTTATTCTCAGACAGGCCTTCAATATACAAGTCAAGTAAGCATAATAAGGAACAGCTGTGATGATTTACCTGCCTTGTCCAAGCACTGGTTATCAATATCTGGCTCTTCTCGTGCTGCAAGTTAACAAAACATGCTCAATAAATATACCAGAATTCGTGTCGTATAATATAAGGTAACAGTTTAATTTTGAACTGAGAATAAATTATACGTAGAATGAAATAAACGAATTATATCAGCGATGTTTCGAACATAGTCCGTTATCAAGTCTTTCGGGATATGCTTGAAATGACGTTAATATAAGTTCGCTCGTTCTTTCTACGTAAGATTTTATTTCAAATTCAAATTTTTCACAAACTTTTATCCTAGTAGAGAATTGACATCAACACTATATATGTTAATGTCTATAAACATATACTTATATACAGTGCTGAGGAGAGGGGGTCAGGGGGGTCACTGACCTGGGGGCCCATAGATAATAACTTTGTAAGCAGTGCAGTTGATAAACAATTAATAATTAGCAATTCAGCGTCTCCATTATCAAAACATGTCAATTATAGAAAAAATAATAGAAAAGAACCTTCAAATGAAATAAGGTAGAAGCAGCAACAGTATCAAAACCCTAGTATGTTTGTCAAACAGAGCCAGTAGCTTTAGGTAATTTTCTAGTTAGTTAACAAAACAATTTCAAAGTCTTTACATCTGTAAAAGGGTCAATTATGGGGCTATAATAAAATTTTTCGGAAATTTCAGTTTCTTTGGAGAATTTGAGCGATATTTCAGCTGATGCAACACTAGCAAGCAAAGTCAGAGACAACCTTAATGCCATGAAAACATTGGGAAATAAGTGTTGCAAATTCAAATGCTTAAGCTTGTTCAACAGCTGCAATGGATGATGCTCCTTAGAAAAAGTGACTACCCGGTGATGTTAGGAGATATGCCATCCTTTTTTGCTGCACAGAACTTTGCAATTTTTTGCTAGGTCATCTTCCTTCAACCTTGTGTATAATCAAAGAATACTGAACCCCTCCCATATCTCGCCAATTGACGTGAATCACCTAATCATCTTTGCTTTTACACTATCAACAATAACAATGCCGACATTATCTTGAATTTTACCAAAGGCCTTTTCCTGGTTTCACTTGAAGATAGAGATAAACTTGACTGATTTCTCTTGATCTTCAATTTTTTTTGGAAATCTAGCCCCTCGTCTAAACGAGCTTCTTCCAAAATCGAATCAGCTAGTTTTTTATTGACATTGAAAGGTTTCATTCTGATTGCTAGGTGTAAAGTTTTTCAAGTTATTTGATTAGTGAAAATCTATTTGGTGAAGCATGTCCGTTTTGATCAAATTTAGTATCTAAACGTTTTTCACTTCCTAAGAATTTTTAAATCTAAAGAATTGCATATTTTATAGTTAAGAAATAAGCATGCATTATGACGATAGAATTCCAGTCATACTTAAACTATATTGAAAATAATAAAGAAGTAATAACCACCATCGCAATTTCAGCAACAAAAATAGCCGCAATTTTAGCAACCATCATCTCAACAATTTTCCCCGGATCCCTTAAAAGGGTCGCCTCCGGTTTGCCTTGCTTTTTTCTTTCGTTTTGACCCGGGGCCCAGAAATCCTTTCTGCGGCCCTGCTTATATATGTACAATTGTAAAAACTGACATCGAGATCACTTGTTATTTGGAGAAAACCAATTGAACAGGGGCACTTGGTAGAAACCTTGCTCAAAACCCTTTGCTCCAGCTTGTGCCAGTTCAGACTTCTATATTTACAGCGTTAATAACGCCTTAATTTTTTTAAAATAAAGATAGAAGTAGAAAATTACCAGTTGTAATCAAATGGTCTGATCTCTGCACTATCATTCGAACTTTTAAGAAACAACTTTGATATGATTCTACAAAAATTCAGAAAAAATGCGAAGAAATTGCTAGATTTGCACAAAAACAAAATTATTTCTCAGGATTTATCGATTTCTACCATATTGTGGTTTGCTGCTTGGATTTCGTCAGTTAAAATCCGAATCTTCAAGGGCCAAGATTGGTTATGGAAATTCGCAATTTTGGTCAAAATTATATCTTCATTTGATATTGAAGACCGGGACAGTACCAATTTTGTGCCTATCACCAGATTTGAAAATTCTGTCCCAGATATGAAAATTTATGCAGTTATGTTGCATAAGGTAAAACAAGGAAAAAGTCAATCAATACCATCGCTTTCTGCTTGTGGATATTCATTTGCTCCAAAGAATGCAATTTCCGGCGAACATGAAGCATTAAAATTATAAAAATTTTCCCCTTCGGCGGCAACCATGGTGCCGCCTCATGTAGCAACTTTATTCTACCCTTGTTCTAATCTACCGATCTATAGGTCTGCGAGATTTCAGTGGCCTTTACAGTGAGTATGATGGACAGAGACAAGATAAAAAGTACATTTTGAATATCTTTCCAGCAAAGGTTATGTGATTTTCTTTCTCCTCCTTTACACTAACATGAAATGCTTCAATTTGATTAAAATAAATCAAAGAAATTTTTTCGGAAAATCTTTCTTCCTGGCCCTTCTGGAATTCATTCGCCACGACGCCCTCGAATGGCTTACTGTCCCTTCCAAAAAATGACACAAATTTGCTGTTGAGACGAACACAAATGAGCTCCAGACATCAATCAAAGCGCTGAATTCCTTACTGATTGGAATTTATTGAAATTCTGCTGCAAATTTCATTACACCAAACGCAACAATCACAGGCCTAACTACTCTTAATAGATACATTGCTTTACAAGACACCAATAGGCGTTTACCAGACAAAGTCTATACACTATTAGTTTAGCAGACAATAGCACTTATATTGTGTCAAAGAAAAATATATCGTGATGAGACAATCATCTTAGGAAGTCCTGGTTACAAGCCTGTAATCATGGTTTACTGGAAAATGCTTTGTTATTCTTTGGACCGTTGCTCTATTACCTAGCAAGAAAAATTTATTCAAGAAACTTTGGCGAAATTGGCAGCTTTGAACAAGTTGGCTTTCATGAACACACACTGCCCTATTCTCCCCATAAGACAAACATAAGTAAATTTTTTCTCTTGTAAATATGACTTCAACCCCGAAAATATTGGGTGTTGTCAAAGAAAAAGGCATATTGCAGAATAGAGATTTCAAGCTTACATCAAGCTTAAAACGAGCCAAAAATGACAGGAATAACATGCATTTCTTTATCTTCAAAATCTAATATCATTTCACTTTTCGCTGTCAGACAGCATTCCTGTAATAAGTTGTTAAGCTTACAAGACTGACAAGTTTAGAATCCTGAAATTTCTTGACGTGTCTGAATCTTTAAGCATTCAAGCCAATATTACTTTATACATAATGATACTAGCTTAAGCTGTTAGGACACATGTGAGCAGTCTTTAAAAAAATGATTTTTGACAGACGAAAATAAATACGTACTCGTTACCTAGATAATTAATAAACGCTCTTATCAATTTATAAAGGAAGTAGCGAGCTTAGCTTGGACTTACAATATCAATGATCTGTCGGACTGACATTCCAAATATGACGGTGACATTATCCTTATCATTCAATACAGGTCTGGCGTCTTGATCGTAGCCTTCAAAGATTTTCTTCAACAATCTCTCTTCTGTTAAGCTAGCCTCAGTAACTGAAAGACAAAGTTGATCAGGGAATTAGAGATTAGCAGATATATCGCGCTTGTCAGGGATTTCCTCATTACAGAGGAAAAGATTAACAAACCTACAACAAGTTTAATTTTTTTACAAGACAACGGCAACGTGGTATGTCAAACTTGCAAACTAAATCGCTGTTGTTAGTTGTGAGCGCATTGGAGCAAATGAATACATGGCGCAAAGGCTTTCCTACCGGTTGGTTTTTCAAGTTTTCAGGAGACTTATCTTTATTCTTAAAACTGCAATACTCTGCTTCAACTGGATTGTTTAACTGTATAATATTCAAAATTAATAGAACATGATCAAACCACCCATTTATTGGAAGGGGTATTGGTTTTGAAAATGGCGTTTGTCAACTCAAATATGTAGGTAGACCAACATCGAAGTGATGGCCGGAACTACGTTTTTGGACTATTACATTTTAACTCGATTTTAACTTAACAAAACGGTCATTCTTCAAACAAAAACAACCGACAACATGAAATAGTTATTACTGCATATTATTCAGCAAAAGCGTAATACTTCCAGCTTATTGTTTATTGTTAAGATAAAATCACTAAAACTGCTTATTAAAAAAAATGAAAAAATATTTATCAATTGTGTTTAAAATTCAATCATAAAATGTGGTAATGTAAAGTTTGGAACTCTATTAGGGTAAAAGGCCCAAGGCTTAGTCTAGTCGTGGTAGATTATCCAATATTTTGAATACAAACACAAATAAAAAGTTTCGCAATGGCAGATACTAACAGTTGCAGGGAGTTTTCGTGATAAAACTTGCGTTCACATTAGTAAACAACAACTGCTAGAAAGCCTGCCAAAAGTCTTGGCACACTGACGTCAAATTCCAAGGTTAAAATCAATCATCCCTCTCTCCCCTATAGAACTATCAAACGTTGTTGGTTTACTATCAAACGGGTTAGGATTTTAGGAAGCACTTTTTTGCGCCTCTGTTCCCTCCCCTATCTTTTCTACCGTGTCAGTTCTAGTTTTTTCTCTTTTTCATTTTTATTTTTATTTTTACTCCATTTTCTGATTTGTTCTGTTGCTGTTTAAAAAATTCAAATCACGTAAAACCTTAAATCTTGATATTTTTCATGTAGAAGTGTGTTACATATTGTAAACTAAATTATTTGTATTTGTAATAAACCCAGGAAGGGCACTGGACACGAAAACTTTTTGGGTTTATCTTAGTGTACTTGGCAACGTTTAGTTAACTATCCTAGCATTGTTATGTAATTTTTTGCGTATCTATTATAATCTTAGCAATTTTATACTTTAAAGCTTGTACGGTTGTTGCTGAATGAAAAAGTTTGATTTGATTTGATTTTTTATGATATTTCTCTAAATTATCAACATTGTTTTAAGGGGAAGTGGGCGGAAGTAGTAACTTTTTCCATGAAAGGAATGAAAAATATCAAATGCAGCGTAAATTGCTGGGTGTTCCAAGTACTTTTGACAGGCATTGTACCAATGTCTGCAGAAGTTGTAGCTTGGTGGTGATGCATTTCAACAATATCGTTGCATCTTAATTAGTTTGCAATATTTTTGTCCGGGTGAGATGACAGCAGCTTTCAAATATAGCGAAGGACCATAGCTGACATTGTCATCAGGCTTGATACTATCTTAGTCCTGTTTCTAGAAAGGCTATCCTGAAAACATGGAATGTGGAAGGTTAGAATCTTGGAATGCTGGAACGTTGGAATCTGAATAAAAGAAAGTTAGCCTTTGCAAGGTAATACCTTCCTATAAGATAAGTTCTCGAATCAACGAACCCAAATTAAATATAAACATACTTGTTAGCATGTAGTTTTATAGTTATATAGGTTTTACATTCCAACATTCCATGTTTTCAAGAAAGCTTTTCTAGAAACCCTAGGAGAAAACAATCTTCTTCCTTTGAACCTTTTCAAATCCCTCAGTCCTCCTCGCAGTTCTTAGTTTCCAGATTGTAAGTGTCGGGAGAAGTACAAATATTGCTTACTGTTTTTGAAAACATACCTTGATTATGTGCGGAGATATCATCAGCATAAAAAGGCATGCAGTAAAAACCCACGTACAAGATCCTGGTTTTTTCAATTAGCCTAAGCAGATTCCTATACGAATGGTACTAAAAGTGAATTTAGGCTATCAAGGTTCTTAAAATAGGTTCTTATATTTATGTAGCAAAATCATAATTTTCATATCATCTAGCAATTATATACCTAAAGACAGTACAGATATAACAAAACAAATATATACTCAAACAAACTCATAGCAAAATCATTTAAAATGTCATTTAAAAGACAAGGTTTATATATGGAAAACTGGGAATAAATGGAATCTAAAACTTTGTACTTTTTAAATGCTAAATATGAAGAGAATTAATTGGAATGATGAAAAAAGACACACTACTGTACCTTGACTTTAAAGAAAAATTGTTTGCCAAGCTAATTTTAGATATAAGCAGAAAATGATACTTAATTCAACAGTTTCCAACTAGAATTCTTTACAGCAGCTCCATTGGTAAGAACCTTACTTGAAATTTTAGCCTGAAAAGGTTCTTATGTGGAGGAGGCCGAAATTTTAAAATTTAGCCTAACAGGTTATTAAAATCCAGGTTCTTATATGCGGGTTTATACTGTAATTATCTAAAGTTATGAATTTGGTGGATGTGTACAAAAAACATATGGATTGGAGTTAGACCTAGACCGTGGCAGAACTAATTGAGATAAATAGAGTCTCTGTAACAACCCCCGTAATATACCGCTTCGAGACGGAGTAGGGGAGTTAAGAGGGAGGGGATGTTTTTGAATAAGCGAAATTAAAGTGATAAGTGTATCTTAAAAAGCGAAAACGTCGTGCAAAAATACCTCAAGATAGCCATTAACATTAAATTAGTTAAGAATAAAATTATATTGTATAAACGACTTTTTCACACGTTACGTTTTCCACAACATACGAATAGCTACAATGCGAGGCCTTGACGCTTTCGCCGCATTGACAGATTCATACATATCTGTGATTACGACAGGAAATAAGTGTCAGTTATTTGCTTCATCCTATCATTTTATCATCTTTTGGATGAGCTGATGACGGAGGATATAATGCAGGGTTTGGTGAAATACAACAAAGTTCTGTCTGAAGGAATACAAATTTATTATACATAATCCTGTCAATTTTATGCCTTAGACCTCGTCTTCGGTGGGCTTTTTCTTGCAAATTTAGTTCTTAGGCCTTAACATCTTCAAAGTTTTAGAAAATGGTTTAGCCTATCATTGAATATTGAAATTTGTTCTATGAAAGTACATTCAATTGCAAAAGGCATTCTGTAGCCGAAACCTACTTCATAACATTCAAAGAAACTTTCCACATTCAAGTGTAGAAAAGAAGAGGAATATGTTGTGAAAATACTGAATGAAATTACAAAGCTAAAAGCTCAATTTTGGAAAATAAAATCAAGCACATTATCTCACCATAAACTTAACCATGAAATGCATTGATGATATAAGAATCAGACCTTATTTGGCTAAGACATTCTGATAGACAAACGCACCGGAAAGCCTAACTTAAAATTGGAAATTCAAAAAGATAATGACTGCTTCTGGCATAAATTCCATGAATTCTAGCACTATTGGAAGGTGTTATTCAAACTGCACACGAACCGAGAATTGGGCTTGTACAATAAACCTACTCACCAAATTAAAAATTCTTACTAATAAAGCTTAGCACGTTACAGATTTGACTTGAAGCAATAAATATTTAATAAGTGATGAGTTTGAAATGCGTAGGTCTTTGTATTTCTGTTCAATTGGAAACTATTAATCGTTAGCGACGCGTGTTCATATCACTTTATTTACCAATACCATTTCACTGAACTACAATTAAAAGAGCTTATCTCCAAACTGAATTATGCTAGAAAACCTTCAACTTTCTTCGATGTTTCATTAAATCTGCTTTTTCTTTGATTCGCTAAAAGACTTTACTAGACGGCAACCATGTTTGGGTATAATAGCATTCACGTGACGTTCAAATTTTGACTAGGCAGAAAACGTTGTTTGAAGTAGCCAATAGATTGAGCAGCGTATATAATTTTAAGGTATGGAACGGAGAAAGAGGCTAAATAACTTGGAAGGAGGTTGATTAAACTAAAGCTGGATCGCAAAATATAAGAATTTCGCTCTCGATTAGAAAAACGCAATGAAACTGAACCCGCAGCGACTTCGAAAAAGGCTATCGTTTCAGACTGTTTCTCTTTCAGACTGTGACTGTGACAATTATTTTAACATAGAAAAAGATGCACATTAATTAATACTTTTAATAATTCCTACCAAAACACTTATTTGTTTCTTCAAACAGGTTTTTTCATGTTTCGCCACTGATCTCAAACCGGATTGACCTCTCTCAATGTGTTTATTTCAACTAAAAAAACGTGGGAAGTGCATAAAAATTTTCTTTCAATAAAGTTACTACCTCTTTAACTCTTCTCTGGCATTTCTGCCAGAGCTTAACTATATGTAATCGGATCGAAATATCCAAATATGGATTCATGACGCAGGCGTCCTGGATCTGTAATGCGAGACCAAATAAAGGCTCTATCAAGCCTCTTTCAGACTAGCGTGTTTGCCTACAAACAGCCCCAGCGAGTGACTGCGCAGTGGAAACACCTCTCTGTAGTACTAGGAAAACTAAAAACAAGGCTTTGATATGGAGTGAAACATCAAATAGATATTTTTTAGAACAACTTTGGTGAAACATTTTTACCTGATGTCCTCTAAAAAGGCGTTTTACATATATGGATAACCCTCAAATAAAGCAATTTAATGTACGCAGTGGTTTGTTTCGCCAGTGTTTAAGATTGTCTTTGGGTATATGGTGCTATCTAGGTAGGTATTGCTCTAGTAGGAGTCTCAGACTTCTACTTTCTGTAAGTTGACCGCAGAGGTTAGGTTAGAAATTCATCTATGAAAGTCAGATTTACTTAGCATAGAAATAGCATTTTCCTATTTTGGGCGTGCCTTGAGTACCATTCCGTACCGCTTTCGTATTCAATAAATTCCACGCAGTAGGTGAGCTAAGCTAGAAAAGCACGCTAGCTCCACTTGGCGCCAGTAAAACGACCTTCTTACGACCTTCTTGAGCAGCTAAAGATTACGGCAAAAAAGGGTTTAGATTTAGGCCACCCTTTCATTGACCCTTTCGAAAAAATGCACTAAGTCAGCGAAAACAATCATTCAAATAGGCATACATTAGCAGAGTCAATTAAAACGGGGTTTGTTGTAACTGCAAAGTTAGGAGGTATACATCTTTAACATTTTGTCAATATTAAGTAAGAAAGAACTCAATATTTCGAGCCCGTGTATTTAAACATCACAACGAGACTTCCACAACCATTACGGTCATTACGTTGCAATTTGCAGTTGTTTACGATATTGGGAAACACCTTAAAGTCCTACGCGGAAAAGAACTAGAAAAACCTTTTGTTAAAGCCAACGGTGCGATAAATACAAGAAGAATTAGATGGGAGGAATCAAGAGTCAGGCAGCTAAGGAAGCAAGCATGACACTGAGCTGAAACAAGGGTTAATACTCAGTGATTGGATCAATATAAAGCTGATCTAGAGTGATTGTGCAAGATCATTCACGGCTTTATCGCATCTTTGCTTATGGGTTAATCAGAGGGGACAGACAGAGGGATAAATCTGCATCGACAGAGTTGTAAAATGTTTCCTTTTAGTCTCAAAGAAGGCGAAATTCCTCATTTCACTGCTAATTTGATAAACAGACAAATCCTTACTGATAGCATGAGCATCTGTAAGTTACAAATGAATTCATTAAGCAATTTACATTATACATTTCTTATGAATTATTTTAAAAGCGTGAGTGGTGTTTCATGACTCAAGAAAACACTCTTCGTCGTGTGCTGCATATCGCGTTATCAGGCACAACAAACCATAATTTTTAATACAATATATCAATTAAAACCAGTTTGGTTTATTCATCAAAATTCTTTCTTTTATTTGAACTAAATCTTTATCTTGTATAATTAATTATCTCTTCTTGAGAAGTGATCAAGCGACAGTGTAAGCAAAATATTTTCGTTCGCGCAAGCGCGTCTGCAAACGACTAACGGTTAAAAATTGGATGACTGTCTATTGTGTGAAAGTATTGAATTCCTAAAGAAGGTAAATAAAAAGAATGAAGAAAATACGGCAAATAGGTCATATGAGGCAAAAATCAAGCACGACAAAAACTAGAGATTAAAACTAGTAATTAAATAAGTTTTTGGTACCGCAAAATTTGAAGATGGCACGAAATAGCGGAAACATAGTTTGACATTAACATTGGTGTGTTTCTGCTATTTCGTGCTACCTTCAAACTAGTAATTTATACCTTGGTGAATGATAGTTGAAAATTGGAAACTGTTTCATGTTTCGAAAAGAGTGTTGAATGGTACTGTGACAGAATAATGTTGTGACGTGATTCCAAAGTTTGCTTCAAGGCATGAAAAATCAGGAAACACCGGCTAGCTGTCTCTGAATCAAACCTTCCCGAAAATTTAGGGAAACAATGACTTGAAAAAAGCAATATAATGTGGAAACCAACACAGAAGCCTTGAGAAGGGATACCACATAGGGTCAAAACGTGTGGTCCAGCCCCAAGAGGGGGCAGCGAAATTCTTTCAATTAGTGTAGAAGAATGAGAGTGTCTCTGAATCAAACTTTCCCGAAAATTTAGGGAAACAATGACTTGAAAAAAACAATATAATGTGGAAACCAACACAGAAGCCTTGAGAAGGGATACCACATAGGGTTAAGACGTGTGGTCCAGCCCCAAGAGGAGGCAGCGAAAATCTTTCAATCAGTGTAGAAGAATATCAAGAGTATCAAGTTCTAGAAACTTGCCCTACGTTTGCCCCGAGGCCGGAAAGACTCTTAAAAGGTTGACTTGACTACTCCACTCTTTTTTTACTCCACTCTTTTTTATAAGAACACATTCTATAAGAACACAGAGGCTCGATATGTAAAAATAAGAATGTCATTAGAGTTGTCCATTCTCAGGTGAAAAATTTGAAGAAAAAACGTTTTTTTGAAAATTTACTCTTACGTTGACACAAACAGAGCAGACTTTGTCAGCTAGCAAACCGTGCTTGCAAAAAACGTCATGCAGAGCCGTTATTTAGTGGTGTTAGCAACAATTTATCGAATGTAGTTATAGAAAATCAGCGAATCAAGGACGAAATAGGACAACAATACACGAGCTTCAAATTATCATTTGGTTTCTATAAAAAGAATGTCGAAGGATATTTCCTAAAAAAGTTGATAGCAAGTCGTACCCAAAGTATGGCGTTATGCTCCGCAAAATGGCAAATTGAATGCTCACATTAAACAAAAGTAAAGATCCTAATAAAAACGCACGCTCACTTGCTTGACCATTGAGGATAACAGTACTTAGTATAAAGGGACCAAGTTTAAAGTTTATATGGCCAAGTTTAACTAGAACTTCGTTTTCTGAAATGCTATAGCAAATTCTTATGCAAGTTAAAGCTATGCTTCAGCTGTCATACAGTTGTCAATGAAAATGACTAGCAGGTGAAAGAGCCACATTCCAAATTGCACCTGTTTTAGCCGTGTTTACGACCCTATATAACACACCTAATAACAGTGCTAAATTACAAATAACAGTTCCCAACTAAATACTTACACCGCTGCCACACGAGCTTGGAAATTTTAAAAATCTGAGCGGCATATTGCGAAACCAAAACTAATAATTAGTGCCATTTCCTCATTCGAGAACTGTCTTTCAATGAGTATACTTTTCAAAGTTAGAAAGTACGCAAAACTGGGAGAAGAAATTTCTTCCGAGGAACGGAACAATGTCTCTTCAGTGAGTATAAAAGCAAGGAGCAGTTTTCTCTAAGTCTAAACTTGCTGCTCATATCCGCTGTTTTCTATTGACAGCATTGATGGTTTCGAAAGAAATAGTATAGTATATACAACTAACCTTGGAAATTCCCATTAATACGTGCCAGCATTAAAAAAATAACCAATTTCATTCGAAGAAGCCGGAAAATTTGTCGACTTTGCAATTTTCCATTGAAAGATGCCATGACCCTCTTTCTATCGAAGATTCACCGAAATGAGTGATAAGCTGTAAACGTTATTGGCTAGACTCTAATGCATGTGTCTTCATTTGGATCAAACCAAGCGTACAGAATAAACACTGTGGCCAACGCTTAACGACCTTTCGGTGGTTGTGCAGTTTCACCCTTCGCCCCCCTGCAGTAACCTAAGAGTGACATAGAAGATATTTAAGAATCGGAAGGAAAAATAGTTGTCAGTATGGGGCGAAATCTCTTACCAAGAATCGATTGGAAAGGCTGGTAAAATCTGTTTTCAGTTTTTAATATAGGTATGGTAAAGAAAATTACATTTCTCTACTTCAATCGTTACATCCAAATGTTTTTTCTACATTGAAATTAAATTCCAACTTGTTCTATGCGTACCTAACTGCTTAGTTTAATTAGCAACATCACCAAAACAACTGTTTTAGCTGCAACGTACTTTATATGATCACAATAATTTCAATACAAAAGAATTCTTATATAGTGTTTAGCTGTTCATATATGGGTGTGTTATGGGCCTTTTCTCAAAGGATAATATCAAGCACATCAAAGTTTTGCATTTCTTGTCGAATCGAGAAGGGCATTCACAAGAAGTGAAATGATTGATAAAAATTTACTTTCTAGCTGTAATAAAAGCCGTAGAGGTTTACAGAATCGTTTGACCAAAATAAAAGCCGATAAAGTATTACCTTTTTACTGCAAAAAAAGAAACAAAATGGAGCTTACCTTGACGAGCGGAAAGTGTTTTGCAAACAGATAATATTCTACAGTATGGAATTCTTCTGTTGGCTTGAAACCGAGAGAAGACTTCTCCACTATTTCCCAACTGTCTTTATAAACTTCAACTATAGTTTCCTGCTCTATATACAATCGCCAATCTTCTTTCCCAATTAAGACATGCGGTGAAAAAAATTAAATGAATACAGTTGAAAGCTAGATTCTATGCGTCATCAAGTCACTTCGCCGACGCAGATGTGTGCATTTCAATACACAGAACTGAATTCCAGCTGAAACGTTCCAAAACACAAGTGAAACTGCAACGCGATCTCCAAAGCTCAACAACTCCTAAAGAAATCGGTCGATAATATTGCAGTTAGCAAGCCTTTCCTTATTTTCTGATCAGAATTACATTTCAAATGGAAAACCCAGCGCGTTCTACAATGCAGTCATGTGGTGTGCCTCCTGCGTCGCTAATAAAACTCCAATTGCCTGCCGTTGCGTCAACATAAAACTTAACATAACTATGAAAACAACGGTTAAGATCTTTAGATGCCTCTCTCTTGCAAAGACACGAATGGAATTTCAAAGGGAATATACAAAAGTAGGCGAGCATCCCAGTACGGCGGAAATGCTTTGCCCTAATTAGTAAACAAAGGCAAGCCCAGTTTTCAACTTGAAGCATAAATGTATTGCATTTCGTTTTAAGACAGCTCTATTAACACTGGATGTAAAAGAAGTTAGCAAGATTACGATCTTAGGATGTAGACGGTATAATCCAAAACAATTCACTGTCTTGTGGCTGTGAGTAATTTGTAGAAAAATCTCTTGTTACCCTATTAACTATGAGAATACTATACTTCTAGTTTTAATCCGCGCCAGGAATAATTTGGCAGCGTTGAACTTTCGCGCTTGATGTCACGCCGACAACATATGAACAAGATAATAAGACTGATAACCTTGTTGAATGTGCCTATCATTTCATGAAAAGCTCCATACCGAAAGTGGACCTGCAAGGAGTACACCCTTTTTGAAAAGAAAACTACCACGATGTTGGTAAGAAACAGGATGTGGCACACGGCTTCATCAGAGAGGCATATTGGTCCATGAAAAGTCGTACGCCTTTGACAAAAATCCTTTTTTCGAGAAAACAATCCCAAAATCCTTAGAAATCTTATTCTAATAAGGTACAATCACTGCCAAAACTCTTGGAACACTTGTGATATTTTCAACGTTTGCATGCATCCGTTCCCCTCCCCCCTTCAAACAATGTTTACTCACAGCAAAGTTAAGGCATAAATAAGGCAACATTGTTTCAGGGGGGTAGGGGGGTTAGTCTATTAGAAACACGAGAAATATGTGAAAAAAGCAAAATTTAGCAAAATATGTAGGTGTTCCTAGGAGTTTTGGCAGAGACTGAACGTACGTTATTTGGTAAGAGTTATATAACCACAGGCTTCATCGACACAGGCATTTTATTAATAAGGAAATGCTTTTTGTGAAAGGTAATACTTGGATAGGTAAAAAAAGGAGTTTCTAGTACTGTTTACGAGACTGGTAAAGAATATGAAATGTAAATCTTTGATTGGACATGTTTTGTCTGGTTTGTTGGTGTAGACTCTTGGCAAGCTTGATGATCCTGATGACTACATAGCTGTTGACGAAACTGATGCAGAAGAGATCATACAAAAACAGCAAAAACTACTTTGATGAAACCTGACAGGTTTTCTTACACTAATTATTTTGCATAACTTAAAGAAAGTTTCTGCACGTTGATCTTGTATAAACATTTCAAACAATAATCATCGTCAATTATTTAAATTTTCACTTCTAACTCATTTTTTCTGTCTTCTTCGTGATCCTACGTCCACTTTTTATCAGTTTTATTTCACCCCCTTCCAAGTTACCAATAGTTCTTCTGAACTTGATTAAATTACATTTTCAAACAGCAAAATGCTCGTTCATATCATTAAAACGTTCTCAAAATTTTCAGGAATTTCGTTTATTCAGGCGAAAGTTAGTTATTTCTGTTTATTGATATGATAAGCATGACATACGGCTATTCAAATGTTCCAATAGTTGAATCAATGAATTTAGGTTAAAGCCTATATGTGGCTGGACTTTGCGCTAACTTTTATCGTTTTATTCGACTTGATCATAAGGTTCTGATATTGTGCACTGATGACGTGTTAAATATATTCAGTACAAACAGGCTTTGCATAGTTAAATCAATTTGCATCTCAGAATAGATCAATAAGGTCCTTAAATTGATAATATCTACAAAAATAAAAAATTCCTTTCAGGGTAGAATTTGGTATGAGGCGAGAAAAAATACTGCTTAGGAGTCTAGAATTTCATTTATCGTCTAGGCTTTACACTTAAACTTATTAAAGACATCAATTAGGTTTCGAAAACAAAACCTATTTAGCGACTTAGATATACACATTGTTCAATATAAAACAGGAGACAATATAATTTGAAATGCAAGGACCATTGCAGTGGATTATTCGCATCACATAAAAAAGTTCAGTAAATGCGTATATAACAGAGGTGGATAAATCGGACCCCCGTGTACCATGGGTACAAGAGCCACAGACTTTTGAGCGCATAAACAGAATGCCAAGCAGAGGAGCGTCCTTCTTCCCATCTAGACGTTCCTCCGCTTCTCCACTCCTACCTCCTATTTCTGCTCTCGAATTTTTGTGGCCCTGGTACCCTAGTTTTTGTGTTAGCTAGCTATTTGTATTTGGTCAAATGGAAGATCAGATTCTCTAGTGACCCGTCGGCGTTCCAGATGCAGATGACCAAAGAAAGAGCTGCTTGTCTCCCACCGGGAGGCCTCGAGACCATCTTTTATACTGGAATTGTCCATCCCTTATATAAGAAACCTATCAAAATTACATTTTTACAAAATCTTCTTCTGGCTTATGCCACTTCAAACAAGAACATAACATAATATTGCATATGTAAGTAATTTAAAAATTTATTTGCAGAACCTCCCGTCATTAATACAAAATTGTCATTGCTGGAGGTCTTTAACACTTTTTTCTTCTATTTACAGAGAAACTGGAACAGCCCAAGCTGCAACGACTGTATTTAATACGAGGCCTTACACATTAGGAGGCTGTATTTAATAAGAGGTTGTAGTTACTGAGAGGCTGAAGGTATTATCACCATTCACGGACTTCTAAGTATAAGCCAATCCTTCCAAAAAGTTTCTTTGGGTTTAAGTAACCAAAAAGTTACCTTATTGTTTTATTCAGTCTTGCACTTGCGTCTTTATCTCCACTATGCTTTGTATTTTGCACTTTACTTTTAAATCGGAGACGATCTGCCGAGCTGAGAAAGCCACTGAGAGGTTTCCGAACTGACTGTGATTTTGCAGGCGCTTTGATTTTTGTTGATACGACTGAGGATGCTTGAAAAGAAGTAAGATATAAGAAGATGCTTGGTAAAGTAGATTTATGAGCACAAAGCAGAAATTTTTAGATACTAGCACAGAACCAGGAGCTAACTAATTCTCTTTATTTTGAATGAAAAACAAATTAGCTGCAGAGAGGATTAGATCGCCAATCAACATAACTGTACGATAAGCAATAAAAATTAACAAGCGTCAATAAGACTGACTGGCCCATTTTTCAATACAAGTAACGGATAGATTCGTAAGAAAAAAACGCGACGGAGGCATGCCTGCGGCAACTGGCTTTTTACTATTTACAAACAGTCAATCGTTATGATATGGTGCTTTTAAAACTTTAAACTCAGCTCAAGTTTATCTTGACAAAGACATCCATGATTACTTGGTTGGTTTGATTTTAAGAACATATGTTGTCATGGCAAACAAAAATTTCGATATATAGTTGTCTTTGACAATAATTACAGAAAATTTGTTCCTATGTGTTATAAAGAGCGAGCATAAATAAATCATCCTGGTTGCAAATGCTTTGCTAGCGATATTGTTAATAGTTATTAAAAACTCGGGGCATTAAAAACTTGTGGCCATTTAATATCTTTCAAAAAACCGCTAATAAGATAATCCTTTTTCTCGAAAACTGAGAAATACTTTTTGAAGAAATTGTAGGTAAACCCGAAGGCAGTTTTAGAGGAAAGGTCAATACATAAAATTAGCATTTCTTCCATTCTTTGTGATTTTTTGTGACTGCATAATGATGCAGTCAAACACTTATTAGTGAGATTCAGAGCATTAGACAATATATATGATGCGCAACGAAAACTGAAATTTTAACTAATAAATATTGCCAAAACCGTATGTTCATCAAAGGGGTTCACTAGTTGCGTCCGGTCACATTTGACAACAGCTATGCCAGTTTGATAGATAAATAGAAATTGTGAAGCCGTTTACGTACCATCTTCAAATAAATTATCAAAGTTTAAATGTACATCTCCATCTTCATTATCTTCTACTTTCGTCTTCTTTTCGAATTTCAAATCTTTCACAGGACTGTGTGATTTTCCTTTTGCCCCGTCTTTTGCATCATCACGACTCTTACCTGTATCTTCAGTTTTCTTTGGTGACTTCTCCTCCTTCTTCCTTGCCCCAGCCTGTTCTTTGGGTGTAGCTGAAGCCATATTTTTATCAGTTTCAGAGATCCCTTCTCTCTCATGCGATATTTTGCTCTGCCTACGGCTACTCGTTCTTCTTTCGATGCCTGGTTTCTTGAATTCGCTCTTTTCTTCTTCCTGTGTATATTTTTGGGAGACCTTCCCGCCATCAGATTTACCTTTATCAAGGCTCGTGACGATATCCTTTTTTTTATCTCCTTCCTCCTCTTTTTCAACAGTAGTTTCTAATACCAAGAAAGATTCCTCTCTTTTTTCTGGTGCTGCTTGTCCTTCGTCCACATGGTCAACAGTTTCAGGGTCTGAGGACAGTCCTTCTGAGATCTGCGAAAGCCAATTATTCACTTTTTCGACAGACTTTTTCGTACTGGATGCTGAAATGGATTTTCGCCTTTTGGAGCCATTTTTGCCTTCATTTTTGTCATCAGCAGATGGAGTAAATAAACCTCTTGAGGAGTCAACATGTTTATCCTCTTCTTTTTTCACAGAAAATGTTGCTGACAATTTTTTCCCTAATAACGAAAGTTTAGCAATTCAGTTTAAGTAGAAGGAAAAATGACATTAAAAAAAGTAGAGACATAGCTACCTGACTGTTCCACATGCTAAAATTGAATACATGATCATCGCAATGCATCGAGTAATTGAGAAAGCTTTGTGAGGAATTGCAACGTACGGAAAGAGAAAAAAAGAAAATGTGAACAAACATCAAGGACTATTTTGTGCTGATACGTCGCACCGAGAAACAATTAAAGGAATCAAAATAAATTTACTTTTCAGTTTCATTTTAAGGTAGACATAAGATATTTGACAATAATTTATGTATGAAATTAGTAAAACATTTATTCTTACGAGCAAAATAAAAGTTTAACCAACTCTAATCTTAAAAGGGATTCACAAACTAAGTAGGTATACAGCCCAAAATCTTGTGAAATTAACTACAACCCAAAATTTTACGAAACTTGATAAGCAGTCATATGCCTCGCCCATCGTTTATCTTAGATGTCGTCCATTGTAAACTCTAATGTTTCTGTTTGGCTGAGAAATAATTCAAATACCGCCGTTCATAGCAGATAAAATTAACTTATTCATAGGCATCTAAATGGAAAAAATTACTTGAGGGAATATTTTTAAAACAAAATTGGTGGTATAATCAGTACACTGAAGCGGCAAATTAAGCGCATTTAAGTCTAAACTAACTATTAACAGGGCAGACTTAAATACGGACGATAATTTACAGATGGTTATAAGATTTTGACAACAATAAGTTTCATTCTAAGTGTTCAATAGCATGACGTTTGCGGTGAGCATTAAAGAAATGATCACAAATAGAATAATTTTCAAAAATACTTGGAAATGAAGTCTTGAGGCAAAATAATAAAATTAACCTTGCCAGTTTGCTTTCTTTCTATCAAGGATTCTTCTGAAGTTTTAAGAAACATATTCTTGCATCGGATCTCGTGAAGTTGCTCTTAAAGCTAATATGATTGTTTCTTTACTTGGCAATATACCGCACAAAAAACTCGCGCCCAAGCTGCGAAATAATCTTCTTGAAAGAAATACTGATCACATGACTGGGGTTTGTGGCCGGGGGCAAACGAAGATAAAAAGAGGCAAAAGCGGGCATAACACTTTAGTTTTAATCAACTTCATCCTTGGCTCCATGATGGAACCATTTACCGATTGGTAAAACATGGAATCTTGCCGTTTTTCGAATTCTGATGATTACATTGTATTTATTAAAGAACCTAAACTGCGTTTCAAAAATGAACTATGGAGAGTAGCTTGACCAGATTTTGTAACTGCAGTGTGAGCAGGGTTCTATCTTTCAGTGAAATTCCCAGAGCATAGCAAAATGATATTATGGAAATTAAAAAACGAAAGGAAAAAGGAATACCTGGAGACTTTGCAGTGACATTTTTCTTCTTAGTTACTTGTGGCGAATCGTAATCACTGAATGTTATGCTGCTTGTTTCAGAACTAGAACTTTCGTCACCTCTCTTTTTATTTCTATCATCGTCGTCATCATCATCACTATTATGATTTTTGTGAGGGGTTTTGTTGATACTCTTTTCAGTAATTTCGTTTCTTTTCGAAGCACTCAAATTGACATTTTTAGCCGGCTGTGCAGATGTTAACACTTTGATCTTTCCCTGTTCTAAAACTTCTGACTTCCTACTCTTTTTAAGGGTGTAAGCATTTTTAACTTGGGTATCAGTAGCTTTCTTGGTCACATCAGAATCGCTAGCAAGTTTTGTGGCAAATTTAAGGGGACCTTGAATCATACTTTGCGAGTGATCTGATTCTTCAATGAGCTCATTCACAACCTCTTTTATTTTTGCTTTAATATTATGTGTCTCGGCATCGGTTTCGTAGTCGAAGGTCGGTTTTGCATTAAGAGTTGTTTTTGTATCCTTCGCAACAGCCCCTGTCAGTAAGGCAGGTATAGGGGCATTGTGGGCTGATACTTTAGCTTTCGAAGGGCGTGTTTCGTTAGCGATATCTGTCATATTTGGTAACATTGGTAAAATCTCTGAACAAGCATCATTCTCTTTCTCAGAACTTCTTTTTTCATTTTCATTTTTCCCCGCACCACTCTTATCAGCAAATGGAACTCCAGACTCACATATACTAAATGACGCCTGATTCGAATCTGGTGGATTGTTTTGATTAACTTTATCATTTACTTTCTGCTTTTCTTTTCTATGTCGTTTTTTCTTGCTTCTAACAGTCACTTCCTCTTTCACCTCAGATGGGTCAGCTAACGTAGTTTTATCAACGCACTGTTCTTTATTATTTGCAAACAAGGTGTTTGTTTTCTTCTCTTGGCTTTCAAAGTCATCATTTTTAGTATCATTTATTTCTAAGAGTGACTTTGAATTATCTTTGTCTTTAGTTTCTTCTCCTTTACACACTGGAAATTCTGCAGCATTTAATACCTTGTCATGTTTTGTCATTTCAACAGGAGAGCTTCCGCTACCAATGCCAGACTCCTTTAAATTACTGCTAGCAACACTTGACCCACTAAATAATTGTTCTTTACTGTTACGCTTTTTTCTTCCCTTCTTCTTCTTAATACCTTCTGCAATACTTTCAACATCTGTACGTTTTTCACTCATGTCTGGCTCTACATCTTTTTGCCCTTCCCTACTGAATGCTTTCCCATCCTCTTCCCTTTCTTTGTGTTTTTCACTCGCATCCATCTTCCCAATTTCTTGCTTTGTTTCCGAATTACTGATTTCCCGTCTCTGTCGCTTTCGGTCTTTAAGGTGTTTACCAGGATGATCTGACATATCACTTGTTTCATTTGCTTTACAAACAGTTTGTGAAAGTACCTCTTCTACGCTTTCTACCGCCAACTCGGTCGAAGCTTTTCGCTTCTTCTTTTTCTTCTTTTTCTTTTGTTCACTATTTTCATCAAAACATATCTTGCTACAAGGGTCAGTATCCTCCGTTCCCTTTTGGGTTGATTTCGAATCAGGGGGCTTATTTGAAATCAATTCATCTAGTATAGAGCCAGGTCTATTAAATTCTGAATTTTCACGAGTTTCCTCGTTAGCCTTCTGCTTTTTAAAGTCAGAAACACCTTGCGATTCTGTAGCTGCCTTGGCGTCTTCTAAGTCTTCACACAAACCATCTTCCTCAGCTTTACTTTTCCTTTTTCTATCATTGCCAGCGTTTATATCTGGCAGTACAATAGGGATCAAACTGTTGGCAAAATCAGCAGCATGTTTGATACTTGATGGAAGAGCATCTTTGTCTAGCATATGATTTTGTGCTTGTTTATCACTTTCAAATGGACAATGTGTTTGACTGCACTGTGTTTGGAAGGATCCAGCACTTCTTTTGCTATGTGCTGCACATTCTGAGTTTAAAGGCTCATAATTGACAAAAACCTCTTCATTGTCATCGAGAAGAGGTTCTACAGGATACCAGTCTGGCAAGATTACTTTCCCTTTGTCTTTTCGAAGATGATTGATGGGACAAAATCTAACGAAAAAATTCAACCATTTAGTTATATAAATAAGACAATTAAGAGCAAGTGATCCCAAGCAAGTTTATGTTTTAATCTACAAAATAGCTTAAGCACAAATGCTGCAGCGCAAGTACTTTGGTTTGCAATAGTCTATATCATATTTAAAAAAGCCCACATTAGCCACCACAAGCATGGAGTTTTATCTATTCTTTTCTAATATGTAAGTACTTTTTCTTTAGATTTTGTCACTTCAAAGCTAATTAAAAGTTTAACAATATATATGATGAATATCAAATAAGTTTTTGCTGCTGCAAAATTTGAAGATGGTATGAATACCAGAAACATAGCATAAAAAAGTACATTATGCTTGACATTCAAAGTATAAAAGTTGGATAATGACCTAATGACCTGGATAAAGTATATAACGTAAGCAGAAAATTCATATTCATGTGTATTTATATATATATTATCCACATTTATACCAAAATTAATGTGAAGATGGTTTGCAATTGGTTTAACTGGTTCTTTTGTTTTTTACCAATAAACATACACTTATCTCCCACTTTGTTGAAAAGACAAAAAAGAATACAAAATTTTCTGTCATAATAAGTTTGGATCCTTTGTTTTGAGGTCAACATATCCCAAAACTATTTAATGAAAAGACGACCTTGCCTACCTAATGGTCTTGAAAATGTTGTTACAGTACTTCTATTTCATTTTTACACTTTAATTTTTTTGAGCATTTGTGGTTTGGAAAAGTGCCCTGTACACTTAAAATGTGTCCGTGGATTGGCAACATTTCATAAATTTTGAAAGTTAATCAAAAATCTATTGTTTTTCCAGTTGTTTTTCCTATCTCAAGCCTTGTGTGCTCTATTATACTAAGGTCAAGCTTCATCCATTCAAAATGATTGCGTTCCTACCAGTATAAAAAATAAGTTGTTTATCAATTTTTTGCAGATGTGAAGCTAGTTAAAAGAAAAAACCAGCCTATTACTGTGAGCATCAGGCAAAAAATTGTTCCGAAAAGACAACAGCCACAACATTTTGATTTACAGCTTAGAGGAAAATGGATGACTCTGATCATGTGTAAAATGTTAAAAATTAACTTTCATTCAAATTGTATTGCAAAGACTTTGTTGTAACAGAGAATCTCTGTCAAAGCTAATGTACAGATTTGTTAAATATTTACACAGATGTAATTTTGCTTTCATATTCCATTGCAGTAGGGGCATCTTCAGAGAGGTTGTAGGAATAAGAGAATAGCAGAAACTTACTTACATTTGGTGAGGAAAAAGCCTTTTTAAAGTTTCTTGCATTTCATTTTTCAAATCTGATATTGAACCATCTCTTGAAACAAGGACCTGAAAACAAAACTAAACTGTCAGCTAACCAAAAATTCTTTTTTTTTGTACAATTATCAAAGCATGCTGGCAAATATGATCTTTGATAAAATATATTTTGAACTAAATTAACTATAAGGCAACAGAAATTATTTACTTCTACCAAATGATTCTGACCTCCTAGAAATGGAACACAAACGGTTCAATAATCACAAGAACAAATATGTTATAGCAAAAGGTGTGTGAATTGCTGAAACTGATGATGACAATATTTCAGATTTAGTTCCCAATTTTGCTTGAAAGGGATGCAAATTTTGACCATTAATGTTCATCATCATCATGTTCAGTAAAACGGTCATTCAGCTCACTGAGACACATAAGAACGTACATTCATAACACCATTGGACAGTAAACCCTCATTGATAATGGATGCCATTACTCGACTCTTGTTAATAAAAAAGATATCAATAAAATAATCAATATACTTGGGTTCCAAGATTCTCATTTCTTTTCAAGAAATTAGCTTGTTTTCAAAAATGCTAGATAGTTAACCTTATGTTAATGATGTTGCCAATCATTTGTTTAATAATATTGAAAGCTTACATGCTTTAGTGGATGCTCCATAAAAATTTGGATCTTGGTATTTTTCAGCAAACAATTTAAGCCCCCTTTCTTCTACCTGAACTCACTCCATATGTCTATACTGGTCAAGACAGGTTTGCTTTAAGTGGCATTCAATGTAACTTTTTGAATCATAATCATTTTGTTTTGAGGTAAGCTGAAGAAATTTAAGCTGGCTTTGTTTTGTTTTTGTTAGCCATGAGCTCTGTGAATGTCCTTCATGTACCAGTTTTAAAACATAGCCGCTTGCTGAAAATGTATGGCTGAATGACTACTGGCTGAGAAGCTGCAGTGTCTTGAAATAACTTCTATCTACAGAAACAGCTTGTGCAGCACTTTAAGACTCAATCTTGATTGATAAGCCCTATACTGGGTCTAGACTGTATACATGGGTGTCCTATACTTGGGGAAACGTTACCAATATGGTTGCATTTCTTTGGCCTAAACCAATTGCTTTACACATCTTTGTATTGATCGTCGGTACCAATGTGGAAAAAAGTAATTTTTTGTTCAATGTTCTGTAAATAAACTCAGAATATACAATTTATCAGGCTTATTGAAGCCCTGGATCATCTTTTACGCCACTATAGCTAAGAGTAACAATAGCAAACATATTTGTAATAAGAAATTAACACGCTCTTTGATTTTGATCAACCTATTTATCATGTAAGTAGCTAGGCAGTTATTTTTCATCCTTCGTGTTTCGTGTTGAACTTTGGGCAATGCTGGTTCGCTTTTCTATTTATACATTTAAAAATTTATAATTCAAGTTAGCTTTTAACATGAATTTGTAAGCGAATCTCGTTTATGTTGTGCATAATTTTGTTATGTTCTGTGGACAAACTCGAACTCGACTCAATAAGTTGCTGATCAATCACAATCTCGAATTCCAGGCAGTATATTGTTGAAATCACGATTGATTTTAAATACATATATGACATATCTAAAGAAAAACTAACGGTAGTCTCATATAACAACAATGTGCTTCTTTATTTTGGCAGACGACAGAGTAGTACGGAATTTGAAAGAAACAGCAACAAAAAAGCTTGGTAGAATAATATCAACATTGGCACCCACCATGACGTGATCAATTCCAGGGTAAGATATCTTTAACCTCAGTGGTTTTAGCCCTTGAAGGCTTTTCTCTGCCATCTTACAGCTTTCAGAAACCTGTTTTGCCGTATAGCATCTCATGCACCATGTGCGCCTTTTTCGTGTTCAAAAATTTACGGCCTCATACAGTTTTCATCATGTCATAACGAGGCCGGCAGGAGGCTCGAGATTCCTATTGTTCTTCAGAGTTTTTTGTTATAGATTCTTTCCATGGAATTGAAGCGTGAGAAGAAAAATTAGATAATTAAACAGGCTTTCGTATCCAGAAGCTTTTGGATAGGAGGAACTTGCCTTGAAAATACCACTTATATACCCCTACTGATTAATAAATTAATTTCAGGGGTATGGATTAAAAAAAAATGAAAGAAAAATGGATGGGTTTTGCATGAGTTTTTCATATTTGTAGGACGCTTGTTTACAGCCAGGTCAGCCACTCAGCGAGAATCGTGGCGTGAAATACATGGCTTATATAAATTTGGTGTCGTGTATCTCAGGCCTTAGATTTGTAAAGAGGGATAAATAACTCTAAATCGGCCCAAAGTAAATCTGCTACCTCCCATGTTTAAAATGCATTTGAGGCGATAGGGTTAAAGAAAAAGTAAAATATATTATTTGTTCTTTTGGGATAAGATATATACGGAAGCCCGAAGCGCTTAAAAAGAAAAGTGATCCGTCAGTCAATATTAGCCAATCAAGACGCGTGTGAGTAGAACCATTGGTTCAGTAGAAATAAAAATGGCTTTAACACACTGCCTTGTGGAGCACCAAAATTTTTTTCGCGAGATTTATACAGAAAACTACAGACTTCCGGAGTTTGTGTTTCGTGACAGAGGTACAAATTAAACCAGCCTTAAACGGATCCTGAATAACCATACTGCGGTAATTTGCAAGGAGTAAGAAAAGTGAGGCAAGGGAGCGCTAAGTGGATTTTTAACTTGAAGGAAACTGAAATTTAGAAAAACAACACGGACCATTCCGTTGACAACAATAAATTAGTGCATAATCAGTGGTGTCCAGGGACATAACCTGAAAAGCTCTCATGACTTAGAACCTATTTTTGTGAAAATATTTTTTAGAATAGAAAAATTTTTTAGGCAGTCTACCAGATATGTCCAAGACATGGGGGATGACCTTCTACTTGTTCATACCACATGACCTTCTACTTGCACACCTATAAACATAATTATCTTAATGCATTAAAAAAATCCTAGTCAAGCAACGCAAAATATTTTTCAACAATGTTCTCAATCTACTTAAACAGGTCAACACAGGCATCATTGAGAAGTGAGTAATAAATGCCACCACTCTTGAGCATATTCTAAAAAATTTAAATCCTCTACAAAAAAACAATATGCAGCATAATTTGGTCTAGGCATATGAAGATAATAATGGAAAATGTATTTAATTTACACAAAATAATACCATGCAGAAGCAACAACTACAATCCTTGCCAAAATTGCCAAAACACCTATGTCTTTACAGTTTATATCCCCTGGTGCAACTTCATATAATATTGCATTAAACGACTTTCGATTAAAAACAAACTAGGATTGGGCAGAAAAAATCTTTTCATGATGTAATCACAATTTCAAAAAACGATTGTAATAGTTGCAAGGATTGTGTTATACGGAACAAAATTAAAAAGGATCAGATTACATAATAATGATTGATATCAAAAGAATATGATTTGCTTGCTTTAGCAGAACTACAGATGAATAACTAAAACAACATTTGTAACAAGCAACAAATTATACTGTATCTATCTAATTAGAAAGAATACGCGATTACTATATAGTTTCTCAGCTAGAGATGAAATTGAAAATAGTGGAAACACCAAATTACAACAGTTGGTTTGAATCAAAGTTTCCAAAAAGTTTTCATTGCACAATTTGAAGTATCAAGTTTAAATCCCAAAAAAGATATTTAAAATACATACACCTATTGTTGTTCTAGAAAAGTAAAGACACATATGCGGCCTCTTTACATACAACATACTTAATGATAAGTGCATTATCAATTTAAACAATCTTGAGAACAAAGATAATACATTCTTGTAGCCTGTGTTGAAGTTCAATCAATCAGCAAGAAAAAATTATAGGTAGCTTCTTATTATCAATTTTTTTGAAAAAAATGACAAAAATAGATCAAAACTTCTTAATGTTCTGCACATAATATTTACTAATACAAGGTTTCGTTTGGGCAAACCATATGGCCAAACAACGGGAAGCAAATTTGCCTCACTGTTAATTTTCTTTAATGGCATCCTAAAACTACCCAAAGAAACTTAAAATTAATATTGTATATACAACAGTTGAATTTTAAATTGAAACATGTCATTTATGGCACTGGTTGTGTTCTGGTCATAATCTTCCTTAGCTCTGTATCTGACTGCCACCTCAAATTTTCGCAGAAATCTAGTCGTAAAAGCATGGTTACCAGGAAGTGGAATGGTGCAATAAAAACCTCATTGTAACAGTCAGCCATAGCAAAAAGTAGGGACTCACTCTTTGATGGACCACTAAAAGGTTCGCTCCCTTCAATCCACTTCTGGCCAATGAATATTTGAATCAAAGTAACAAGCATTATCAGGCTCAATGCTTGTAGAAAGCCAAGGCTTGTTACATAGGAAACATGATAAAAGACTGCAATAAATCCAGGTAAGGCTAAAGCCTGTGAAAAGAAAGATTCAGAAAATTATCTAGACAACATGAACATTGTTATACATATTATAAGGAGTCACTAGTACCATATGACAGATGACAAAAAACAATCAAGCATACAAACAGAGGGTAGTCTAGTAACAATATACCAAAATTGTTCGACATCATGGGCTGCTTATGCTGTGAAAAAGTTATGGTGTATATATACATAAAATATTTTATTTAATTTGTGTATATATGTATATATAATATTTTGAATGAAATTTTGATAACATAGCATTGAAAAATATAAGAACCTTTTATTGATACAATAAAGGGATGATCAAAACACAACAACAATGGAAGCAATATATTACAATATCTTTGTGGAAAAATGTACCACCTATAAGGTATATCATACTTAAAATATATAATTAATTATGCATTGCAAAAGAAGATAGTAAATTCTTAAAATTAACTTACAGCAAGATTAGCATCTTGTGAAAAGCATATTATAATTACGAGTGCAAAGTTTATCAACTGAAGGAATGAAGGCAAAACACAGGCCATGAAGTAAAATCCACACCATGTCAGGAGCCAAGAAGTAACACAGTGAAGAGCAACATTCCTGATAAAAAAATACAATATATGAGTAGGCGTTGCAGTGTGATGGCTGAGAGAAATGAGTGATAAACAATACAAAGAAATAACAGTATATCACTTTCAGGAATGGGCACTGGAAAACAGTTCATATAGGCCCAGGTAACATGGCCCAAAATAAGTTGTCAATGTCAATATTTTTCACATTGTTTTTGCTTTTACCCATTGTGTTGATATTTTGTCCTCCTCCCAAAAAAGAAGTTTGAGCATGGGAATAGAACAATGGTTTGAGATAGCAAATGTTCAAGTTATCGGGAGTATTTTTAAATGAAAGTATTACATAAGGTTCAAAGGGATTGTTTAATAAGTTCAACATAGTTTAAGTTAGCAGGGGGTTCAAGTTATCAGGAGTTTGAGTTGTTTACTGATATGGTAATTTTTAGGTACATTGTAGACACTTGTATGACCCTAAAGGGTTGATAAATGTATTTTTCATAATGATGATGGTGATGATGATGATGATGATTGTTATTATTATTATTATGATTATAGAATAGCTAAGAGTAACAATAACAAACATATTTGTAATAAGAAATTAACAAGCTCTTTGATTTTGATCAACCTATTTATCATGTAAGTAGTTAGGCAGTTATTTTTCATGCTTCATGTTGTTTGTTTCTGTTTGCTCTACTGACTTCTTCTCTTTCTTTAATCTTACAGCTTGTTTTCCTTTATAAATAATACAAAATATTCCCCTTAAACTCTCTTAGAATAGAAAACAGAAATCACTCTGGAAAAAACATAGGAGTCATGGCTGAGAAGCTCTCTCACCAGGGTGCATTTCAAGTCAACCGTACGCCAAAGGACCATCAAAGCATTTGTTTAGGTGCCAAACATATGAGCAGTTAGTAAAACTGCAAATATTGTACACCAGACAAAAAAAACTGATTAATAGAGAAAAATTTGGTGGATGGGTCTTTATTTCACTGTTTTTCATGTTACACTATGTACCTGGCTTTTCGTTTTACATCAAGTTTGATGAATGCCAAAAAATTGTTATTGGTTTACACAAGCAACGAGAGTGTACACCAAAGATCTTCAGGCCTAATACCTGGCTCTCTCTGGGTTAACTTTAGTATGACTTCCTCAGCAAATCAGAATCATTCAATCACTTTGGTCATGGAATGATGGAAATAATATAGCCAGAGAAGTTTAAGCCATACAAATTGAAAAATTTAAGGTATTGACAGAAAACAACCTTTTAAAGAATTTCAATGACCAATGAGTCAAGCTTTGACAAATGATGTTTCAAGTTATTGTTTAAGTAAATTAGCACATTTTCTAACATTTTAAAAAACCCTTATTAGTGTGATTAACCTGATATGTTGAAAAATATACTTTTTAGTTTGCACAAGGTAACTGAGGAACCAAAAACATTATTGAAAAACTTACCAAAACTTTTTGTGTGTATAGCGCTTAACAGCGACCTGTCTCTTCAGATCAAAGAAAAAGTCTAGCTCATAATGTAGTGTTTTCTGCGGCATATTCGTCTTCTTAATTTATGTAAACCTTGATTTACTACAACATTCCGCATACCTCGTCCTGCCACCTCATCTTGAGTATGACTCTCTCTCTAACGATATAGAGGTCAACAAAAGTTTGGAAGCGAGGCTTTAGAAAGGCTTCATAAAAGCACAGTGATAAAGGTCTGTAACTCCAGGATACTTTTGTCAAGAAGTTTCATGTCTATGTATCATATTTTGATTTTCTTTTTAAATCTATAGGAAATTAAATTCCAGGAAATTCTTGAAAATTTCAAAGCAATTTGGAAAATATTCAGGACAAGGAGGAATATTATTAACTCAACCAAAAAATTACGTTGAAAACAAAACGTAGATAAAAACGACCAGATCTTTACTCATTGTAAATTCAAGTTTTGAAGCTGTTGGTTGCATCCTTATACAATGCGGACATTGATATTAAATTGGTTCAGTGACGAAGCCAGGGCTGGAGAGGAGGTCAGTCTCTGTGGCAGAGCGGACACGCCCTTCTTTGGCGATGCCTAGCAAAGGATGGGTGCTATTTTATGTTTTACGCTTTGCAGCTTCAACTCTCGTTAACTAGGATTCAAATCTGAGCAAATTTAAGACATATTTGTTCTTACCAGCTTTCTGTCTAAAAAGCCACGAATGCCGAGCGTAATCATTAATATTTTATTGTTTATGTACAATCAAACATTTATACAGGAATTTATGCCTCTAAGCTGTCCCAACTACCAAACTATATGTCTAATTTTTGGTTCTATTGATGGCGGTTTAATTTAGTAGCATTTAAGAAGCCATTATATTATATTCGACCTCAGTTGTCAATTATCGAAAAATTTTCGTTTTTATTGCTTATGGCACAATCTGGGTATTATAGCAAATGCGGCCCGATGGCAGAATCGCAATATTTAGTCATTGCTTTTGATCCGAAAGCATGTGATTTCAGAGGACTTGTTTTTATTTCTTGCGCTGGCAGAACCTTTTCCCAAAACTTTTGGTTATGCGTTCTATTCATCCAGTATAATACTAGCTCATAAACTAATAAATGACGAAGCTATTTTTGTGTTAGAAACAAAATTATTTTGAAATGGATGGAAGGGCTCTCCTTCCACTGTGAACCATGCTAGGGTTGAAAGCAACACATATTGTAACAGGCACCGCAGGTCGTTGAGACAATTAGGGGGAGGAGGGCTAAAAATGTAGGGGCTAAAACCAAATAAAAAGAGCCTTCCCTAGTGGTCTATTCTGAATTCTTTGCAACTCGACACAAAGTGGGAAAGTTGGGGGGGGGGGTGCCTGTGTAACAACATTTTTAAGCTGACTTTTGAATCGAAGAAAAATCAGGGCCGGTTCCAGGAAATTTTCTTGGGGGGGTGTAAGCTCTTATGTACCGAGTAATTTTAAAAAAAACAATACCAAAAATTTTGAGCTCAACTAATCGTGATCAGAACTAACAACTAAATGACTTACACTAACTTTAATTTAAGAAATTTAACTTTAACGAAAGAACTTTAATTTTAACTTCAATCTGAAAAAAGCGTTTCAACCAAATACAGCACGTTCTAATAAAAATACAGAGTCAATGGTGGGTCAAAAAATAACCCTCAGATTTTTGCGAGTCATTTAATTAGGAGCTTTTGACCAAGCCTCTTTTTCAGTTCTTATAGCGCAATATATGAATAAATTAACTTTAAGTAGTGTCAAATCGAACTCTTCTGTTTTTTAAGTGTATCCAGTTCTTGACAACATCTTCCAAGTTGACATTCTCAGAGAAATCCTTCTCGCATGATATCAGCATCAGAGATTCCAGGCGGTCCTGGAGCATTGTGCTCCGCAGCTTAGTCTTCACCAACTTTAGTTTGCTAAAAGATCTTTCATTTGAAGCCACAGTAATTGGTGCTGTTTGAAGGAATGTATATGCTGTGTTGCTTGCCGGATAAATGTGCCTTCGACTATATACGAACTTTGCAATTTCACGGACTGTCATGCTCTTCACCAACTTTTTCTCTTGGAAGTCCTCTCTCAAAACAGTAAGCTCTGCAAAAAGACTGCCACTTGAAACTTTCCCCGACAACAAATGCTCCAGATCCTCTGCTTGTTCTTCCCTTAAGTTATCCCAAGGAGGCAACAAAACACTGAACGGCTTTATTTTCTTCAAAATGCTACCCCAGTTTTCTTTACAATCTGTAATTATCTGATCAAGTACAGAATAAATCTCTTTCGAATAAAACGTCTGGAAGGAGAATGCCTCCTCGTTGTCTCGGTTTTCATCAATTCTTCTTGGAATCAATCTTCTTCTGTGGCGGTGCTGAAACTCCTCTTCTAGATTTATTCCCATGTGCATTGCAATTTGTGTGGCAGCTTCAATCTGCTTTTGCACGTCATCTTCATTTCGAATCTTTTCTAACGCCCTAGTTGTCGATGACACTAGCTCAAGTGCGTCGAGTAAATTCAAACCCTCTTCCTGAAATTGCACAACCAGAACCTTACAGCGCCGCATTATGAATCTCATAGTAGCCAAGCTGAAAACAAAATCAAATGTTTTCATTTTCTTCAAAATTGCTTTGGCTTGATCCTGTGTGTTTTTGTCACAGTCAAGTTGTCTATCCATTATCTGCTCGAGCAGCGAGACGATTACTGTCAAAGAGATCCAGACACTGTCAATAGATTCAGATCTAGCAATCCAACGAGTTTGCGAAAGATTTCGCATCTTCAAGGCCCCTTCTATTTCAACTTGTGCTTTTTCAAGTGCTTCAGATCGCTTGGTGCTACTAGAAAAGAATGTGTACAATGACTGTAATATGTCAAACATCGATGATACAAGACTGCTTGCTTTGGAGCTTCGTTCTACATATGTACTCAGCCTGTGAGCCTGGCATGGGATGTAAAGGATTTCCTTTTTGTGTGGAAAATCTTCTTGAATTTTATCACTTAGCACTCGTTGGCATCCTTAATACTTTCCAGACATACATGACGCAAAATCGTACGATTGAAAGACGAGTTTTTGTGGGTCCACACTACACTCATTGAGAGCTTTCAAAATTTCTGCAGCATGGCCTTCTCCGGACTTGTCTTTGAGAATCCTCAGACACAGTAAACGCTCAACCGGCTTGACATTGACGACGTATCTTACAACAATTGCCATCTGATCTTTATTGCTTGTGTCCGGGGTAGTATCAGCCATTACTGAGAACGCTGAGACTTCCTCTAGCTCCTTCACCATACGATGCCTCACTGCGTCACCTAGCAACTTTATCAACTCATTTTGGGTGTCTTTGCTCATATAGGTAACATGGTATGGTCGCATCCTTGTTTGGTTCTGCCAGTATTTCAAAATGCCGCAATGTCGACTGATTAACTTCACAATCTCATGAAAGTTGCTGGATTCGTCAGTATTTCCACGAAATGCAAGGTCCTGCATAGCCATGGTGCGAGCAGCATCACATAATATTAACATAATTTTGGTGTTAAACATTGCGTCGTCAGTTTCTTTAATCATTTCATGACGACGAGACAAATCCAAAAGTGCATCAATGTTCTGATGTGGGTTAGTGAATCTTGCAAAATCTCGTAATGCTTCTCTGTGACTTTGGCTGGTGAAATGCTGTATCAGCTTGCCCTTCTTTCCTTTTCCAACACTCTTCATTTTGTGCCACTGTCTAACGCCATTAATAGTCCATGAAGCATCTGAAGAGGGTCTTCCAGCGCCGTTTGGAAATAAGGAACAAACATAGCAAAATGCTGCGTCATTTTGAACGCTATATTCAAGATGTGGAAAATCTTTGAACCAGGTGCTTGAAAACTTATTTTGTTTACCAGATTCAATGAATGCATTACTTGGATAAACTGTCAAGCGAGGCTGGTAGGGACCTAGGTTTATCACAAAACGGCGTTGGCTATCCGACAAATCTTTTTTTCTTTTTCCAGGGTCGTGTTCTATTAGTGCTGCTGCTTCTCCAGGTTGTACAGATCCTTTTTGCCTGTCAATTTTGACTTTAAGTCGTTCAGCAGATTTTTCTAAATCATTACACTGGGTTTTAATCTCGTTGGCAAACTCTTTTGCAGATATTGCAAACTCTTCGATATTTGGGGTACATGGTTGTGTTAGAATGTTTAACGTCAAATTACCTCTTTGCTCCAAAGTGGATAGCAGATGCTTGAGCTTTCCCGCACAGCTAATCCAATAATCATCATTTTCATCATCGGTGTCATCGTTTTCGGAGTTTTCAGCCTCACTCTCGCTCTCCTCATCAACCACATTCTCACCGACAACATTACTAATATTAGATACTGATTCTTCTTTTGCAGAATTCGCTAACCCAATCTCTTCGGTTTTGTCATCCAATATCTTCTCAGATGAAGATGAAGAAGATGAATCTTTTTCTTCAATTGGATTATCTTTCTTGCGTTTAGCTGCTTCGAAAGGGTTTTTAACTGCACCTGCGGTTTCATATGGCACATTTTTGCCTTCATGTTTCTCTCTATTGTGTTGGAGGCGATAGTCACTGTTGAACTGGGAATTACACCCTTTTGCCTTGCATCTTATTTTTACTTGTCTTCTTTTCATAGCAGTGAAACATAGCCTGGTAAAAATAATTGTTCTCAGTTTTACTTCAGATGAAGAGACCCACTTGAAAAAATTCTCAAAAGCTCAAACTCAGGCCTTGTCAAATCTTGGAAAATCTTGCTTTTCAAACAGGCCTAGACTTTTTGTCACAGGCTTACGCGAGAATTACAAAATTCAAAACAAATGATTATATGGATATGTCTTCAGAAAATAAAATTCAAAAAACAGAACGATCATTATTTGAAGCAAGTTTTTGAGTTACCTGAAAAGCTGCCGTTTCCCTTTCAAGTAGCGTAATACTTATTACTGTTACTATTTTTTTCAATTCTACTTTTGTTCGTCAGCTCAGCTTCATTCAGATAAAGGATTACCAGAGAATGTTGCTTCGCGGGTTTCGCGCCTTCTTCACAGGTGGCGTCAGTCGCTATGTTTAGTTTTATTGAATAAATCGATCAGTGGAATTCGAACAATAGGGAACAATAGAGTAAGCAGGAAACACAAATGGTTTCTCAGGTTCTCACCGAATGAGACCACACCAGCAAATATCACATGGTCTTTGTAGGCACAGGGCAATAATGAAGAAAACTAGATATTCAAAATGTTATGCATATTTAATTGCTTTTTGCGCAGTGATGCACTACACAGCATTTAATATAAAACTTCGTAACATAATTTTACCGACCAAAAATCGAACTTTACCGAGTAAATCGCCAAACTCGATTCTTGGGGGGGGGGGGGGGGTCACACCCATGGAACCGGCCCTGAGAAAAATGTTACTTAACCATGCTAGTTTTGGATTAACTGGGCATCTTTATAAGCCAAACTGAAAAACCAAATGAAAAATAAATGACTTGATTTGTTGAAGTCACTAGAAGTTGAATTATGTATGTTATCCTAGTTTATAAGTATATGGCCATGAATGCTTTGAACTTCTTTCAATGAACTTCTTTATCATACTTTTCAGGAAAATAATATAGATACTTGATTTTCTACAGATTAGTTCACAGTGTCAGCAGCTTTCGTGTAAATTTCTAGTTTGTGGTTTATATGCATGGATTTAAGAAAGAAAATAACTTATTCTAGGGCCTTTTATATGCGTTATATCAAACAAATAGTCATGATTATATGCACGTTAATCATAAGACAAAATCTAAATAGCAAGTCAATTGCAAAAAAACGTTCTAATAGTTAATAGTAAAATTCAATCATAGGTTAAAGTTTCTAAAAGTGAAATGTTATTTACTTGCAAAACAAACGATTTAGGACAACGCTATCAGGCACTGCGGAGCGTTGAGAAAAATGAGGGGGTCTAAAAGAGTGGGGGGGGGCTAAAACCGTATAAAAAGAGGCTTTACTGGTAGTTGAGTAATTAATATTTAGCATTTCATGCAAAAAGTGGGAGGGCTAAAGTCCCCCTGCTCCACGGTGCCTGGCTATAGATAGGTGTGTGGAAGCAAATTTCTCACATCTATGCCACCTGGATAAATATGTTTAGCAAAATATAAAGCGAAATCGAAATGCAAGAAACATGTCGAACAATAAAAGAAAAGTAAAACCCATTTCGGAAAAATTAAGAGTTGCAGGCAAAATCACTACAAGAAAAAGATCCGAAGTGATCGCATACTATTTGCATAAAAACTTTATGATAAAAACAAACAATTAGGGTCACGACTAATTACTTTGCGTAATCTTTTGCTCGAGTAAGAGTTATTGCTTTAGTTTTTTTCTTGCCTTTAAGGTTTTACCTTGTATTGGAGAGGTATTCCCTCTGCTCTTGTCTTCTAGAATCGACAACTTCTACGAACAATGGATACACTGGATGTCGCTGACGTTTGGCATTTACTTAAGGGTGTATATGCTTCAGGGTGTATAAGATGCATTGAACTGACTCGGAATGAATTGTCGTCTTTTCGTACATATAGGTCATGTCGAGGTTTTGGATGAGGTATAGATACTAACAAAGGGGGATAGAAAGCTCAAATGTACGGGCAGGGGGTTTCTTATGAAATCATGTCGATAATACCATATCTCTACACCTTTACGCTGGGCAAATCTGATTCTTATTCTTACCACTTTGCCCAGTCTTAGCATATCGAATTGCATTCTATATAGCCTTAATAAGCAACTGTAGTATGTCATAGGCGATAAAATACTTTGAGCTATTACAGAGTACATAGAGTATACAAGTAAGAAGTTACTTTACGGAAGCAAAAGTAAAATATGTAGCTGTGTTTTTGTTATTTTACTCTTTCTTCCAGACTGAATAAATTGCAGTAATGAGCCTTTTCATTTGTCTTCCAAATGCACACAGTAGCAACAAAAAAAGGATTGAGAGCAAAGTTATGGGAGGCACCAGAACTGCCATAGCCATTATCCATCCAAATACTTTCAAAAGTAATAGGCCTTTTCCTTCTTCTCTGACTCCGTGATCAATACCATAAGCAGAATACAAATCCATGCTGTTTATGAGAACAAGCATTGTTAGTGACAACATTTCTAACACATTGAGTTGGGCATTTTTATAGGGCTTCTTGTAAACATGGTGCAAAAGGAAGCAGATCTGTAAAAACAATGATATGTATAGCTTGCAGACGGAATCTTTCGAAAATGTGAAAACAGAAATGAGAGTCAATCGGCGAAGGATATAGAAACCCTCCCATGAAAAGTATTTGCTGCTGTTAATGTCATCAGTGAACGGCTTGCATCGTTCTGTAAACACGGCATTTAGAACAACATCTCCAGAAGAAATTCCATCATTATCATCCGTCAAAAAGGTTGTGCGAACAGGACTTCTATCTCCAAGAGGTACATCAATGATAACTTTCTTAGTGCGAAATTTGAACTTGATAAAGACAAACAGAAGAAATGCTAGTGGTGAAAGGCATCCAAGAAACAGTGAAGGCAGTGTCAATTTTTTCTTTAGCAACAATCTAGGTAGCACGAAGATGAAACCACAAAATGGCAGTACCCAGAATAAGCCTACAATCATAAAAGCAATTTGCCATTTCTGATAGCAAATGATGTTTCCTTGCAAATGTAGTCTTTTCTCTGAATTGACATCGTCACATCTTAGCATAGCAAAAGTTGTTGTTGCTATGGCCGCGTAACTCAAAAGTAAAACCTCAAATAGAGCAATCAACACTTTGTCCGCAAACGCTTTTGACAATTTCGATGAGATAAATTTCGAGATAAGCTTTGCAATAAAAAAAGCCAAGATCATCACAAGGATGACAGCTGCGACGAGGCACAATCTGATTATTTTGTTCCACACTGGTGTAGCATTTGATATGGCACAAGACCAAGCACCACCATGAGGGAGGAAATCAAAGCTAAAAACACTTTTGATGGATTGCTTGGCGAAATTCAGTATTGACTTTTCCTCTTCACTGCTAGACGAATTGAACAAAGCATTAATTTGGTAAAAGTAGAATGCAATTTTTAGTAATCCTGTAAGAATATCACTGTTATTGTTACCATCATTTTCAGGGTACATAACTCTTTCTTGGACTGATTGCAGGTCAAGGTAGGGGCATGTGTTGTCAGTTGAAACATTCCATTTCTTGAACCAAAACAAATGTCGCTTTAAAAAGAATGAAATCTCTTGTTTGAAGGTGAATAAAACAAAGTAAAAGATAAGCAGAACAGCAGCAAACAGCCAAAACTTTTCGATATTGCAGGCTTCATTTTTAATGCATTTTGTTGACAAAATGCTTTGCGCAAATCCCTTCCTACACAGACCACAAAGTATGCTTTCTCTTCTGGCTGCACATGAATTATACCGGCTGCACAAATCCCCTCTGCATCCATAGCCTTTGGGTAACTGCGTAAATTTACCAAAGCTTCCATTTTTAGTTGTATAACCCCAAAAATTTTCTTTCGGCTTCAACTTTCCTTCTAGGCATGTGCCACCCGATGGGCACTTTAAGCACTGTGAATCAGTTACTGCTAGTCCAAAAAACATGCCCCTCTTAAGTGAGTATGTTCCAATACCACAAAACTCACATCGGATGCTCAAAAACTGGATTCTGTCCTCTTTCAAGTCGGCGACTCTTTTGGTATAGACTTTTAGAATTGTCGCCTCTGGGCAGACTATTTTTTCATCGCCTCCCATCTTTAATGATCGGTATGGTCCTTCGAACTGTACAACAGGAAACCCATTATTGGACCCCATGATTTCAATATGAGCCGCGTAAAGGTTGGTAAAATATGAAGTAAATATTGCTTGACCTTGAGTGCTTGGGAAACGACTTTCTCTAGGTGTTTTGATAGTAGAAAAGTGAATTGTTAGAGGTGCGTGGGCATAGATAGTGCCACCAATCATCTGGGCAGAATTGTCTTCGAAATAGCTATCAACGATTAGAGCCCAACCTGCGTTCATTGAACCTAGATCCTGCATAATGGCGATTGCACCCCCACTGCCAAATTTGGAATTTAAATCGTAAGACGGAATATTTACATCAGTCTCGTTGTTGTAAAAGGCCCAATTGCTAAGAAATGTATTATTCGTTATATTCAAAGAGAAGACCGCAGGGCTAGAGCTATAAGTACTGATAGCTCCACCAAATGTAGCTACTCCATTGCTCTCAAATATACAGCGATATATGTATGCATTTAGCTGGTTTCTGATAAGCCTGAGTGCAACAGCTGCACCTTCAATGCCAGTATTATTTCGAAATATGCAACCTGTTATAACGACCTTTGTATTCGTACTAGAATCCATCAAAGAAATAGCTGATCCTCTTGCTCCCTGTTCACCAGACTCCTGTGACCAATGGTTGCCGGTAAAGTTGGAATTCGTCACATATAATGAAACCTTATACGCAGAAGATACCACAATAGACGTTGGATAAAAACTTACTGCTGATCCAAAACTGGTAAATTGACAGTAAGTGATATTAGCAATTATAAAAAACGTGCTAATAATGCCATACTGGCCATACTGAATTGCTGTAACTGAGTATCCAAGTTTGCCAAGAAATTTGCTTCTTGAGACGTCTAAAGAAATTAAACCACTGCCTTGAATGTTGAGTCCAAGTTTAGGAGCCACAAATAAGCAATTTGTAATTTCTATCTCACATCTTCTGTCACAAATTGACATAACTGGCTCTTGAACCTCAATAAACGAACAATTTCTAATGTATAAAGACCCGTCCTGTGCAATAATAAGACCACGATAAGGAACTTTGGCCACTGAGTTCCTTCTTTTAAAAAACGCAAGATTTTCAAGGAAAACAGTTACTCCGTCAGTTTTTGAAGCGCCAAATGACAGGATGCTGCTGCAGTTTTCGCACAAAATCGCAGGTCTTCCTTCTATACCTTTAATTGTTAGTGATCTATTCAATAAGATGTTTGACTCAATAAAAACGGCTTGCTTGTGCTTGTGATATCCGTGGACTGAAATTTCATCTTTCGCATATTTCGATTTCATGGCGGCATATCTGATGTGTCGGCATGGCACTGCAACAGTTCCGCACTCTTCATGGTCTCTTCCATCCAGTGATACATGGATCGATTTCATGGTAACATCTAAGAGGAAAAGGTAGTTCAATGATCTAATGGCTGTTTTATAGAACATTTTTTTCTACCTCGCATTTTATAAAACACAGGACTGAACAGTTTGGCTTAGGATTACAGTTGATTCATAAAAGTGTAGAAGACTGATTAAAAACCTGAAGATTTTTGAATATTTTGATAATATTATAAAAGAAATGTGAAATATTACCTTTCTAAAATGGTCAAAATAAAAGAGTTGCAAAGTGACGATGTGATGATAAAAGATATTTCTTATATTTTATAAAATTGAGACTTTTAATTTGAAATAAAAAATGAAATATATCGGAAGGTGCAAACTCAGTTTAACTGTTTAAAATTGCCTGAGGTATGGCCACATTTGTCTGTATTTATAGACGATCCCAGAAAGAGGCTGTTTCAGTAGTCAAAGAGTTGGTCACAGAAAGAATCTCTGCCGGTTTGCGTAAAAAGATTCTGAAGAATAGACAGGACTCTTACAACCAGCCAGTCTTTCCCAGGCTATGAAATTTATCAGGAACGTTGGTAAACAAAACAAAAACCTATAGTAGCATTGGTGAACCAAGCAAAACTATCAGTAACATTAGTAAACCATACAAAACCAACTTCAACATTGGCAAGCTATGCAAAACCGACAGTAACATTCTTAAGAAAAGCGAAGCCGAGAGTTACATTCGTAAACAAAGCAAAACAAACAGTAAAATTGGTAAACTATGCAAAACCAACAACAACAACGGTTAACCAAGCAAAGCAAAAAGTAATATTGTAATATTGGAAAACCAAATAAAACTAACAGTGACATTGCTGATCCTAGCAAAGCCAACAGTAACATTGGTAAGCCAAATATAGCAAGCAGTGACATTGGTAAACCATACAAAACCAACTTCAACATTGGCAAGGTATGCAAAACCAACAGTGACATTTTTATTCAAAGCAAAACCAAGAGTAACGCTCGTAAACTAGGCAAAAAACAGTAACATTGGTAGACGTGACATTTTTAAGCAAAGCAAAACAAACATGGCTCTTGGTGAGAGTGTGACCGCACCAACTAAAGTAGCTGCCTTGCGAATACTTTTAGTTCATAGCATGTTTTCATTTTTGGCGAAATTTAAGATGCAGATTTTGCACATTTTGTCCCTTTTTAACATCATATGGAATTCAGTTTGATGACCCAAATTGTGTAGTATAGGAGTGAAACTCTATGTATTTGTAAAGTATTTCGGAATAGCCAGATCGAACTACAAAGAAACATCGTTTTTGGATCAACATATGCAAAGTATTTGAAGGCATAATCAATGATGGACTAATATGATAAAGTGACGAAAAACATTTAATGTAAGAGGCTTTCGGTGAATTTTGCGAAAAAGGATCTGTAAATTGGGTAGCAGATTCACTCGTATTGTGACCGTATATTGATGTTTTTAAGTAAGCGTCTCAAAGGGTAAATTTACACCAAAAAATGAAACAAAGATGAATTTTTTGATGTCATCCTGTCAGAGAATCCTGTCAGGTGCTCATTCTTTGTGGAAGATAAGCTTGGAATTAAATATAACAGGCTGAATTGCAAATTGAGATAACTTGAATTGCAAGAAGATCTACGTCTATCATTGTTTGTGGTTTTTTAGTAATTACTTTTCAGAGGCATTTGTTAAAACTCTTTCAGGGTATGTGATCCAAATTAATAAGTTCAATAAAATTCACGAAAGACAATATTTAAACATAATATAACAAGGAACAACAAAAGGGCAAAAGTTGATGGCATTTCAACTTTTTATCGTCATAAATCATCATAAATATCTAGATTAACGACATTTTTTATCTGGTGAAAAATACTGATTTATGTAATTGTGTGGATGATAATACTATCTTTTCATATTGATCCTCTTTTGCGCGATCTTTACGTTATATTTAAATCACTTGAAAGAGACACTTGCATGTTATCACAATGGCTTGACAATAGTTACATAAAAATAAACGAAAATAAATATCATCTTCTAATTTTTTGAAAGAAAGATTAAGAAATCTTTGTAAACATCTGTGTGTCTATGATAAAAGAGAGCACCGGAAATACACTTCTGGGAGTAACTTTGAATTAAAGGTTAAGTTTTCAATCTCATGCTGATAGCCTCTGTAAAAAAGCCAATCAAAAATTGCTTTAAATTATTCTTAGATGCACCTCAACTAGCTCTAACAATGACTTCATTTATAATGTCTCATTTTAGTTATTGCCCACTTGTACGGATGTTTCATGATAAAGAAAGTAATAAATAAACAAGATTTATGAACGTGATCTTCAATTCGTATGTAAATAAAGCACCGCCAATTTTGATCAATCATTATCGAAAACCAAATCAGTGTCTATTTACCAGAGAAATTTACACTGCTCTTGATCGAGATATATAAACTTGTCACTAACCTGAATCCAGCACTAATGGATGATATCTTTGTTAATAAAAACCTTAAATATGAATTTCGAACAAAAAGCAACATTATTTTGCCCATTGCAAGAACAACAACATATGGCACAGAAACCATAAAATTTATTGGCCAAAAAATATGGCAAAACAAGCTACCTACTGAAATGAAAGAATCCCAATTACTACATAATTTTAAACACAACTCAAAGCCTTTAAAAATACATTTAGGCTTTTGATAGATAATTACTTTTCATGTCCATTTTAAATAGTTGGCTTAAATTAGCTTAATGCTAGATCTTATTGCCAATTTTAAATAAATTATCTATATTATTATTTTTTATTTATCATCTTTATCATCTGTATCATATCATATTAAGCATTTTATCATCTGTATTGCATTGCTAGAGGTCTCAATGGAAAAGGATAACAGCCGGAGTACCTCATGGCATAGGAAATACGAACTGTGGCCATATCGAAGGGAAAGGGCCAGGACACCCTAGAAGCTATCTTGTTGTTTTCAGATTAATGAGCTACATTTCTGTCTGAGTTATGGGAACTTATACAAAAGTGACAAGAAAAACTTGTCTTCCAAACGAGGTGATAGCATAACTTTGAAATTTTGGATAAGAGAAAATTACATTTAAAACAATTTATAATGGATCTTACCGTTTATCGACAGTGCAAAAATAATGATACCAAAGCATTGCGTTATGCTAAACATCTCGATTTATCTAATATTCTTGTCTCTCTCTCACGTAATAGCTCTTTTGGTTTCATTAAACACCCATAGTCTGAGCCGCACAGCAGTGGTTAGCTTTTATAAAGTACATCATGACAATGAATATTCTTTATTCAATGGAAATTAGCTGGCGTGCCAAAACTATTAGGTAATTTCTAACAAAGGAAGATTTTCTTCTCTTGTCCAAATTAGGTATGATATTTGGTGCCCTTTCCTTGAACTTTTGTCTAATACCTAACAACATCACAGACTGGCAGAGTATTTCTTAATTAACACAAAGGAAAATCAGCCACTGAAAGAGCAGGGCCGTAGAAAGAGGAAAATTACTGAGCCGTAGCGTCGCTAGCCTGAAAAAACTGGGGTGGATAAAAAATTTCTTGACCACGCCTTTCAAAAGTGGAAAAAGCCTTTTTTAGTATTGTTGATCTACTTCCCAATATTTGGTTAGCAACTTTCTCAAGCTGCATGTTTGTAAAGTGGGGTATGTGAGAACGAAAATCGAAACTGACCTGATCAAAAAACCCTCCCCCACCCCCAAAAGGCTTTTCACCTGATTTCAAGAAATAGGAAACTCCGGTTTTGGGAAAACTGGGGTGGACATGTCTACCCTAGTACACCCCGTGGCAACGCCACTGTGGGGAAGGAATTAGAGATGGGGTCTAGGAGTACATTTTCTAAAATTTCCAAACAATGACCTAAGGATAAACTTAAAAGATCTTATATTATGATGAACTATCACTATTGTGTAAAGTAGAGTTTCATTATTTACACAATCCTCTGGAGCCGCAGCCCTGGTGTCAGTAGCAATGAACATGAAAAGGAAACGTCTTTGCATTTTGTTTAAAATTTTACTGGTTTTGTGATACAATTATAAGCGATTCTACCTTACCCACTTACAGAATCAGAAAGTAGAGTGAGTGACACTGAACGTCGCTCAAAGCAACGTGCATAATTAAGGCCCCACAAAACCCACTTTGAAGATTTCTTCAGAGAGCCAATTAGTGGCAGCTTTTGGAAGCCATAGAACACAGTATTGTCATGTTGCACCTTACTAGACCTTGCTAGAGAACTCCTGTGAATGATACAACCAAAATTCAATCCTTTCTATTTGACGATGGCATAAAGAAGAAAAGGACCCATTCTCAGGATCCATTTAAATAGCAGTGTGATATACACAAACAAACATCGTGCACCCCTCTCCCGTTTTCATCCTGCTTTCATTTGACTACTTCATGTAGTTTATGTACTTTTCATAAATTCAAGTTCAAAATTATATTCAACCTTTTATATCATATAATACTCATTACATTCTTAATTCCATCGTCACAGATATATTAGTTGAACAATTTGGAACCTTCAGTTCTTCTACAGTGCCCTTGGCGTATCTTAATGTTGGTTAAATAGTGTTTGATCTTTTTTACATTTATCTAATAGTTTAGCTCTGTAAACATTGCAAAAAAAACACAAACTTCAGTAACAAACAGAGGTTGCGGAGCGAATCTTTAAAGGGGGTGGGGGGTGGGGTCGGCTGAACTTTGAAAAGTAAAAATATAACATGACTTGAATAGAAAGCCATTGTCTGCAAAATAATGTTCAAAAGGTGACGCTTCAGTACTAACATGTATTTCATTTCTCTGGAACAACAAGGCTGTGTTTTGATGACGTAACTATCATAGACAGCTAAGAGAATAATTGAAAGGCGTATTATCCTTTTAACCAGATAAGCTATAAAAATCTAAAGATCTTTCCGCGTAACTTCTTGGAATCACAATACAACACAGCTATGTCAAGTCAATACTTTCACTTTCCTTTGCCCAGGACACTGTAGTTTCCTGGCATATCTCTCACTTCCGCCCTTGTGGATTCCAGAGAAATGGAGTCAGCTGGTACTTCTGGATTTATTAATTCGGAAATATAAATTTATATGGATTAATGTTGAAGTGATATAAAAATTCAGGCCAAATTTACGAAGCTTCATACACAGGAAGTGTGGGCTTCATATCGAGAAAAGTTGCAGATACTTGCATATCCACCATACATTTGAAAAAAACCTCACTGTGATAATAAAATTTAGCTTGAAACCACTGTCAACAATAGGGTACGATTCCTAGAAAATAAATCTTTAATAGAAACTATTCAAAAAGTTTAGTGTTTCTCTACATGTTAGTGTTTGTCTTACTACCAAGCTTGGATATGTCTGTGTCATACCCACTAGAAGAAAAACACACGGCTGCAGTTATATGCAAATTGTTTGAATAAACTACATCTTCAAGAAAAGCTTTTTCCAAATATAATTGCTCTGGAGCTTTTGGTTATTCCCACCTTGATTTAACTTCAAGCAGAGGGCGTGGTGTACCAATATGTAATATGAAGACATATCCTATAATTTTTTAAACATTCCAAAACCCCTACTCCAAAATTTAGATACGATATAAAATGCATATCCTCAACTTTAATTCGAACATGAAGTTAATATTTGATGTGGGCCCATGATCGAGGGAAAAATTCAACAACTCAGTCAAGTTAGTGAATCATCCCCAAACCCGTACCAGTACATATTGCCCCCCCCCTCCCCCCCCCTGGGCAAGGGCAAGATCAAGTCAGCCAAGGAAGCTGTCGCTTGTAAAAAGCATTTCAGAAGGTCCATGAGGCACTAAAATTTTGCTGACGGGCCTGGAATGTTCCATTGGCCGCAGATTGTCTGTCCCTTGTTTACGGTATTGCAATGAAAACGAAATCCATGGTTATGCATATGCACATTATTGTTATGCATAAGAAGAAAGGGAAATCAATAGTTAATTATTACTTGCTGCTCCCATTTTACTCTCACAATACCAGATTGCCAACAGAAGTCAGACACGCCGCAGCAGTGAAGGTGAGGGTGGCAAACCGAAGGAGGTCCCCTCTACCTTTTGCTTTGATGTCACAACCAACATATACCCTTACATTAAAAATGAACTAAAATGCATTTGTACTGTTATATTGTGGTCGTTTTCCTTTTGTTATGGTCTAATGTTTCTATGATATTTATGTAGCACTTATGATACCCTCTCCAGCTTTAAAAGGAGAATAAAATCTTGGAAAGGAGAGGAATGCAACTGTAGACTGTGTAGACCTTTCGTGGCTCAGGTTGGGTTCTTGAACGGATAGATGCATTGTGTTGTTAATGCCAAAAATGCTGTAAAAACATTGTAAAATATGTATATATGTATGTATATGTATGTAGAAAATATGTATGTATATATATGTATTTATACTGAATAATTTTTTATATTAGATATATATGTATTTTTATTTCTTTTTTCATTTTAAATAATTTTACTTTGCAATAGGCTTGAATTAGCTTTTATTTTGTAGCTATTTTTATACGCCTACTTTATATAAATAGATAATAATAATAATGATAATAATAATAATGATAAGATTTGAAAATTCTTGTTTTAACAGGCACAAGTAGGATTTCATTCAAACGTTTTATGTTAAAGTAAGAACAAGCTTTGAAGTCTCATCGTCATTTATAACAGCGATTCAAATATTATGAAAGAAATGACAGCTTCTAATGGCAGTACAATGCGTCACGATTTTCATATTTACGAATAAAAAGGCGCAAAGACGAATAAAAAACAATATTTCTTAGACAGAAATGTGACATTAAAATGCTGTTAAAAGAAAAGCTTCAAAATTTAGAAAGGGTATGGTCATTTTCAGCTATGTAGAGAAACAAATACGGCAATTTTTGCATAAATTAATCCATGCTGTGCCAGATACTTCCATCAAAGCTTGCGCAGTCAAGAATGTAAACTGAAAATAGAGACTAAGGTCGTTTTACTCTTTTTTGTGATAGCAAAATGCAAAGAATACCATGAATGAGAATAATATATAGATGTCTGTGTGATTTATCAAATATTAAAAATATGCCCCAGAGAAATTATGTACATGTTCACACAAAAGTTACAGCCACATAAATTCTCATAAACTTTTATCAAAATCCTGTTGTTTTATCTGGAAAACCCTTGAAATTCTTTTGTTTTCATCGAATTCTTGTGCGCTACTTGAAAAGGTGACCTGCTCCTTACAATGTTCAAGGCCAATCTTTGATCGTTTAATTGTTATGTAATGGATCTTATCTCTTTCGATTTATGATGAATTTAAACCTTACATTAGTATCTAAAATTTTTTTTACCTATTCAAAAATTTCCAATTGAGTCAAATCTTTAAAGTTGATATATGTCACTCAATCAAACAGGATCTTCCTATAGAAAAATAAAAGTTCCAGGAAAATATTGAATTGTGGTTTCTGAGGGACTATTTAGAAAGCATTATTATCTCGACTGACGTAACTGATGATGTAATGCAAGGGACGTGGTGGAGAAAAAGGCCTTTTGCAATATTGAATTTCAGTAATCCAGTTGGCCTAACAAATGGTTTGCAAAGTTGGTTAAGTAAATCTTTTGAGACAGATCTGGAAAGTAATTTGATTATTTCAATTCATCTTTTTGCTTGGTAATCGTCTCAGCGATGTGATCAATGTGCAGTAAATTATCATCAAGAATGCACCACGAACGCTTGAGACCTTAAGTTGTCTTTACATGAATATATGTGAATAATAGAGACTGGATCTTTTATATTTGAAAATTACCTGGCCTGTTTGATCGGATCAGTCTGAAAGTTCAGTGATGGGCCTATTCATTGACAACGAATATAATAGAAGCGATAGGCCCAATCTCTGTTTCGAATTGGGTCATAAACCCTGTTATTTCCAAGAATATCGAATTCTATGAAATTCAGATCCCAACTTACTTATTTACGTGTGGAAACTGTGTCAATTCAATGGAACAATCCAATGCATTCAATGAAAGTAACGTAATACACTAAGCAATAATTCCGCTTTCACAATCATGTCTTGTTGTTAAACCAATGTTCTACGTAATACCCTTATAAATAACACTCAAAACGTCTTCGGTCTTAATGGAAAAAACAGCGCAAATATGTTTACACATGGAGCCATATTTTCTATCATTCATCATTCATTTGTTAAGAAACATATACAGAATGAAAATAAGAAAATGTAAACACATGTGTACATTTTAGTAATGTAATCAGTTTGAACGGGCAAAATAGTAATGTAATCAGTATAGAACGAGGACCACATAATGCAAAACAGTACTGTTTACAACGATTCAAGAAACCACCAATCAAAATCTCAATATATTTAGAACCTTTCTATACAGAGTTACAATGACAATAATCTTGCACCTTCAAATTTCATTATTTTGCCGGAATAAACAGATCATAAACAGAATTCATGACACTTAATCAATTAACTCATCCGTTAGCCAGCACGCTCACGCGAGTTTGAATATGGTGCATACGAACCACATATTGATAAACACATCACAAGCGGGTTTTCATTCTAGCGCAAACGGGAAAGCGTAATATTATCAGTATATGCTGTATGACTTGAAATTCACCGCAATTACGTGAGTTTTGCAGAAAACGTAAGACTTGACAGCTACGAATGCATCTTATTTTATATGTTTTAACAATAAGAATAAACCTTAAAGGGGAACTGAAGTGAAAAATGAAAATCAATTATTTAGTAGTTTTCATCGTGCTGATTTCGAATATCGACACGAAATTAGTGTTTTTCTTTTCGTTTTCCTGCATTCACCACGCGAAGTGTGAAATTTCTCCATTTCGGTGGCGGAGAGGTCTGGAGACAAGTTTCAGGCGCTGACGTAAAGTCGTGGACACGTGCCCCGATCGCAACGAAAACAACATTGTAGTAGGTAGTAGAGTGAATCGGAGGGAGGGAATTCGGTTAGTGGTTAGAATTTCAGTTCGCAATTTTCACGACAGCTCTTCAGGAATGACAACAGACTTTGGATTTGGACGATGAATTTGGAGCATGTGGTGGTGAAGTACTTGCCCTACCAAGGGCGAACGGGAACTGCGAAAGTGGCGATGAAGATTAGCCTAGGCCCGATGAGATCCCAGAGGCTGAGGATGAATTAAGCTCCCGCGACGTGCTCGTTTTGTCGGTAGAAATGAGGAAGTAAATCAATGGTACGTCGATCTTTGTTTCTTTTCTGACAATGAAGGCAAGAACAACTCAAACACAATTTCCTTATTTCCTTATAAAAAGTAAGATACAACTGAGAATGTAGGCTGCTACATATTATAATCTTTCCATTTCTAAAATCTGAAATAATAAGGATTATTACATGTTACAATTTAATAAATATTTGCTTTGATATAAAACGTTTATACATAGTTTGATGTGTAGCACGGAACAGGTCGACCTAATCCACTTTGGTTTAAAAACTGGCTTGTTTTTTGTACATTGACAAGTATTATTAAATCTTACTGCAATTAAGATTTTTGGACTGATAATTCGGAAATGTCAAATATTTAATAGAATTGCATAAATATGCCTAAAATAGATTAATACCTAAAATTATATCCATTTTGCTAGGTATCTACAAACAGTGGCCGATCAATGGATGGTTTGCTGGTTTTTGGATATTTGTGCTGGAAAAACTGGACAACTTTAAGTATGAATTTATCACAAAATGTAAAGAAAAGAACTTTAGTCAAAGAAGACAAGGGTTTCAAAATTCTGCAGAGAGACAATGAAAATGCAAAACTCAGCTACCTACTACATATACAGTGGAGTACAGGGTTATATACAGGGGTTATTCAAAGGGACCAGACTTTCAGTTCATAATAGCAAGAAGAGAAATTTAGAACTAGTGGGGTCATGTTATAAGTTAGAAATTTGTTAAAACTAGTGGGGCAATGGCCAAATCTTGTCAGCCCTAGGCCAAATCACTAGATTAGTCACATCAAGGGGGGAAGGGGTTGGGGATTGAGCAAGGCTTGATATTTTCAAGATTCCTAAGGTATATTTTTCAAGATATTTTACTCACATCAAAATGTGTAGAATAGTTTGGATTTGATAAAGTTTTTCTCTTACAATAATGGTCCTGTACCACCTGCTTGGTAACATTTTTTATACATAATCAGAAGAAAATGTTTTACCTTCACAGTACAATGTTCTTTTAATGTATTCTGTCACTGCCTGTTGTTAGATACACTGTTTTCAAATTTTGAGAATGAAGTTTTTTGGTGCCCAATGGTTATATTTTTCTGAAATTTGCTTCAACTCAACATTTTTCATAGAACAGTTATGAGATAGAAACCCTGACATATCTTTTGTTAAGATAAGGTCTTTTAATAAACTTGGAAACATATACATAATTTAATGGTTGTGCTTTAAATCCTTCTCCTTTATGTACATCCTGGTATGAATTGTTTTTTGTGCCTGGAGTTATACCAGAAAATGCTTTGATATCATGTTCTATAGACAAAGCATGAGAAATCATGTTTAAAGGGGTATTTCTGAGGTGGGGGACTGCTTTTGTCTTTTTTTGCAAACCGAATTGTGTAGGTTTGGCAAGTTTCATGGCTCTACAGCTAACAGAAATGGATTAATCATAGTTATGTCCTCTAAGTGCTGGGCACAGGACCCCCATTCTAAAACTAGCGAAAGAGGTATTTCTGAAGTGGGGACCACTCAATCATTTTCTGCAAGTAAATTATGTGGGTTTGCCAAGTTTCATGGCTGTATAGTTAACAGAAATAGATTTACCATACTAACGTATTCTGAGTACTGGGCACAAGTACCCCAGGCTAAAAATAGCACAAGGGTTTTTTTCCCAAAATGATTCTATATTCTATCTTGTTACGCATACCGAATTCTATATTTTCACCAAGTTTCATGCTTTTATCACAATTTTCACGATTGTTATCTGTCATGAACCTTATCAAACTCACTACTACATTACATCAAAACATCTCTGTAGTAGTGGATTGGAGTAAAGTAGTGGATTGGAATCAAATGAATCCCCACGACAAACATTTATGAGATTGCCATCTTCAAAAACACTTATCCACTACGATTCATTAGCTCCATGTTTGATGGGCAATAAGAGGAAACAAAGGACTTAAAGTGTAAAAAATGTTGTGCCACCCTCGGATGGAGAACCTTGTGGATTAATTAAGCACGTGCAGGGATATTTTTACTTAGATGTAGCCCATGCTGGAAAACTCTCTTATGGCACGCCAAAAGTTGACGCCAGTATTTTCAGTGTCCATTTCCTACTGCCAGCTGGCCTAAATTTGAGAGGTGTGCCATGGCACGCCAAGTTACACCCACCCACCCCCTACGATACGCAGTATAGTATATTTATCCAAGGGGGACGTGGCGTTTTTCAGGATTTTTTTTCACTAACCACACATTTTTTTAAATTGTATCGCTTTAAAATGAAAACGGCACAAAACAAGCTCCTTTAGTTTTCAATTTACAATTTTTTCATGACCGGCATAAAATGGAAATAAGGAAGCCAATTTGGAAATGGTAGTACGGGCGTCAGCCACAAATTGGTGGAGGACAGAAAGAGAAGGGGGCTAGGAAGGCCCCAGAAAATATTTTTGGCCCATGCCAAATTTTCCAAGGAGATGCAATATTTCCCATAAGAAAAACCGATTTTCTCCACAAAATGTCCTCTAATATAGCGTTCGCAATAGACGTTATTGTAAATAATCAGATTTACGTTTTTGGGATAAACTTCATCAGAAAAATTCATGTTATAGTAAAGAGACAAACATTTTCGTCGCTACTATAACGGTTGCTTTTTTCTACTGTAACATGGCCAGCATGGCCGAAGCAATTTTAGAAAATTTACCGAAAAGGGGGTTTTGAATCATTTGAATTTCTAAGAAAGTATTTTATTCTTTTTAGCGGAGAAGAGGTTTCTGTTTCATCTATCAGACCCCCTACAGCTTGAGCACATCGCATCGCAATGAAACAAATCAACTTAGTGGCAGCCTCTGATCAGCTGAGTGGCCGTAATGTAAACAAAGCATCTGATTGGCAAAACAACACTTATCTTTGTTTACGGAACTGGAAGAAGAAAATTGTTGATCAAGAAAAGACCGGCCGTCCGCAAGTCAAAGACAATGGGCTTGTAACGAAGTCGTTATTACGCATGCTCCTGGATTCATAGACGTGGGTTCTCATCGAAAAGTCTTTGTGCGGCTGTTCTGGAGAAACAAGGACGTCACCTGAAACAAGTGACTTGACACATAAATGTCAAAGACAAAGTGTAGGAAAAGACACGGTAACAGTAAAATGTATCTTCCACAATTTTGCATTTATAAGTATATCAAAAAGTCTAAAATTTAGTTTCTACCTGTAATAGATAGGACACATGGCTAAACAGAATTGAAAATCAAGATCCACATACACATTATCTCTCATAGTTTGACATCTAACAGCTTACAGAACAAGGTACAAAATAGGAAACGGAACTTCCCAATGACTGATATTACCTAATGGAGTATCAGCATGCAGTCAATTCCTAAAGATTTTTAGAGAAGATTGGCCAGAAAATACCTTGAGGGTTAACAGACGGCAGTGTAAAAATTCTTAGAATTATATAATTGGTGGTTAACTTCTGTGCAAATTTGAAAACTGTTCTAAAGCTAAAATAATCCCAAAATATTGTTATGGGAGTATCTTGCAAAAGCAAAACAACAGTTCATGCTTAAAGTTAGAAATGCTGATCCAGATATCAGTGATCAACAAAGAAATCTCAAGGAGGGAAGAATTCTGTCTTACAACTATTAACCTTGTGCGTGATTATAATTTTATCGGAAAATATGTTTTCTGCTTAACAGTAGCACCAGCAGCATATTGCAAAAATCAATAAAACACAAAAATAGAAAACAAACTAATTTACTACAAACAACTGCAACATTAACAGGTATTGCTAAAATTATCAGACATGCACTTTCCAGGTAATTATCAAAAATTGTTTCTTCTAAAGTATAATTTGTGGCATTAGTTGGGATCATTTTCAATAATGTAAAAACTGGTTGCAGCAACAGGTAAATGAAAAATTCATTTTCTAGAAGATACTAAACACATTTTTATGGATTATAATTAAATGTATTACTGGGGGGAGAAGGAGGACCAGTTTTCTGTCTCCAAGTCACAAAATCCAAACAGGCTCTTCAAAAATAATTGGCTCTAGTTGAATTATTCAGAAAATTGATCATTTAAAATCTGAAGGAAAGTGCATGGTTTTTCTAAAACAATGAGATGTAGAAAGTTGGAAAATACTAAAAGTCTAAAATGTCAAACAGAAACCTTACAGTGATTTCATAAAAGAAGATTCAAGGGGTTTTTACACTTACATCAATCAGAAATTCAATAAACATAAACATCCTCCAAGGTAAAACAACAACAAGACAGACTGGATTAATGAGATGAAAAGTCAGTAAGTGTAAAGATGGGATTATTGACCATTTAAAGACTGATAAACAGAAGAAAAAAGACCTGCATAATCACAAAAGGTTCTTTTGCTGTTAATTATTGGTTAGATATTTTGATATATACATCACATAATGTTATCAATGGTAAAACAGTCAATGAAACAGTTTATGCAAAGACAAACTGAACTCAAATGTTCAAACCTACACGAGGAAAAAAGAAACATCTTTATCAAGCAAAGATGTAAGAAGAATATTATATACTTCAATATGCCACAACGTCCAATAGACTGCAAATTTGAAAAATTACCATTATATCACAATTTTTTTATGAACTGAAGTACTTTGTACCCTTGATTACCTTTATAGGTGCATGGTGTACAAGATACATGGCTATTTTGTATCACCTTATAAAGAAAATATTCATTGATAGCAATTTTCAAGGTAAACCTATTCAATTACAAGTTCAAATTGTACAAACTGCTTGAGCCTTTCAAGATATTGGCCATACAGCTCAACATCATTATGTCCTGCCCCTTCAACCCAGAGTGGTTCAACTGCTCTCGGACATCGCTCATAGATTCCAAGACCATGGGAAAAGTCAATAACTTCATCTTCTGTGCCATGGATGACAAGGACAGGAGAAACAACCTTTGAAACTTTCTCAATGCTAAGGAAATACAAATATCATAAAAAGTCAAACTTGAATAAAAACAAATTTATGTGCTAAGGGGAAGAGAAAAAGGTACACAGCAATGCAATTAATAAGAATTTAACAATGGCATCCCATTGGTTACTTCATAATTGACCTATTTTATCATTATATTTTTTAGTTATTCACCTGTGTTAATATGATTCCAACCAAAATTTCATAAAACAAATTTACATCAGTAGGATTAAATGGGCATTTCATTGCACCATATCTTGAAGAAACCCACAGTACTGGTAAAATCTAACATATGATTCACAGATGACATCAGAACAAGTAGGGGGAGAAGGGGACAAGTTGGTAAACATATCATTTAAAGACAATGGAGTCAGAAAAGATGAGAGGAAAATAAGATTTTGCAGTGAATAACATCAAAATGCAGTTACTAAAAATGCATTGATCAAATTGAGCATACCAAACATCAAAAAACATTTTTCATAAAATTGATTAGTTTTAAATGGAGCAAAGAAGTTTCATCTGTAATCAAGAAGGGCATTGGATGATACAGATTCTGTTCTAATATTTTCTTCAACATCAGTTACACTGTAAAAAGCTGTACAGCTTTATCCTAGCTGAATATCATTCTGCATTATCCACACAATTTGAATCAAAGCACAGTGAAACATGCTCACTTTCTAGCTTTTTTGAAAATTGAGATAAAATTTGTAGTTTGTACTTGTGTTCATAGGAGATTATTAATGTAAATATTGGTTAGAATATGGACATGAATAAAAGGAATTGCACTAGTATAGATTCACACCCTTAGAAATTCAATAATTTGCTTCCATCTCCAGTAAGTCCCACTTTCAAACAGATAGCCTAACCTAGAATACACACAACTTTGACCTAAGATGCTTGAATACAGGTAAGATGTCTCTAATAAGAGCACTGTCCAATATGTATCAAACAAACAGGCTCTGAAAAAATTAGTAACACTTGAGCCTTATTCTGTAACCCTTGGATCTCCCTTTGAGCCATCAAATGCTGCTGTACCTTCAAAAAATTTTTTTGGGGTACCTTCAAAACTTCTTTCTATTTCAAAATGTTTGTAATCAATAATCCCCAAAACAACAGTTTAAAATTCCAAAAATACTTGCTGAATACAACAGAATTTTAAAAGGGAATCCTAATAAAGTTGTTTATCTTGGGTATTTATCTTGGATTATCAGCATTAACGCTCTAAGTCTTTGAGAAAGTCCAAGCAACCACTTTTAATTTCAGCAGGGCATGGGGTCACAATTCTTCTGACTATTTCAGAAAAGACAGAGAGTATGGTTCTTTAGACAAAGGGTGGTTTATATAAAATGTAAACCATCCCATTTAATCCCGTGTTCTCAACTTTGTGTACTTGACAGTCACTTCATTTACAGCTTTACAAGCAAACAACTATCATAATTTTTTAACAACCTATAATTTCGTGAAGGCAGGGCTTACATAAACACACTAAACACAATTTAAATTGGGTGAAGCTTTGATGCTGGATTAAATAGTTAAAATGTCAGGGGAAATTTTTTGTTAACTTCAACCTCACAAATACATTCAAAGTCACGTTTTTTTGGTTGAAAAGCTACCTTATGAAAACAAGAATTTTTCTGTAAATTTGGTGCTTTGGTTCTAAAATATCTTTTGATACTTTTAAAAATTTAATTTAGACAAATGAGTTATTTGAAGTCTTCTTCTATTAATAAAAATTTTCAAAATTGCTTATTAATAGTAGAAAATACACAAAAAATAAATATTTATAAATATAATAGCAGGAATAAAGGTTCTTAATGGGTTTGCAACCTTAAACGCAGTTAGGCCATCAAACAGATGCAATTTTCGAGGTTGTGAATGTCCATTAAAAACTGTTTGACGGATGAAATCACGAAACGATAATATTTTTTAGATCAACGATGACATTGCTAAAAAATCCTTTCAAAAAATCACAGCTACGTGAGAAGCTGTGGTAAGGTGATAATAAGTATCCGTTGCAGATCGGAACTGGTTAGGCCTAGCTGTACTCACCTAGGAAATGCGTCGAAGCAATATGTCTTTTTTGTATCAGGAAAGGCAACTCTCATTCCAGATGTCAACGGTGAGTGAAGTATTACACCAGCACATTCAAAGTGTGAGGCAAGATCGATAGTGGGGACAGTTCCAATACTCTGCCCGTATAAAATAATATTCTCAGGGCTGATTCCGTACCTAGAGCGAAGAGCGCTCCAGGCCGCTTCAATATCAGAATAAATGTTCTTCTCTGATGGTTTCCCGGTGCTTGCCCCATACCCAGAATAGTCGTAAGAAAAGATATTGCAGTTTATCCGCATTCCGAGTCCAACATAAAAACTGCTCATTTGCCCTAGATCGACTGCATTGCCATGGCTGAAGATAATCGTAAAGCGCGCAGTTGATGAGCATCTTACGTACATACAAGCCACCTGATTTCCTCGATTGCTTCTTGTCTTAAAGACTTCTATCCAATCTAACTCCCTCTGTCCATATTGCCATTCGGCACGTTCACTGAGGTGAAGAGCCCAGGTACCATCGCCGAGTTCTTGCATCGTATATGTTGGCTCTGGAGGGAGGAAGGCCAGTTTTGAGGCAATGGATGACGGACATGGTGGACAACAAAACAGGCAGCAAAGTTCGGAGAATGACAAGCTGTTCATACTGAGAAAGTCACTATATCTTCCTTCAGAATAGCAGGCTCAGAATGAGCCAGTCTTTCAAATGAGGCTATATTTTATGACGATGTAATCATGGTTAGTTCACAGAAAGCCATCCACACATTCAGAACATAGCTTCCATGTTGTTTGTGTTGTCGTTGGGTGAATTGAATTTCAAATGGGATTGGGGCCGAATGTGTCGTAGCGGGTCGTCAAATCGGGAAATGACGGCTATAGACGCTAAAAGGTCACGCCTAGCCTGCTGCACAAGTTTAACAAATACGAATAATTGTATTAATGGCTGCACGTGTTATGCTCCTACGGTTGAAACGAACAGAACTATTAGAGAAAGGCACAATCTGCAGGTCTAGCGAGCAAAAGTAGTGCAACCGTTCGATGAATGGCGACAGCGTTGTGAACAACATGATGGCCGAAATTTGAAATTTGAAATACTTTTTTGAAGCCATAAGGCTTAGGCTCCAGCAGTTTGAAATTTGGCAACACTTTTAGTTGAAAATTTTATAAAAGCTATAAGAATTTTGGTACAACGTGTTCTTTGTTTGCTTTATACCAGGACTTTCATATTCAGTATGTTTATTTTCATTTTTCATTCTTCTTTTCTTTTTGGTTTTATCATTGTTTATACCCAATATTCCTTTCAGCTATACAAACGTTACAAAGATGTAAATAGTAAAAAAATATCATATAATCTTTAAAATCTAGATAAATCACAATTAACCAAATTATTAGTACATGTGTGTATGTATATATATAATTCAATATTACAATGAAGAGGAAAGTCGAAACGTTTCTAATTGTGTAAGAGATCTATCAGACTTTCCTGTTATTCTTTCTTGCTGTTGGCCAAATAAGAATGAGCTCAAGGAGCAAAAACAGAATAGAGAAAAAAGATGACTGTGTGTTTAGTCTTTTTCTCTTTTCTGTGATTGTTATGAACAAAACTTTAATATATATTCATAACCGAAATCACTTTTACATCACTGCGTGTATAATCTAATCTCTCTACTCACTACTCCAATCCAATCTGATTTATTGCTGACATGCTGTGTTGTAATTCACTGTGCATGCCGCTGCGCAGTACCATATGCCGCAAACCTTACTTTACAATAGTGACTGACCTTAGCGCAATGTGCTCATCCCATTTTTAGTTTCCTCCAATTTGAAAGGTTCAATTGCACCTGTTCTACTTTAAGGACCTATCTCGACATTATTATATCCTTCTCTTAATCTAAGAAGGTGGGATGTAACTTTTGATTGCCCTTAAGTGCCTTCTGTTGTTGCTGCTTAATTAGAAAATAAAATACGCATTCATTGTAGTGCCTTCCATGACTCCAACATACATTGCTTCGATTTCTATATCTTTCCTCATGCTTCATGTTCGACACATTCATTTGTGCATATATTCAAGGTATGTTCGGTGTTATATACTTTACATGCATTAACAAAAAGGAAACAAGGTTTGATGAGTCATAAAAACACCTGCTAGATACGTTGACGCCAAATCCTGGGAAAAAATTCATCTCCATCATATTATCTCTTTTGAGTACAACGTTTTTATTGTAAATTATGTTACATTTATTGTATTCTTAAAGAACTAGCATACCTCGTTAATTAACAAGGGACAACCCCACAACACAAAAAGTATGTATTCGAAACCTAAGCACAAAAGACCTTTAACAACACAAAAAGGGTGTACCGAATTTTATTGGACGTTACTTCACAAGAATGGGCGTGACCTATATTGCTTGTTTGACGGTGCAGAGAGAAGTAAGGCTCCTCTATTTGATGGAATTTTTCTTGGTTTTCCTTTACTGCAAAAGGTATCATCCTGCAAAGTTTGCAATGTGCAATCTGTAGAATTTATATAGTATGCTAGCATTAAATATTTCATGATTCAGATATTTAATGTTTAAGTACTAAGGGAACAATGAAGAAAACACAGTTTTTCTTACTAATCCATTCTTTGTTTTCCTCGGTGCCTCTGACTCAGGGGCGGATTTAGGGTGTCGCACATGTCGCACGGAAAACCGTCAGATTTTCAGAATTTGGTCTTAGTCTTCAGTCATTTAAATAAGGCAATCATGTTTACTACAATATTTTATTTTCCTCCTTCCTAAATTTTGCTCGCTTTACACAATAAACACAGGACCGAACTTGGTCGATCTCACACACAGTGCTACGATTTAATTCAATATAGAAAAAATTCCAAGACCATCCTAGACCGTAAACAGTATGATTTTTAAGCTTGTCGCCCGTGCCGCACAAATATGCAAGGCTCTTTGTTATGCAAATATTTTACCAAATCTCACCAATCAAAATTCAAGTTTTCACATATTTGTGCGGCACGAAAAGTCTGTAAACACTATGTTAGATTACTGTGCCGCACAACTGCTGGCAAGGGAAGAAAGTGGATGAGGTTGTAAGTTGTGAAAGGGAAGAATCCCAATTTTGTTTATCTATACGGAAGAGGTGCACAGGAAGTATACATATCTGAATCTCAAGATATTTTGTTTCAACTGCGTGTTGGATTTGCTGGAAAATTTGGAGAACCTTCTAGAAGGGAAAAATGTTTGACTGAACAATTTGAACGTTTCAGGGCCCCAGTCCTAATTACTCTGGTTCTGAGGGGAGGGGGGGCCTGGGACCCCATCATAGCTCCATCCTTGGCCATGAGGGAGGCCCCCTAAACCGCCTGCTGGGCAGTTTCAATGTGCGACCGTCAACTTTTATTCTGTATCCGCCTCTGTCTGACTCTTTATGTCTCCCTTTACCTTACATTACAATATACTTCCCATTGCATTGATGTTTTATGCATACCTATAAGGTATTCCTTTCAGTCAGAAATTAGAATAACAGAACAGAGCTCCTACATCAAAACTTTTAATAAATAACAATAAACTAGAAACATGATTTTCCAAATGGTTTTTAGTTGCTTGTTTGGAGTGATTAAGAGCTTGCGTCATCCGACAAACATCGATATGTGTAAATATGTGTATGTACATATACTCGAACTACCTGCACGTTTGCAAGGGTAGCGAATGGCGAATGATTTATTGCGCGCGGGACATCAGTTCAATATCTTTTATTTTTTCAATTAGAAGTTGCAAAGGAGGCAGGTACATCTGAAGACGAGGCAAGCGAACATCATGATAATCTTGCCTTGCCAGCGCCAAGGGGTCAAGTTTCTTGGCTTTCAGGTAATAGTCCAAAGCAGAAGTAAGTATTACTTTGATTTCTTTTGATTCTAATTGTCATTATGTAAGGTACCGGTAGAAAAGATGTGGAAACCTATTACAGAAGCAAAAATGTAGGAAGATATGGCGTAGCAGTTTGGCTGTTGTTGTTGAGCTTGGCTAGCCACTTGTTATCTCTCCACAAAAAGTTAATAAATTAACAAATCTCTAAAATCCATTCCTAAGTATTTATTCTCAATATTGCTCATTGATAAAGGCAGAGTAAAGCCACAATTACTATATATGATTTGGTGCAGGAAAAATTAGTTAGACCTTGGTGCAATATACTTCTTTTAATTTAGGAAAGAGTCTTTGTTCATGGGCGCATAGAATGCAGATTAAGTTTCAGTAACATTAGCTTTTTAAATGACTGCAAAATCGATAGCCCTTTGGAAAATTCGACATTGGTTTTTCTTTGTGAAATTGGCCCATCAGCATCAGGCTACATTGTCACCATAGTACTGTGACCTACTTAGGCTCAGATTGCAGAGATTCACACCCGAGATATTTTTTCTAAAATGTCCCTGCACACCAGGTGAAGGATGTGGCATTTTGAAATCTGGGCATAGCATGGGTGTTTCCTATTGTTTAGGGCAAATGAAGAATCGTGTTTATTCAAAATCAACTTAATCTTGCACTGGTTTGATAAAATACCTATGAATTATGTCATTTTTATCGTTGATATCTTGGTGCAAAATTATACAAACTTTGGTATAATTGTGCATAAAATTGAAGTGCGCAATTATACTAAAGTACACACTTGCACAATTGAAATTTGGCTCTTGCACACCAGTGAGATTTCATTGGAAGTTGCTGTACTATTCAGATTGATTCAAAAATTTGGTCAGGTAGTCCCTTTTATTCAATCAATGATTGAAAACATATGGTTATTCATTAGATATAAAAGTTTAATTTTGTCATTGAAAATAATGCTTCTCATTCAAATGAAATGTTTTTTTACAGATTTTTCAAGAAAAGCAGCATAAAGGTGAGTAAAACTTTTACGTTTTTTCACTCACTGGAATTTTTGACATATCATGGATTTTTTATATGGCATACTTCTTGTTCAAGTACTTCTCTGGTATTAACAATGATAGCCCAGCCAGTTTTACATAACAAGTATTGTGCAAACGTTGAAACTACCCGTGTGATCACTGGAAAGTTAAATCCATCTCATTCATTGCTTGTTGTCAACACTTTGAAAAGAAAATATCCTTTAGAAGGTATTACACATCTAAAAAGAATTCGTTCGTCATTGCAAAATGGGGAGAAGATCTTAGAGATTATTATCTGTGAATATGATGAGGAACATAATGGTAACCTAACGCAGTGCTTAATTGATGATTGTCTTACAAAAAATGTAACAGACTTGAAAGTTAGTGATGTCCCAAAGCATAAGCCACTTACTAGAAGCCAGTTTCAAGATGCAGTAAAGATCTGGCCAACTTCCTTTCATGAAGATAAATACGTAACTAAAATTCAGCAAGGAGAATTGTTTTCAATTCAAGACTTGGGAAAAATTCAGCACTTCATGTCTGCTGCTATACAGTATGCAAAGCTTGGCCATAGCAGAGGCATGAAGGCTATTGGAGCAATTGTTGTTGATCCAGAATCGGAAAGAATCTTGGCAAAGGCATATGACTGCACAAATTCAGGTGATCCATTAAAACATGCAGTTATGGTCTGCATTGATCTAGTGGCAAGTCTTCAAGGTGGTGGAGCATTAAAGCTGCCAGTAGAGAAAACTAAAGATGGATCCCTGTGTCTCTTGGATAATTTACATGATAATGTCAAATCCATGTCAGCTTTTGGGGCTGATCCAAACTCAATATCTTGTTCAACTCCAAATTATGCTTTTGGTGGAAATATTTTAGGTAAAGGAGAAGTTAATTTGAAGCATGTTGATGATCATAGTCCTCTACATAGTTTTGTACAAGGAAATGAACAAGCTGAAAAAGTAAAAGATGGAGGGACACATCAATCCACTCATACAAGTCTTAACAAGAGCACACATGTACACCAAAATATGAAAAGGAAATCCACAAATGATTATGCTGACAATATTTATCTTTGTACTGGGTTTGATTTGTATGTTACACACGAACCCTGTGTTATGTGTGCAATGGCTCTTACTCATTCAAGAATTAGGAGGGTATTTTATGGATTGGAGAATAAAGTGATGGGTGGTCTGGGCAGTCACTTCAAGATCCATTGTCAAGACAATCTAAACCATCATTATGAAGTTTTTAAAGATGTGCTTAAAAGGCAATGCCTTGAGCTAGATTCAAGCATATGATAATAATCCAATTCTGAAAGAAATTTGCTACATATAACTGAGTTAAAAGACCTAGTTTTTAAATTATGTGAAGTTTTCTCTATTGTTTCTTATCTTGGTAGCACTGAATAGTAATAGGTAAACTTTCTTTACATCTCATAAATTAAGTTTTAGGAGCAGATTCTACTTGCGAGGAACCACTTAATATCTGTTTGCCTCCACCCTCCAGGTAGCATAATTACTTCCTGAAAGGTTGCTTGATAGGCAGATGAAAAATGACAGGATTTCAGAGACAAGAAAGCTCAGTTGCACATTTATTTTTCATTGGCCTTTCAGCTCAACCGCATTAATGGTCTTACAGATTTTCCTCACTAAATGAAAGGGTTCATTTCAGAAATCTTTTTGCAAAATTTTCACAAGTTGGGCTACTGCAAATTATTTTTCAGTAAATTTTCTAAAGCCAGTCAAATACAAAGTTTTCTTCAGAAATATACCAAATTCAAACTCAAATAATGACCTAAAGCTATGTGATTTTTCCATTGTTATTTGCATCTTTTTTGTACCAGAAACGTAGGGGTAAAAATATTAAGCTTAAGCTGTCAAAAAGTAAAGAAAAATTTCATAATTGAGAAAGAAGACAAATTGAGAAATACAAACAATTTTATTTCAAATTTCGTGATTTTTCCAAATGTAATGGTGCACTTGAACTTGTCCAATATTATTCTAACCCGTTGTTACTATTGCGACGAAATATTTTACTATTTGTTTATGCTGACTGTATTTTTCCAATTATAGCATTCATTACACAAGAAAAACTAAGAAACATTGGATGCAATAAGGCACTTGAATCTAGAAATACCCTGTATTCTATGAATAAAAAACGTGAAATAAAAAGAGCGAGAGAGATTCATACAAATGAATCATAGCTTGCTACACTAACCTGACTACTAATCAATAAAAACAGACATGAGCAATGAGGCAACAACAGAGTGTAGACCCCCCCCCCCCTTGATAAGAAATTAGTTAACGCCGATTTTATTAGCGATAAACAACACAAGCACATTTAAACTACTTTCTACTTGAAACATCTGTTGGCACAGTACACTTTGAAGATAATTGACATAATTGACGGATTAGCAAAAGGTAGATTTATTGTAATTCAAATGTTTGGTATAAAATTTCTCCCTATATACAAGTTTTAAAAGTTTAGCTTAAAACGTTTTTAGCCCTTCTGTTAGATGCATGTTAATTAATTAGAACGGTCTCTTTGAATGACCCCCGCCTTTTACAAAGTGGAATATGGCCTTCACTTTCAAGGCTGCGTTTTTTGGTAGCATAAGGCTGGTGGGACTAAATGGTACATTCCTCCAAATGTTTGCCATTGAGCTGCCAATCTTTTCTTCTCTTCTAAATTCATCTTCATACTGCAAGGGATCGATTTCAACGTTCAAATCGAAATGTCCAACATTTGATCTGATGAAGCTTGGAATGTGAGATATAATTTTTCTTTTTAGAATAAGCCTGTGATGATCCAAAGTTAACGCATGTGCCGGAGAAACTTGTTTGCTCTTCACCCAACGTACCAAATTAGATGGTTGCTTCGTAGGAACTAGAGTGAGTCATAGGTCCTTTCAATTAGACCCTGTTAGCTCCCGTAGACCAGAGCATGCTGGAAAATGCGTTCAATCGGCCGTAGCACATGATCTTTGTAGTGAATACCATCTTTGGTCCCATGGGGGTACGATGACGTCAGAGGCTGGGCGTCCAATACAAGTATGTCGGCATTGCACATTGCAGCGTTAGCATATGCATTAAACAGTTGCACTCGCTAAAATAGTGATCGTTTCAGTTTTACAGTAACGTCTAGAAGACATTTTTTGCTATGATAACGACTATTAGACTATTAGCTATCCAGCTTGTGCCGCTACTTGTCGTAATCAGCTGATCTACCTGGATAGCTACCCGTATGTGTTTTGCATCTAATAGTAGTATTAACTATTTATTGGGTGAACGTATATGAACAGATTGAAAATGATCTCTGATAATACTTTCGATATTTTTTGCTATCAGGATATAAACAAGTTTACCGTTTTCTACTTTACTTTTGGTTTTCTCTCATTTTTTCTAAATACCGAGCTAGTGACAGAAGAAAAATTTCAATTAAGAGAGAAATTTCCCTCTATGCAATTACTAGAAAATTTTTACAGGAGAGATACCTACCATACGCAAAGTTTCATTAACGGTATCAGATTGATTATCTTTGACTTAGAATTCTCCTTGATTGGCAACAAATATTCTTTTTGGAAACCTAATACATAATGACTGAAAGCTATTTTGCTTTGTAATACCTGGCTAGTTATGTATCTTCGGAAAGAGCCCATGATTGGAAGAGACTGTTTATGAATAGCAGTTGAACTTCTCCATATTGCTGTTCCATTGTATGTCTCCTTTATAGCTTCAATCAAGGCGTCAATTGTCTCTCTGTACTTTTTGAAAGAAGTGTTCTGAAAGAAAGGATCAGAAGTCTTAGCAGCTTTTTTATAAAAAGATAAAGCGTTAGGTTTATCGTTTTTTCCATTTCACTAATTTCTCTTGATCATACTTATCATAAAATCTGTTCATAAAAATTGTCGTTGCACAAGACTGCTTTATGTCAGCTAAAGAATTGAAACATTTTTCAAGACTTAGCAAGACGTTAGTAGCCCTGAAATTCATCATGAAGCTGAAATGTTCCAAGTAATTACGAAGGTCAAGAGAGCGATGATTAATCCCCGTCAAGAGAGCGATTATTAGTTATGTAGGCAAAACTTCAATGTATTCTGATGTGGGAGCTATAATGTCCAATGATGTTGTCTTTTGATACTGTTCTCTTCCCTTTAAATCAAACTACATGCAGGCAATAGATACATTTTTAGATTTGAATTAAGAGCATGCAATAGTTGTGAAGGAGGGTTTGGGAATTTTTGCATGGCAGATTTCTAAATTCTTATTTCTTAGGAGTCGCCGTTGTCTGTATTCATAGAGATTGAATATTGTAGGCATTGCCCACCGCAGCAGTATTCCTTACTTTGACATAATGTGCCCCTGCATTGAAGAGAAGCACACTTGAATCATCCATATCATTTCGGCCTGTAACGTTTTCTAGATAATTCTTTACAAGAGTTACGTTGAGATCCACATCCGCGCAGGTATGGGTCTGAAAAAGAAACCACACGTTAGAGTCAAGTCATTGTAAAACGTCTTAGTTAATTTTTAAGCCCTAATTTTTAATATTATCGTAACTTTTTATCTTATAATGAGATCGAAATTGAACGGTAGGAATAAGATAATGGCATTTAACACCTGGGCAGTATCACTCATGAGGTACGGAGCAGGTATACTTATGAGCTTCAAATAGGATGGAATACGAATGAGCTTCAAAAGCTTGACAGAAAAACAAGAAAAATCATGACAATAAACAAGGAACTTCACCCGAGAAGCGATGTTGCAAGAATATACGTATCAAGAAGGAGAGGGGGAAGAGGTCTTATAAGCTGTGAAAGTTGTGTAAAGGGGGGGGGGGGGAATAGTTTGAGTTGGTACATATTTAACAGTAGAGAGGTACTTTTGAGGAAGGTCGGGGAAACAGGCATAGTTAATGTTGCCGAAGCAATTGGACCAAATGAGTATAAAAGGTCTAATAGCCAGAAAAGAGAAGACGAAAGGAAACAGGAGATACTGCATGGACAGTTTTTGAGGGACAAAGAAGGGGTGGATTGGGATAGGTCATGGCAATGGATTGCAAAGGGAGATATGAAGGGATGTACAGAGGCATTGATTTGCAGTGCTCAAGAACAAGCTTTGAGAACAAATTAAACAAAGTTCCATATTGATAAGAGTTCTGAGTCTCCTATGTGTAGAATGTGCGGAGAGAAAGCGGAAACTATTAGTCATCTAGTTGGTGAATGTAGCAAATTGGCACAAAGGGAGTATAAGAAAAGACATGATAATGTAGCACTATACGTACACTGGCAACTCTGTAGCAAAGGGGGATCGAGAGAGCAGATAGGTGGTATAATCAGCAACCTGAAGCAATTAGTGAAAATGAGAATTACAAGCTCTTATGGGATTTTACGATCCAGTGTGATAGAATGATTGAGGCAAGACGACCGGACATTGTGTTAGTAGATAAAAGAACAAAGTAGTCAAAATAATAGACTTCGCCGTACCGGGAGATGGTAAGGTAAAGAGAAAGAAATTGAAAAAATTGAATAGTACCAGTATTTGATGGGGGAGATAGGACATGTATGGCAAATGAGAATTGCTACAGTAGTACCTGTAGTGATTGGAGCATTAGGAGTTATCTCGGACAAGTTTGAAAGGCATATTGAAAAATTGGGAGTTTTATCTCTTTAGAGATCACAAGTAAAAACTTTGAGACCCTTGGTGGCTTGTTGTCGCCCGCTTTCAAAGAATAACATATCAGAATATTCCAGAGAACTTTATCTGTGATGGAAATGAGGAACAATAATAATAATAATAATAATATGATATATTTGAAGTGGGTAATCTACACTAATTAACAACGTGTTAGTTAATTTGTTACAGTAGGGCCCATTAAAAAGTAAAAGTAGCTAAAAACAAAATACGTATGCAACATTGGTATACTTGATTACATTATATTTAGCGTTGGTAATTTAAATTAGTTGGTTTCAATTAGCTTGAATATAAGTAGAGATCGTAGCAACTTTGAATAAAGAAAGAAAAAATATGCGTGGCTCAGTTGTAATGCCATAGCAATGTGAACATAATTTAAGTACACTCACCACATCATAAAGCGTTTTTGGATATAGCCAGTTGTATGTCACCATGCACTTTCTGAATATCTTTTTGCATAAAACTTTGTGCTCTACTGATTGATAGAAATAGTAGCTTATCGAATCACCGTAGATCCATAGGTTACCCTTGCGAGGCTCATGACCACGTGACCAAGGTTTATCTGATAACATCATATTTTTCACTGAAAAGGTAGAAGAATGTTTCAAAGCTAGACATTTTTGGTCCATAAATTGCAATGCTCATAGTGTATTTTTCCTTTGAGGCACAAGACAAGCCAATAAGGTCCTCGACCTCGCTACAAAAGTTAGCATGCTTCGTATCCTAATGTATTGCCCAAAGAACTAAAGAATACTTGTTCTTATTTTTCCACAATTTTGGTGTATTTTTTTCCTTGAAAGTCGTTAACAAATTTTAACATCAATTTGAGCATTTGGTGATACCAAAAAAGTTTATAATGTTATTTTGTATTTTTTTGATTTTCATACAATGTGAATTTGTTTAGCTTTTATCTGACAACTTTGTAACGAGCAAAACTTCTAATTATGTTTCCTTGTATCGTCACAGTTTTTTGCATATGAATTCTATGAGCATTATTCGGACCAAAATCATATTGTTTTAAGTAAACACAAATGCCTCAGCAATAATCAGTAAGCATACCATCAAGGTCCATCGGTATGTATGGTCGCCATTGCTTTCCGTCTGAACTCCATTCCCCATGACCGTCCCAGAACAAGTTGCAGGGCAAGCCACAGTCAAGCCCGAAAATCAGCGATGGCAGTTCTAGGAAAGTAAATAGTTTTGAAAACATAATACATGAATTCTGCCTCAAGATTTCTTTAGTCTGGTTCTTGTTCTTTTGTATTCATGAAACCTATGCTTGCTAGTGATGTAAGAAGCAAAACTTAAAGAAAGTTGTGCTGATGACAGGAGTACAGGTGTGCCTGCATATAACCGTATTTGTTCTGCTCTTTATTCTTTAGCTCCGCATTCCCACATCATCACATTTGTTTTCTGTTCCGGGCATTGTTATTGTTTTCGTGCATATTAAGCATATTTATTTTCAGATTTTTATTTTTTATAGATTACGGTTTAGTTTTATGTTCTTAGAAATTCGATCAATTGCATACAAAGCAGTAGAGAAGCAATTTCGAGTACCGCTTCAGTTTTGGTCCGTTATGGCATGAAAGTTATTCGCTGGCGAATTTCGTGGAGACCTTTCAAATTTTTTCCCAAAGTTACCTATACCTCAAGGGTAACTGAGATAAACACTGGATTTTTTGTTTTGAAAGCACATTTAGACATTAAATGGTATTCTAGATTATATAGGATTTTCTTCGCAATGAACCTGACGTTAATGTATACCCTTGAAACATTATTTTCGTTGGAATGTTTGGGATTTGCACTTTGGGTTAAAATAGGTTATATAAACTACCTCTCGATGAAGAAGATCTAGCATGGTCATCTTGAGTTTAACTGGCAAAAGAAATGCACTAATTGTGGCACATATTGTAACGCAAGTGTGGTAGCACTTATTATTTATTTGTTTATTTAATTTCGATTTTTTCTCGGTAATACGGTATTGGTGGTCTTATTCATAGGTGCAATAAGCCAATGGCCGAAAGTGAAAATGTATTTGTTGAATGGCAAAGAGCCGCTGTTAAAGATGAAGATATACCAAAACTGAGAGAAGATGTGCTGTCAATGTACCGTGACCAAGGAGTCATTGCTTTGTTGCCATTTTATGGCTTTCTGTACTTTAAAGACAAACTTTGGACTGGCTGTCTTGAGAAAGTAACATGTCTTGGCAGTGGATCAAGAATGCCAGGATCTGCTGCTTTATCAACTGAATTTTACGTTGCGCAATTCAAACCAAAGTTTATTGACGAGTTAAAAGCTTCAGAAGGAGATGGCTCTGCTGTTGTTGATGTAGAAACGTCAACTTTTGTCACCTGTCTTTCAAATCCAAGTTGCTGCGAAGAAGAAGCTTCTCACAATTCTTTCACTTCAGATATTATATCCGCAAAGCTGATTTGTTGCAGAAGTGACATTCTGAAATATATTCCTATTCTTGCTGAAACTAGTTTTAATGTAACTGCACATATAGCAATTTTACATGATAACCAATGCCCAAAATACACTGCGATAAGTTCTAGCGTACCAGGCTATGTAATAAGAGAGATGACGTTAAGGGAAGCACTTTTTGCAATAGAGAAATGGAAATTTGCATCAAGTGAAAGCAAGCTTCGTTTTACAAGTAGCTACAGTAATGGCTTGGCAATTGGTGCCTTTCCAGTTGATGGTGAATTTCCTGTTTCATGGGTTTTTGGGTCTTGGGAAGGCGCCATGGCAGCACTGGAAACTTTGACAGATCACCGCAGAAAGGGACTGGGAAGAGCTGTTATCAAAGAGCTTTCAAGAAGGCTAATTGATAGAGGGCTAATCCCGTACGTATTCATCGAAACCATTAAAACATCGTATATGCAAGAATCCTTTTTTGATGGCCTAGGTTTCACAGTTTATAAGGATGTTTTTTTCAGATGGATACGTCCAGCAAATGCGAAAGATAGCGTTGGCTGTTAAAAAAAGAAGAATTTATGTGTTTGCTTTATCGAGTTTTACAGATGTACTTGACATTTGTATCATATGATGGTACTATAGTTTATTTGATCGAGTGTAAATCATTTTTTTAGCTATTGATTTAATCTTTAGTTTTTTAATGGCGTATTTTTTTATAATTAGCTTTTTGTCTTTTAAGACCTAAGGTCTATAAATGGTACCTTAAAGTAGCACAAGTTTAAACATTTCTCGCGAGTCGAGCTTAATCAAATTTGTGACTGAGTTGAATTTTTCACATAATGATTTTTTCTAGTGATTTAAGGCATAAAATACTTTGTAGATTCAATAGTGAATATTTTGTAGCATCATGATTGTTTTAGAATGTAAATAGATGGCATATATAACGGTTATCTGTATTTCATAAGTATTGTATTTTGTGTTTGACACAAATATATATTGCTATACTGTTTATTGTTCCGATTTGATAAATTTGATGTTGGGGCATTCTTATTTCTATAATACAGGAAGAAACAATCCTTATGTATGTCAATACAATTGTAGATCCTTTTGCAGTTTGTAACTGCCATTGCAAGTTGAATTATCTCCGGAGACTGTCGTAGTTTTTATAAAATACAACCTTTGTCCTAAGAGAGGTTCTAATTACGTATAAGTTTGAAAGAATTTTTACATTCCGTTTTTTGATTCAAAGGCTTGTGTGGAAAGTAATTTGTATTTGTGTCCTGCATTTTTGAGAAAGTAATTTTTATTGGCATGTCTTGAACAACAATCTTTTAACCAAAATATGTACTTTGAAAACAACTTTAGCATATTTTTTTAGATATAAACTGTTGATACTTCGACGCAGGCTTAACTTTCAATTCCATGGCAGGCTTATTTGATGTATACATATATTTATATATATGTCAAATAATTTTATTTGATCTTATCCTGTTCTGCTCTTGCCCTGCACTTTCTGTTAGGATTTTTTGCCTTTTATTCCTGTCTCAGTTAAATTTGTATAACACTTGCAGATTTAAAAACCATGCAAGTTTCTAGAGGCCATAATGTACTGGTCACTTCCTTCGCTGTTTATATCTTCATTAGCCTGTATCTAATGGAGCTTATAAGCAGCGCGTAACTGACGGGTATGTACAGGGATATGAAACACCATGTGTTACTCGAGTTTGTCGGGTAAAATTGTTGGTTGGCCATTTCTTCCGTAAACAAAGAATTTTGTTTACAGTCACCTGACCGTAAACAAAATAGGAACAAAATTGTCTTCTTTTATGTCTCCATCGCTAAATTCTGCTTACTGGGGCAACTTACCAGATATGTTGTAGCGTGCAGGGGGCACAGTGATTGACAAGGATGGAGCAATTCGCCCGTTGATGTACTCAGTCATATTAGACAGAAGATTCCTTGGTATGACACGCTTGATGCCTTTCCATTTTCCAGAGCAATGAGCTGCAAAAAGAATGTTTTATGAATCAAGCAATTTGGATATTTTAGTAATGTATCCAAACATGTTCCCCTAAAAGTGTCAGATATAATCTACCTTAAAACATAGGCTTATCGACAAATCGAGCTTTTCTAGACCGTCGATAGAAGCAAGCCTAAAAAGAAAGATCCAGTTGCATTGATTTTCTTTGTTGGTTATCAATTTTGAAGAAATAGGTTCCTAAAAAGAAGAAATGGGTTCCTTTTTGCAAACATAATTCAAGTATTTTAGAGTTGTATGATTTCAATAATTTCGAAAATGCAAAAGTTTTTTACAATGAAGGATCCAGCGTTCTAGGTATATTAGCTTCCATGAAACAGGTTAAACTTTTGCTCTTTAAGGAATAAAAGCTTTTCGATAGCAGTAGCTTTGTGTCTTTGTCGCAGACATATCTCCTTTGTGGCATTCACTGGTTAAGCCAAGCATTTACCTTCATTTCTGACTCTAAAGTTTTTATAAGCAGCCATTTGAGGCACAAATATGTGGATGCAAAGGCACTTGAATGGAAACCAGCCTTGGAAGGTCTGCACCAAGTTAAACACCACTTACCGTTGACAAACCATTCCATCGGGGGGTCTTTCAAGCCAGCACACATCGTGTAATCTAGCCGAACATCGACAATATAGTCACCAGGGCTCATAAGTAACACAACGGCTTCATACTGTCCATTTCCCAAGTCCCAAACATTTGCGGCAGTGGTTGTTTCGCCTCGTAACGTAACTCTTATTGCATCGCCGCCGAAGTTTTTTGGTTCTCCATTACGGAAGTATGTTTGAATCTGGATTTTAGAGTGCTCGCCTGCGGGCATTATCTTCATTTTTGTGACTTTTGAGTTCTTGGTATCTGTTGCAAATCTATAAATTAAATCATTCATTATGAGCACGAAAGGTTTGAATTCAAAGAATAGACTCAAGCAAAAAGTTACTTGTTTAACAAGAAATTGTTGTAATTATTATCAAAAAGTTCGTAAAAAGTTACTTTGCACATTAAAAATTTACTTTTTGTAACGTCGTTTCGACCATAACTCTTCATTTGAATTGGTGTAATTTTTTGTCTTTCGACTATCAGCAATATCGCAACTGTTTTTTATAAGTATTGGCGTTACATTGTTTTCTGTAATAATTAGCCATTCGGAGATGCTTTGATTTCAATTAACGCATCATTGGTGTGTATTTTAACATATAACGTTGGAAAGTGATTTGTATTTTGAAGAACACATCTATTCTATGCTATGCTATGAATGCTCTGTGCCGTCGTAAAGAAGAAAAAACAGAATATAGAGACAGTGTTCAGCAAGTCAGGATTTTCATTTGTTTACAGATATAATGTCGTTTCGTATTTTGGCTGAAGGCCCCAGTTTCACCAAGTTAGCAGAATTCCTGTAATATTAGTTCCATACTTTCCCTTTTTAAATTTAAAACAATAATTGTCAACAAGCAATCCATTTATTTCACGTCACGTTGCGTTTCACGTGTAAATAAAGATAGTGAGTCTCCATAGCATTTTTTATATTACCTACTGAAGTCCCAACCTTTGTTGGTCAATGGAGAGAATGTAGACGTAAAATTACAAGGCTTTCATGAATGATCTGTTTCATTAGTCCATAAAAGATAACCAAAGAAGCAACAAAATCGTCAGAAATATTATTGGGAAGCTAATGTTTGTGCATCAAGAAAAAGAACCAATAATCGGGCGCAAACGTTTCGAGACAATTTTTGATTAAATGAAGTTCTCAATTTAGCCACAGCTTTCAAAATTCATAGAAGAAAGGCAAATGTCTCACCTCGTAGTGTTAGCTAGTGTTTCGTTATAAAGTATTTTTAAGCATGGTGACAACATCTCCTTCCACTCCACCTTTTGTCTCCTTATTCTGCACCAGTCCTTTTTCAACTGTTCAAAATCTACTGACGGACCAAACAGATCATCGATGTTTGTAGACCATAGAAAGATACTTCTCAATGCAAACCATGACAGCGACGAAGCCAACAGAATGACAGAAAACAGTGCTCTAATGCAATGCATAATTACGTCACACTTTGAGATTTTTTCTGTTTTTTATTAAGGTCGCTTCCCATAGATCTGATTCATTTCTGCGTGTATATTGTGAAAAGGAACAAATTTGCCATCTCTTGTCTTTTGGAGTCTCGTCTGAGATATTGCCATTGAGCTCACGTCAAATGTGACAAAATAATTTCCTGCCATCACAAAAAGGAATTTGATGAGGAAGTATGGAATTCTTTGTGACCATTTTCTACAGTATTTCTGAGAGTATACATATTATTTAAATACTGTTGTAAATAGAGAATTTAATTATTTGAAGCATAGATCCTAATTCTAAACAATTTCAGCATAAAAATAAAATAATTGCAAAACAGAGATAGATAAAAAGATCTTGTCTAATTTGTAAACTAAGTCACGTAGTTGTTGTCAGCATATCTAGAAAATAGCTTTGAAAAGCTAAAATTCCACGGCATACTACTACAAGCTTTTCGTCTGACACTCATCGGAGTTAAAAATGTCAGAATAAGAGTCCAATACCATGGAATATATATATATACCCATTTCTGGATCGAAAAAGGCCAATCAAAAAAATCGCTAGCACATTATCGGCATAGTTGTCCTATCAGTGCCGCGTGCCTGTGGATAAACCACTTCTACTTTAAAAATTATCGTGCGAAATTTTGGCTTTTTCAAAGCCATTTTCAAGTTATGAACCGCCAAAATATTTTTCATATTTAGAAAATAGTAAAATGCATAAGAAACGAAACGAGAAGAGTTTCAATATATCATAGTAGCATATACAAAAAAATTTGTGATGGAATGTGTTAGAAATACAGACTTGACATATTCTTTGCCATAATGTATCAGAATAACATTGGGAACATAAAAATTTATTCAGTAATTGGCAAGGAGGTAGTACAAACCTTGTTCTAACGTTTTCTTTCAAGATATTAGTTTACATTGTCAGAACAAATCTGGAATATACCACCTTATAATATTTGAATGAATAACATCTCGATATATTAATCAAAACTTCATGTCATCATCGATGCAATACCGTTTCGCTATATGCATTTATACTTCTGTTATCATTAATTAGCAGTTTTTTGTAGCATCCAGCACTGCATCAAAGCGAGCTTCAGTATGCTTTTGCCTATTGAGCTAGAGCTCCAACAACAACAACTTCAGTATTAAAGCGGCTGGTACACAATATTTGTAAACAATATACGTAAACAAAACAGATACCAAGCCACTCCTAGCATCCAGTATGCATCAATTTATTTACCTTACGAATCTAAGTCTTTCATGAAAATAACGCCAATTGCCAGTATATATGATAATATTTTAACAGTCAAATGCCAAAAAAATAAAACTTCACGAACACGTCTGTGCATATCAACATGAGATGAATATATGCATGTGCAATAAAGGATTGGCAAGAGGAAGGCTGCTACCCTAAAGTTTTTTCCAAAATTTTGCACGAGTATCAGATGTTTTTGCTCTATCAGCTGTTGTTAACTTTGATAATTTTTCAAATCTGTGTGGACTGCAGCTCCCTTGCGCTAGCCTCAAGCGCTTTTTTATATCATGAAAAACACCTTTATCAAAGAAGATTTATTTTAGAAAGGTCATAGTTAAAACCTTTTTCAAGGTAAATGATATTCATTCACGAAAATTGAGTAAACCGTATTGATAGCCTCCATTTATTTTTAATTTGTAAGATGTAAATGACACATATTCAAGCTACCAAACGTTTCAAAATATATCAACATAAATACCTCCGATTTATAGCAACATCACCAACAAATATACAATGTGAAATTAAGGATGCGAGCTTTTGGAGGCTTTAACTGCTGTTCCTTTATATTCTTGGCTCTAAACGCGGCTATAAGAGAGCTAAAGATTAAAGCTACATTCACTGATCCGTACCACATGCTACAGAGCTGTCGAGTAAATAGAATGGTGAGTGGCATGCGTGTAAGCAAGGGGTAAACAGGTTATTGAAAGCAGGTTCCAGTGCGATGGTTCTCCAGTTACTCTTTGTGTTCTTTTTTTGTATAAGGTTATTTGCCTAAGTAGGTTTCTAATTTGAGGCCGCATTTTGCACCTTCAAATGAGAGCAAGGGTCAATAAAAGGCTGAACGATTACGATAGCATTTGAGAATTCTTTTTTTGGAGTTCTCTCGCAAGCTTTTGGAAAATATTGGCCATAATTTTGCAAGCCAAAATTAAAGTGATTCCAAAACATTTTGTTAAAAATTTTTAAGCATTTCGTTCTCTATTCTTCATGCTCTTTAAATGCACAATTTTCTCTATTCTGTTTAAAGCTTTTTTTGTCTCTGGAAGTATTAGAGCAGCTAGATATAATTATTTTTCTTAAAACAGTGACGTTTTGGCTGATTCACTTAGAAATCTTTTGCAATTTTAAAGTGAAAGTTTTTGCAATTTATGCACGATTTTGCATTTTACGCACGATTTTGAAACAGAAACGAAAGAATAGCCCCTTGTGTTTGCTGCATATTTACAATGTATTGTTTTCATCACACCCCCTTCCTTTGCATATGACTGTTTTAAGTGTGATTAATAAAAAGAAAACCTTTTTCTCAAATTCTAGCATAGATTCAGCTGCCTACCAAAGTGCATCGCAAATCAGTCTTAGAGCAATTTCGGATAACACATAAATTACTACGACAGTGCGCAAATTGTTACAAAATCGCTTTCTCAATACCCTCATATCTATGCTTCAATAAAAATAGGAAAAAATTTAATTTTGAAAAGCAAAACAATTCATGTCCAATAAGTCTATTATAAAACTAAATATAATGCAAATTGATCTTTTTGGCCCCTCCTATAATACGATCTTCACGATACAGAAGCTTTCTGTAATTCCCATAAACCTGTTCTGAATTTCAAACAACCAGTAGTTGCCATGTCCAATCTAGTTTCCTGAGAGGCTTGAGCCCCATAGTCTCAAAAAATGACACTTTTGATAAAAAATGACCAGTTTTCAACTCCAATGTATAACTTCAATTAATCTGACAAAGTTGCAATGGTTCTGATTTTCACTGTGTTTCTTGGTTGCCTATTTTTATTCCTAATAAATGCTTACCACCGCTCATTGATTTGTATATTTCATCTATTTTCCCGGGGCTTTTTGGAAACTCCCTTTAATTAGATCAGGAGATGTTTCGTCCCAAAGTTTGAAATCCTTAGAAAATAAAAAGAAAAAAGCATGCAAGACTTTGACAAAAAATTAAGGTTTGAAAAGTGCAGGAAATTTTTTTTTAAATTATAAAAACCCTGGCACATAAGATTACTTAAAAGCATTTTGATACAAATCAGTTGGCTTTAACTTTCGTTGCCTCAGATTCTAAGGTTTTCAGGGCTAAGCTTTGAACAGTTACTACGATTTTCTAAATTTTCCTCTTTTTTCGATGTAGTACAGAATCAAAATCCACAATGCGGTTTCTACGATGCTTTTAAATGCTTTTCCACCTAGGCTACAGTCTCATTTTTACAAAAAAAAATTTGGTACTAAACTTTTCTATGCTCTAAATACCCACAGTCTTTTCTAAGTTTTTCTCGTACCTTGGCTAATAGCAGGGAAACCTGTACTCAAAAGAGGGCGATTGAGGCAAAGCCCCAAGAAAGAAGACAAAACAATAGGAAAACGAAGAAAAAAGCTTGTCTCCGCTGCCCCCCCTGGCATAGGCGTCATTGGGTACTAGAGTCTCAAAGAACTGACGTTGCAGTATTATGCAGCAAGGTAACATCTTCCCATTTGTTGAGTTTGAGTTGCTAATAATTGATTAATGTAAAATAACAGTAAGTTGCAACATATAATATTTACACCATAAAGTTTTTTACCTAAATGTACAAAACTAACAGGAATCTCAAAAATCAGTTCCTATCACTGAAAGAAGGTTTTCGCATACGATAATGAAAAGCTTTATTTTCATCTTAAAGCATCTCTATCTGTTTATCTGTTTTTCTTTGTCTTTCAGAAAAATTCTTCCTCCTTTCAGTTTATTTAAAGGGGAACTGAAGTGAAAAATGAAAATCATTTAAATAGTAGTTTTCATCGTGCTGATTTCGGATATCGACACGAAATTAGTGTTTTTCTTTTCGTTTTCCTGCATTTAACGCGCAAAGTGTGAAATTTCTCCATTTCCGTGGCGGAGAGGTCTGGAGACAAGTTTCAGGCGCTGACGTAAAGTCGTGGACACGTGCCCCGAACCTAACGAAAACAACAGTGTAGTAGAGTGAATCGGAGGGAGGGAATTTGGTTAGTAGTTAAAGTTTCAGATCGCAATTTTCACGACAGCTCTTCAGGAATGACAACAGACTTAAGATCGAGCGACGATGAAGTGTTTGGAGCATGTGGTGGTGAAGTACTTGCCCTACCAAGGGCGAACGGGACCTGCGAAAGTGGCGATGAAGATTAGCCTAGGCCCGATGAGATCCCAGAGGATGAGGATGAATTATCTCCCACGACGTGCTTGGTACGTCGATCCTTGTTTCTTTTCTTGCAATGAAGGCAAGAAATACTCAAGCTCGATTTCCTTATTTCCTTATAAAAAGTAAGATACAACAGAGAATGAGTAGGCTTCCTATTATAATCTTTCCATTTCTAAAATCTGAAATAATAAGGATTATTACATGTTACAATTTAATAAATATTTGCTTTGATATAAAAACGTTTATACATAGTTTGATGTGTAGCACGAAACAGGTCGACCTAATCCACTTTTTGTTTAAAAACTGGTTTGTTTTGTGTACATTGACAATTCAGATTTTTGGACTGATAATTCGAAAATGTCAAATATTTAATAGAATTGCATAAATATGCCTAAAATAGAATAATACCTAAAATTATATCCACTTTGCTAGGTATCTACAAACAGTGGCTGATCAATGTATGGTTTGCTGGTTTTTGGGTATTTGTGCTGGAATAACTGGACAACTTTAAGTATGCATTTATCACAAATGTAAAGAAAATAACTTTAGTCAAAGAAGACAAGAGTTTCAAAATTCTGCAGAGAGACAATGAAAATGCAAAAATCAGCTACCTACTACATATACAGTGGAGAACAGGGTTATATACAGGGGTTATTCAAAAGGACCAGACTTTTAGTTCAAAATAGCAAGAAGAGAAATTTGTTGAAACTAGTGGGACAATGGCCAAATCTTGTCAGCCCTAGGCCAAATCACTAGATTAGTCACATCAAGGGGTGGGGGGGATTCAGCAAGGCTTGATATTTTTAAGATTCCTAAGGTGTACTTTTCAACATAGTTCACTCACAACAAAATGTGTAGAATAGTTTGGATTTGATCAAGATTTTCTCTTACAATAATGGTCCTGTACCACCTGCTTGGTAACATTTTTTATAAATAATCAGAGGAAAATGTTTTACCTTCAGGGTACAATGTTCTTTAATGTATTCTGTCACTGCCTGTTGTTAAGATGCTGTCTGTCACTGCATGAAGTTTTTTTGTGCCCAATGGTTGTATTTTTTTGAAATTCGCTTCAACTCAACATTTAATAAACTTGGAAACATATACATCATTTAATGGTTGTGCTTTAAATCCTCCCCCTTTATGTACATCCTGGTATGGATTGTTTTTTATGCCTGGAGTTAAATCAGAAAATGCTTTGATATCATGTTCTGTAGACAAGGCATGAGAAATCATGTTTGAAGGGGTATTTCTGAAGTGGGGGACCACTTTTATCATTTTCTGCAAGTAAATTGTGTGGGTTTGCAAAGTTTCATGGCTGTATAGTTAACATACTAACGTATTCTGAGTACTGGGCACAAGTACCCAGTCTAAAAATAATACAAGGGGTAGTTCTGAGGATGGGGACCATTTTATCTTTTTTAGCAAGTCAAATTGTGTAGATTTCCCAAGTTTCATGGCTGTATGGTTAACAGAAATATATTTACCATACTATTGTATTCTGAGTACTGGGCACAAGTACCCCAGTCCAAAAATAGCACAAGGGCATTTCTGAGGGTGGGGACCATTCTTATCATTTTCAGCAAGCCAAATTGTGTCGGTTTGCCAAGTTTCGTGGCTGTATAGTTAACAGAAATAGATTGACCATACTGACGTATTTTGAGTACTGGGCACAAGTACCCCAGTCAAAAATTGCACAAGGGACATTTTTGAGGGTGGGGACCATTCTTATCATTTTCAGCAAGTCAAATTGTGTCGGTTTGCCAAGTTTCATGGCTGTATAGTTCACAGAAATAGATTGACCATGCCAACATATTCTGAGTACTGGGCACAAGTACCCCAGGCTAAAAATAGCACAAGGGTTTTTTTCCCAAAATGGGTCTATATTCTATCTTGTTACGCATATCGAATTCTGTATTTTCACCAAGTTTCATGCTTTTATCACAATTTTCACGATTGTTACCTGTCATGAACCTTATCAAACTCACTACTACATTTCATCAAAACATCTCTTCGTGTCCACCACTTTACGTCACAAGGTCACGTGACACAGTGGTCTGACCGCGTTCTCGCTCCGCCATCGATGAGGGCAAATTTCGACTTTAAAAACTTAATAACTTAAAAACTACATAACGTATTTAAAAAATTCAAACGGTTTTTGAATCAGCACGGGAACTTTTATCAGTGGTAAAAAAATCGTTTTTCATTTCAGTTCCCCTTTAAGCCCCCTTCTGTTGACAGGCGGGAAAAGGTCAGAAGTCGAGGCATAGGTCATTTTATTACATGCAGCCTCTTGTTGGTTTCATCAAAATGGCGTCAAGACTGGGAAACGTACTTCGCTCTGGAGCACTTCTTCAAGCCTTCAGGAGAAGCTTCCATGCTTCTTCGTGTTTGTTAAAAGTAAGTTACAAGCTTTGGTAACTATTTTCCAGAAAGCTAAGTCCTAAAGTAGCAGTAAGCCATGAGCTGTGTGTGAGCTTTTTTCTTTTGATATCCCGCCCCCTTTTACCTCGTGCCATTTAACACCAGATTCATCCCTAGATTCGTCCCCAGGTTCATCCTAAGATTCGAAAACTTTTTTTTGCTGCTTGAATGTGTCGAGGTGACAATATATTTTTTCTGCCAATTTATTTTTGATGTTTTAAGGAGGCCTAGGCATGGTATTTATCATCCCCCAGATTCGCATCTTGCAAAAAATATGGGCCTTAAACAGTGCATGAAATGTGTCAAAATGACAATAATTTGAGAGAATACGTAGTAATATGTGACTTTCGTAAATTTCTACTTGATTAAAGTCACTTTTCTACCTCTTTGTTTCAAATGTTGCTAGTGATCGTTAGTTGGTCTTGGCAGTACCATTCAGCCCCTGATTCGCCGACACGGGGATACAAAACGACCAATCCAATCCAATGCTATAAAAGAAAGGTTGCTAAAGCTGTTGATAATTTTTGACAGTTCTGTGGACTTCTCAGGGACCAACATTTTATGGTTCAAATTTCCGAAAATGTTCTTAATCCCTGAGAATGAGCCTAAGTCATGAATAAGTATATATTGTGATTTCAAGTTTTCTGTCACAAGGTAGGAATTGCCCTCCATGTCCCGTTGGACTTGTACCCTTACATGAACCAAAATATTTCAGGTAACAAACCTTTATTTAGTTAAGAAAGCAAGATCTACTTATATTTCTATTTAAAAAGTGCATATTATCCTCTGATCAGGAGCTGGTTGAATAATGTCAGTGTCAGTGTATTACAAAGCAGCATCAAATATATTTTCACTCTATTGGCAGGTCCCTGTGAATAGCAGGATCACATTCTTTATGGAATGAATTTAAGCTATAGATAAAAGAGGGAGATCCATTGCAGTCCATGTGATTTATTCAAATCTGCTTACCTGAACTATGAAACTGAAGCCATGATGCACCAGGAGCTGCACTGTTAAAATATTTATGTCAAAATTTCTGCACCTGAAATTGTAAAAATTGACACCTTAAATGTCAAATTCATTGTGAAATTTGGCACCAAAAATGAAAACTGTGCTTTGAAAGTTTTTACTTTGCGCACATACACCCAATTTTGCAAATCTGCAACACAGCTTTTCAGGGAAAAATTCTGTGCGCAGTACAAGCTTTCTTACCCAGCTGTTATAAAATAAGGTTAATCTTTGTGGATGCTTTCTTGCTGTCAAAATGATTTTTGTTTAAAGCCCTTTTTCTACATTAAAGATGTTATAGAGTAATGAAGATTTTTAGTTTGGTTCTTTTTTATATTTTCAAGGAAAATCCATGGGAACTTGGAAAATTAAATCATGTTGCCATTGCTGTTCCTGATATGGGTGAGTGTGAACATTTATCTCTGCTGTTGCAAAGATATTTTTAAAGCTTTAACTTTCTTTGATTATTTATGGCAAAAAGAATGTAGAAAGATACCTAAAGTCCACCACTGGAAAATCAAAATAAATTTGTTAGCAATGCATCCAGCAGAATTGATTGTAATTAATACCACCAGTCATTTTTAAGAAGAAGAGCTTGCAAGGTCAGCTAGAAAGTCATGTGTAGAAACATAAGAGGAATTTAAAATATTGGCATTTTAATGATTGAATTGATTTTTTGAATCCATAATTTGTCATTCTAAGTCCAAGCTACATACTCTTAGGGTACTATTGAAAGTATGGAAACGAAAAAGTACAGCTTACGGTCACCAAGGGCTTAAATCAACAAATTTCCACAGCAAAATTGCTAGGTGAATGTACCTTCATGGCTAGATACTTTAGCAGGAAAATAATGTGGCAATCAATGGCTTTGGAATAAAAATTAACTTGAAGAATAATTTTACTGTTTTGAAAAAGAAGTTTGTGGAAACTTTAAACCATTCTGGAAAAATTATCAAAAGATTAATAAACAATCACAACAAGAACAACATACTTTGTTCAAACTTGAATCCTGAATCCTGATGTTCTGACAAGTAATTTATTACTGGAATGTTCCTTCAAACAAATACATTTAATCCCCAAAAATTAATTTCAGATGTTTGATTTTCAAACAGAAAGTTTGAGCCAAAAAGTCTTGATTTCGGACAAAAATTTCAGCTCACCTGGAGTCAATTATTAAACTTTGAGACATTGATTTCTGCTAAATTATTCTTCTATAATAACTTGTCATCAGAGCAAACCTTTAAATGGTTTACTATAACTTTTTCTAAAGTATGGTACATCCTTTTTCAAAAAGCTGCATTTTCCATTGTCATCTTATCAGCAATCAAATACTTATCAGCAATTTTACACCCCTATGTTTTGGAGCAGTGCTTCAAAGTCTTACTGAATTTTTTCATTAAAACACCAAGCTCTAATCGTTCAATTTTGTTTCAATTTATAAACTGTAAAATGGCAAATGCATCTTTGGGCAATGAAATACTGCTTTCAAGCCCCTTCACCTATTAATTATGTTTTGTAAGTTGGTTCACTTTGGCCCCTGGCTACTGTAGGCCGCCATTTGTAACTGACATCTCCTTACTTTCATCTTAAAGTTCAATTTAATTTCTAAAGTGGGCCCTTTTCAGTTAATGAGAAAATATTTCATTTTTGAAGGACCTGTTTTGTAAAGAGGTGCATTTTTATCATTTTTGATTTCTATAATGTTCAAATTGATAACTATATAATACCAAATTATCAGCCCTCGTGTTTATTAAATTTTGAAAATTTTTCTACCCTCAGCTAATCAGACCTCTAATTATTTGTATTTGTAATAATGAAGATATGACAAAAAAAGTTCAGATTAATTGCATCCAATTATTACTACCTCCTCCACCTTCTCCATTTTTTTTCACTTTCTGAAGTATCGCTGATCAGCTATGCAATATAAGTTTGCAATATTGAAAATGGCCCTTGAATTGATGGTTTCTCTATCTGTTTGTTATCCTTCTTTATGTATCTTGGTTTTATAGCTAATATGAAAATTCCTTTTTCTGTTTTCTGGAGTACTCTAATAAATTAATGCCATGAAGAGGAATGAGTCATATCTGTGTTAACATGTAAATGAGTGAAACAGTATCAACAATTTCTAACCAGGAATGTCCCTCTTCTAGAAAAAGCCTGCAAACTTTATAAAGATGCATTTAAAGCCAACGTCAGTGAGAAAGTTGTGAGTATATCTTTGCAAGAAATTTTACAGGTGTTTTGTCAATATATCTGCTAATTATGTCTTGGCACTGCTGTACTGGCTATTTTCTGAACATTTTTCTTTCACTACCAAGTGATGTATTGGAATGGTGGAATCATATTATACCAGCAATACCGTCAGGGCTTGCATGGAGAAAAACGTCAGAAAAAGGAGAACTAGGTGCTTGACAAACTGAGCACCTTAAACCTTTTTGGCATAGGAAAAAACGTATGGCTTAATGCAAAAGCTTACTAGTTAGTGCTTTTGTGCTGATTTATTGGTCGCTATTACAGTAATATGAGTTGAACTGAATTATGCCCAAGAAAAAAGGGCAGCATCAAAAGGAAGAAACTAACACAGGGAAGAGGTCATTTTTTACTGAGGAGAAGAGGGGTTGTTAGAAAAATCTATAATTATTTTGAGTCAGTTTGCAATTTGAGTCTTTCTACAAAATGCCAACAACAAATATATTACCAGATATTATCATATGCTTTCAAATATTATCAATTAAAGATTTGATTTTTTGCTATTTACTTTGAGGCCTTCTTTCATTACTCCATTTTTGTAAGTCTCTGTTTTTTAGATCATTCCATTTCTGTATTTTCTTGAACTGTTCCCATCAACATTTTTCAGAATGGTGGAATAATTTTTTACCAGCAATACCATGCTTGTGAATAAAGAATATGGTATTTGGATTGCTCAGGCACTAAATATATTTTGGATCTGTTTATTTGGTATATATTTCTGGCTTGGTAGAATAAGTCATCCATCTTTTCTTCCTGTATTGTTTTTCTTGTTATTGGCTTTTGTTTTTCTGTTGTTGGCCACTTCTGACAGCCTTCTGTTTCTTCTTATGCTTCTCTAATTTTTGGTACCATCAGATCTGTTTTGATAGCAGTGGTATTCCATTTTTTCCCCTCATATCTGTTTCTTTGTCATTGATATATTCTACATTTGATACGTTCTCACAATTTTCCCAACTTGTCATTTCTCTTTATGCTTTCCTGATCACTCTTGCCGCACAGAGAATGCTTGTTGCATATTTGCGTAGTTTAAAAACCTTTCAAGTTTCCTATTACCTTATTCACTGGTGACAGTATTTTTGATGTTGAAAGGCAGGTTTGGTTTTTCTTGAAAAAGTCAAAAATTTTCAATGGACTATCTGTGCAGAGAAATACTTATGTAGACATTAATTTGACCTCTTTCTTTATAAGGAAAGATTAAGCAGTTTTTGTTCAATATTTTAAGTTGTTTTTCCTCTATTAACATTGTAGTAATTTTTTTCAAACCATTAGTTATGTGCCATTTTTTAACTTTGGCGAATAACTGGTGAATACCTTTTTCTCAAGATGTGGTATTGTATTTGGGAATAAAATATTTGAAACTGGAACGCTCATCAGTCCTAAGTAATGATGGTTTAAAACAGGTGAGGATGTCACAGCCATCTAGTGGCCTGGAAAGACTTCAGGCTACGTTACAACTTTCCATTTGTGCATCAAATGAGCAGACTGGAAAGCCTTAAATGATATGATGGATAGATGTTGAATCGTCATATTGAAAAGAGAAAGCAATTTTCTCATAGTGTTTGTCCTTGAATGCTATTGAGGAATGTTCACTTTATGATATCACGCGATGAAGCAATATCAACACATTGTGACATTTACCAAATTAATAGTAAAAGCCATATTCGACTTACCTTATTTTTCTTTCTAAGCAGAATTTATACTTAAAATATCAGTGTTGTTGAAAATGACTCTCGAATTTTTGAAAATGAACCTCTAAAGAGACTGTAGCGATATCAAATCTAGCAACAGAGAGACTGTCACTCTTTTCACTTCAAAGTATCTTATGACTCAACTAACTTGGGTTTTTTCTCTCAAAGAAACTAAGTATTTTTGTGCTTCTTTCTTTTTAGCCTCAGCCTGAACATGGGGTCTACACTGTATTTGTTGAACTTGGAAACACAAAAATTGAGGTAGCGTAAGCTATTTGCGTCTGGTGTTTATCATGCAGTTCTATACAGACTTTTATGGTGATGATAACGATCCATCGTAGGAGTGTTGATGATAAAAAGGGAATTAGGACTAGTTGTCCTTAACTTGCACATTTACATAAATTGCGTATTTATATATAGATCTACATTTTGCTTTTGTATTTGTTGCTACCTAGCATCCGAAGGTAGTTTTTGGACAATGACAAGCTATGCTTATCGAGCAGTGTCCTGGTCCTTCCTCTCGATGTGACCACACCTCGTGATTCCTATGCCTGGAATTACAGAGAGCTAGCGACTCTCCCTACTCTGGGTGAAAGTTTGGTCATGCCAAGGACTCGAACCACGGACCTTTTGGTCTGTAGTCAGCGCCTCTAACAACTGAGCAATCCTCGCACATTTTGCTTTGTTACAGGCAAATAAATGTCGACATACTTTATGGAAAAGTCCTAATCTGATTTTATGAAATTTTAGAAAAAGTGTGCCCTTTAAAGCCTAAAATTTTCTGCAGTTTTCTTGAGCAGCTTATTCTTTTTATAAAAAATAAGAGTTTAGACATACAAATGAATGACTATACGAATTACATTCTGAATTTTGAATATTGTTGTTGTTTTTATTACAGCTTTTATCGGTGTATGGAGAGAACAGCCCGATTGCAGGCTTTTTTAAGAAGAATCCAGCAGGCGGAATTCATCATATTTGCATTGAGGTGAGGCAAAACATGGAGAATATTCATAATTTTAATTTCATGACTCAGCAGAGTTCGATAGAATTTTATCGTAGGGGCATTTGTCCTTAAAGATAAAAACTGCAGCATTAACAAATTGGTTCAAATAACTTCTATAACCTCCCTGGTTATAGGAAAAAACCACATCTTGCTTACAGTTAAAGTTATCCCCCAGTTTGGTTTTCTAACTTGAATGAGATTTCATCACGTGTCACACGTTCAGCCACAGAAAAATTGTCGAGCATCATAACAGGGAGCCCGGCGTCTCATCGAAGAAGCCGTTAGGCCCATGATAGTGCTTCCGTTATAAAAAAACCTCCATGAATGAAAATTGTGCAAGCTATTGTTTGGGTTTCAACGAAAATTCGTTTTTGAGAGACGAAGAAACACGTTATGGGGGTTTTGTTTGTGATCACGGTGATTTTAGTTTCTATTTAATTTGATATATTTTTTGTATCCTTTAAAATTTCTCCAATATAGAGATTACAAAATTGACGTTCAGTTGAGTCCTGTCAAACGCGCCATGCGCTTGGTTTAGGGTGCTAAAGTGTCACGGCGTCAAAAATCTCTTTTCAGAATATTTCAATTTGACAGCATAGCCTGGAGGAGCATTATGAAATTCCTCTTAATTTGCAAATACCGTTAGATATGTTATAATCTGGGCTAGATATGACCAATGGAAGTTTACAAATTTGATAACGTAATACTGTTATTCTGGATTGGCTCATGAATTTTAGAACTTAGGCCAAAGTACAGTGGTTTGATAGGGAAAAGGAACTATGCTCATGTATCCACACCTTAGCCAGTTGGTAACACATTCAAGTAAATTTTGTACTGCAGTCATGTTGTGTGGTCCGATTGGCTGGCTCGAGTCTGCCCATTATGCGTGACATCTTCATTTTGATCATCGTACAAGGGTCCTCAGAGATAAAAAGCAAAACCACACTAGTTTCTGTCCTGCATACTATGCTTTAATAACCTAAAGAATTTTTTAATAAAGTTGTAGGCCCGTTCGACTTTTTGGTCTTAAAATTTGAAATGTGCAGCGAAATATTTCACAAATGCATGATTAGATCAAGAAGATTGATTCAGTTTATTTGGATAACTCTGCTCAAAATTATTCAAAGCTTTGTTGAAATTTTTTATTAGAAAAACATATTCACGAAATAAAAGTGGTCGCTTTGCTTTTTTATTTTGGGTAGTATTTTAAAGTACCGAAAAGGTTTTCTTTAATCTTGATTTATAAAACTACGTCTTACTCGACACATAAATTATTGGATGTGGTTCCATCTACTAAGATTGCCCCTTTTTTAGGCCTAGAAAGTGCATCTTAATGACAACCACAGTTAGAAACCTAGAAAATTGTAAGCAATAGTTCACTGCACTTTCCTTAAAACTCACCCAAAATATATTGTTTTTTAGACTTCTGTTGCATGTCGTCACTAGGCAAATTAATCAGAATATTGTAGCTTTTTCTCGTAGCTTTTTTTGCTTTGTGAAATTTGATATGAAAAATATCTCCACCTTTTTTCAAATTACCTGAATCATTAGTTTTCTATTTTCTAGCTATTCATTTTATACCTATTCAGCTTTTATCTATATCAGTGATACAAAAATTATGCATAGGTGAAGTTTTGGGCTTTGCTGTTTCTCCTCTATGAGACTCAAAAACTGTGCAGATTAAATATATCATTTTTGTATGTGTTGGCATTCCTGCAGAAAATAAAAATTTTCTGGGAACTTGTTGGTGGATGAAAACTTGTCTGCAACATGAAAGAATTTTTCATTAAACAGTTCCACAAAAATTTCTCAGTTTGGTTTTGATTTAAAACTTTAAAGATTTGTAGATTGATTGTGAAAGATATTGCAAATAATGATTTTTTTCTTACAATGAGCTAAATTTTTAGATTTTACTTGTAAATGTATTTATTTTGGTGAAAGTTTTTCTACTAATTCGGATAATTTTCTGGGATCTTAGTTTCCAGTTTCTGTTACATTTTGCAGCACGTTTGCTAGTGAAGTTTTGATGTTTTTCAAGCTGCATTTCTGAAAGCAACGCTCAAGTCAAGAAATATTTACGCAAATAAACAAGCCTAATTATTTTAACTGTGGTTTTAAGGTTGATGATGTAAGACAAGCAATGGAATCCATGAAAGAAAACAACATCAGAGTCTTGGATAAAGAGCCAAAGGTACCATTTTATTGAAATTTTAATCTAAACATAGTTATACTTATTTGGAAACTAGCGAAAGACAAGGCCAAGACTTGAGGAGATTTTTAGGTGGCATAAAGACGGTAAGTAAGGCTTTTTTTACTCAATTTTGCATGTTTGTATGTATTTGATTAGTGAGCATAACCAGATAAATTTCACATTTGAATATTCGTGAAAGGGATTGTATGTCACTTCGCAATGATCAAATCAAACATCAAGAAGACAAAAAGTTGGTTTTCATTAACACCAAGTTTTTTTTGATATGTTTTATTTTTTATCATTAGTCCAGGCGTTCAGCTGCTTCTGAAGGAGAATACCAGCGAACTAGTGTCACTGAATATCTTCGCAAAGTAGTTTCAATATAATTTTTTAAGGGTAGGCATGTTCCTGAACTAAGTAATGAAGTCTTCTTTTGGGAAGTAATTTTGAGTTTTTGCTTTTTTTTGTTGGCGGACCGTTTCATGAAAACATTTTTTCAACTAAATTCAATACTGCTAACATTTGATAGGAATCTTGCTTGCTTTTGAATTTGAACTTGCTCATAGGCTAAAATCCATAGCTGAATTGCAAGCGTCTTGTTGGCAGTTTATCTCTTCCCACGTCACTCTTGGTACTGGTGTTTATTTTTACTCTAGAGGGTTGCTGGCTACAGGCCTTGACCTAATAGCCAATCGAAATTGGCAGCTTTCCAGGTTCAAACGTGGTCAATGAATCCTGGCTTAATGTTGATAAAAGCTAGTTTTCTGTGATACTTAAGCTTCTAGAACTGGTAAACAGAAACGGTCATTTTATTTGGCCAGGAAACTGTCTCTCTGTTGGTTGTCATTGAATTTTCAGGTGTGAACTATCATTTGCTTAGAATTTGAATTTGATAAATCAAAGAGCAAGTTATATTGAAAGAAGGAATGTTGCATGATTTGATATCTGCCAAAGTTCACAATGGTATAGTTCACAATGGTAGAGTTTTATTGCCTTCGAGATGCCTCCACAATTCCTGCTATGACCTTAGCAGCGAGAAATATTTAGATTCAAACGATAAACGAACAGATTTTCTTTCCTTGGATTAAAGTCTGGTTAAAGCAGCCGCTAGAGTAAGGACATATCCCTTCAACAAACAGGAAGTCTGCTGTGTAGATGTTTTATTATGTTTTCAACTTTTGATATGTTTCATGATGTTTCTAGACAGGTTCAGGTGATGTGCAAAGTATTTGTCGTTTATATTCGTAGTTCCAGCAAAAATTTGTTTCTGGTATCAGAGCCTCCGCTTCATATTAAGAATCTCTAGCCTTCCAATGTAATTCTCATTGTGAATTTATTTATTATATCGTTTAGTGTTTTGGTTTATTAGGAGTAAAGCAGTCTTTTGGAGAATAAGGTAATAATCACTAGCTATTTAAATATCTTCAAAAGTAACTTAAAGAGGAACTTCCAAGAGAATATTCCTAATGTAAACATATCCTAACTATGCTTCCCAAGGCATGGGTTAACTGCCCATTTTATAGTGACTCTCCTATACTTAACTACAAGCCAATGCGTTACCATCAATGCATCAATATTCACAGACATTGAAAATCTCAGCGGCTACCTAACGCAGAGAAAATGCTGCGACATAACTGAAACGTTTGGTCAATCAATTGAAAGTCATTATCGCCAAAAAATCTTTATCATCTTCCGATTAATGTAGATGGATTTTGTTAAAATTAAGCAAAATGTGCCGCCTGTGAGATAAGGGAGGTGACTTTGTGTGCTTATCGCATTATGTCATCATATTTGACAAAGTCAAAGATCTTTGTATCGCTAGGTGTCTGGTTTTATTTTGTTTTTGTTACACTATCCATGGAAAAAGGGATGAAGATGCGTATCATGGGCTACGCATATAACACGGCTCGAATCACCCGCTATCTTTCAGTCGGCCATTTTGTGATGTAATCAGAACGCCTAAGCTACGGGTGTCTTATTCTTTGCCATTTCTTAGAGGATTAATGTGGCCTTGGATCAAAGCAGTTTTCATAACTTTGTGAAAATTGAATATCAACTACATCTGATAGTAAATGTTTGTTTTACATCAGCCAATTAAAGCCTTCTTTTCGTTTTTTGTTCAGCTTATCTTGATAAGGTCTCTTTTCACCTTTCGCAAGGCAATCTAGGCTTTATGTCGCTCCGCATTCAAGTCCAGTATATTTTCGAGACACCGGCCTTTCTGTTCATACAATTAGTTATTTTATAGACTACTTGTTAGAAATAAAGGGAATTCTATCATTTTGAAATTCTTGTTCACTAACCTTTCTAAATGCTTAGTTTTTATCGACAGAGATTTGTATTTCTTTATTTTTTGGTCAAAGCGAGATCGGTTTGATCAAAGTATCGTTGAAGATGCACGCGCACTTTTTATCGTTATTATCTATAAAAACGCATCTACATCAAAGTATTTTAATCAAAATGAGCCTCCTATAACATCTCACGAGTGTGATCTTAAAAACAACGCCGCAATATCAAATAAACTCTCTAGTTTATTTCTTCTGCCGATTCAATACACTGTTGCTTTGGAATGTCGATTCTCTGTAATCAATGCTTGCAGCTACTGCTGTCTCTGTTATGGTTTACTCTTATATTCTAAATAAATACCTGGCATTTATGACTCTTGGATAGGTCCTATTTCTGTTAACATTTCAAAACCAGTTCAGTATGTTTGTGCACTGCTGCTCGTATTATTGGTCGTTTCACAATCTTTGATATTTATGCAAAGTATTACTGCCCACTATTAATATACATTTGAGGCTTTGTACCTCGACCTTTAAACTTTTACTTGATGGTATCGTTTTTGTATGCATTACTGTGACTAATTTTATTACCTTTTCTCTATGTCTTCTCTTCTCTGGTCACCTAAGATATCATTTTATTGCGAAGTTTTTGAGTTAATAGAAAGTTATTCTTGATGCAAAATGAAAGATCTAATAAACCTTAGTAAATGCAATAGAAATAAGTTGAGAGCTTCCTAACATAAGACTCGATGTTTCATAATTATGAACGCAGGAAATTCTTTAGGATTTGAAGTTTAGAAAATAGGTGGCGATTTTGCAGAAATGTCTTTGCATTTTTCCTTTAAAATTTTGTAGCTATGAGGTGTTTTAGTCTAACCGTTGCTGTAGCTATTTTCGATGGCTTTTAACATTTTTGATCGATCATTTGTTTATATTAATAAAAATTTCTTTAAATGAAAAATCACCAGTGAACATTGTGTTACAATGGTGATATAATTTTCCTAGCGAAGAATAATACTTGGCTTGACAAAAAATGCGTTAGTTTATTGCAATTAATGTTTAAAACTGCTTCTGTTTTCACTCATTACCAAGTCTTAGACTTAGTTTGGTTTTTTATACCAGGATTAGCATTTAATGTATTTTTGAAAGCATATCTAATTTGCCACTTTACCAATCTTTAAGGGACCTGATAGTTGCCGTGTCATTTGATTCTGCTTGGAAAATATGCTTGGCCGTGATAAGAAGAATGTCCCGAGGAGCTCTGTCAGCTTTGCTTTCAATATAATTTACGATTGTTTCTGTCTTTCATGGTCTCGAGACCATCAGGAATTTCATCTTATCGCTGTAGGAAAGTTATTGAAAGGATGACTCTGCTTCTTAGACTTTCTGAAGTTTTATCAATGAAAGGCGATTTTGAACAAAAGGTCTTCCTTCCGCTGCCTACGTGTACCGTGTACCTCTCTTTGGCTGTATTAGTTTTAGGCCCATTTGCTGCCTGTGTAGGGTGCAAAGTAAAGGAATTTGTTTGGTGTGTCTCAATTAAGTTGACTTGATTTGGTTTATTTTCATTGAGGTAAGAGGAAAAACGGCTGGTGTCTTATTAGTAAAAATTTATTTGTCTGCAGACTGGAAAGTAGAAAGCGCCACAAATCATAGGATTGCTCTATATATTTAATTATGTGTATGGCATAAGACAAAAGACTTAATCATATCCATTCATTTTATTAAGGTTTTCAAACAGCCAAATTAGTTTACTGTTTTAGTTTCCAATCATCTGTAGCAAAAGCTAAATATGTTTACAGTGTTTGAACAATAATGTTTCCTTCAATACCTATTAATAACCTTAAACCTATTTGCGTTAATATCCTTGAATGCAAAATTTTTTATTATACCGGGAGTTACTCATATATTTTGTAGCATGATTATCACCTTCAATTAAATCTTCCGGTTTAATGACTTGGCTGTACTCCAGTGCCAAGTTTTAGATTGAAGGGCATGCATTTGGAATTGATTAGGAGTTGTCAGTGGGCGTAAGTTAGGGCTTACAGAATCTTGTTGTGGTCAAAGTAAAGCCCTAAATTGTATTGGTTCGTCTTCCGGCCAATGAGGAAAATCTTTGCAAACTTTCTCTAAAAACAAATATACGGTAGATGGCACAAAACAGGCTTGGTACCTTGTGTGTTTCAGCAATCTTCCTTGCGAGAGACAATCGTGTCACAGTCATTAATCAAGAAAGGTGGACTCCCTCTATCGATACATCACCTTTCTTTGCAAAATTTGTTTCATGATTTTTTGAGTAAGATTTATTTATTTTACATCAGTCTATATGACTTTGTTAATAAAAGCAAGAACAATTGATTTGATGCTTTGGTTGACAAATTAATCTACTATAGCGCAAGCGCTCTTGAGAGTAGATCCATTTGGCGCTCTTGAGACATTCCAGTTGTGTAATCCAGGCTTTTTCTCTAATGAAGATTGTTTCTTCAGTAAGCCGGTGTCTTTATGTTTGCTTATCTTATCGTTCAGATTGACATCTCTGCACTTGTTGATTTGACAGGATTCTTCTGGTTACAATGCTTGTGAAATGTGCAAATGTCATTTCCAGATCTGTACATCCATTTCTCAATAAAACAGCTTAGCACTGTATGATTACATTCAATGAACGTCAGCTGAAAACTCAGCAAAGCCATAGATACGTTGAATTGTGGTGTAGAAGAA